CCCAGGGGGCCAGCTGCCCCCCCTGCCCCCCCGGAGGCTACGGCCCTGTCACTTTCCATCTGTTCAAATCTATTCTACTAATAGATTTATTTTATCATTACATTGTTACATTTCATGGTTGACTGATGTAGTATTTTAAAGTCTTTTTACATGGTGTTTGGATTCATATAATGAACAGATAAAAAATGACAGATGTCCGTGACTAGAAACGAACATAAAATATTTATAGTATAATCACAGACACAGTATTAGGTCTGGTCAATTCAGCATCTATGGGTTTTAGTGAATGACAAACAAGACATGACTATGTGAATTTCGAGTTTTATAACAGCCATTTGAAGCTCAAGAATCCACAGTAAGAGACGGGCGCGACATGGGTCGTGTCAATCTCGCATCTATGGAGTTCAGTAAGTGGAGAAACAGACACAGCCATGTCATTTTCGGTCTCAAAGCTCTGTAGTGAAGGACGAACGCGGCATAGGTAGGCCTTGTCAATTCCGCTGCTCAAGGGCTTAATAACATACGAAATAAACACGCTGCATGTCGTTTTAGCATGTGAAGGGGCGTCAAAAAAACGCACGCGTAGGCTCCTATGGGCCATGGTTCTTTCACTCTTTCTTCCTTTCTGTCTTTCTTTTTCTCTCTCTTTCTTTCTTTTCTTACTTATTGAAACTTAGGCAGGCAGGCAGCATTGGTCTCGGATTGCTCAGTATAACTGCAAAGTTGACCGAAAAGAGCGTGACAAAATATTGGTCGAGTGTCCATCTGTAATTGCAGCAGCTGCGCTTGCAAGTATTTCACAACTAAAGCATTTAGTAAACCGGTCAAATTCTCTCTTAGAAGCAAGCTTGACCAGATGATGTTTTAGACATAAATGCATAAAGATACAAATTGATTAGGCATATATATTAGTGTTTTGGCAGGTCTATCGTTGTTAGACGGTTTGAGGGGTCGTTGAGATATGCTGTTATCTAACGAAGGCTTAATAGATAATGATGCTGATGACTTTTTCTTGATTCTCGTTTTTTAAAGATTAATCAATGAATTTACTTCTCGTTGTTTTATTTATCTATTTTATCAACCATATGTTAATTCCATTTTGTATTTTTATTCATTTGTTTCATTTATGTATTGATTTTAAGGCAGTAAATTGTACACGTGTCGATATAGGGTTCAGGGACGAGATAAATTAAACATAGGTTTGAATTAATGCAGTGCAGTATAACAGCTAGGTCAAGGGTATGGCAGGCCTACTGGAATATTGATCTAGAACTGTGCCGTGTTACAAGTGACAGGCTATCGTGGTGCACACACAACAACAGGATCTCTGCACGCTGGGATATCTCAGGGCCGGATCCGGGATTATTTGAAAGGGGGGTCCGGTTTTTAGGAATGACAGGCTGCGGATTCGAAGCCGACCCTCGCTGTAGGGCCCCGAAAAATATTGGTATTTTAGGGGACGAGCGGATACTGTTTAGAGCAATAATTCAGCTATTCAAAATTCTAATTTCAAGAGGGGATCATTGGTGTGTTTCTTTTTATTTTTTCAGAAATCGAAGGGCGGAGGGGGGGGGGGTACATGTAGTCGGTTTTCACAAACTAAATTATATGAGCAGCAGCAGCAGCAGTAGTAGTAGTAGTGATGGTACATGTATAAGATAAAAAACTGAAAAACCGGACAGGATAAATAATTAATTGAATCAGATAATGCAGAATGAAGTAAGAAGAAATAAACTTTTAAAATGAAAATAGCATATCGCGTTAGGCCACAGCCATCTTAAATCCCATCACGTCTTTACACCCTCGGTTGGCTTCAGGTTACTGACGGTGATACCCCTTTCTTCCGCTGATTATAAAAGTCGGCTTCCGACAGATTCTATGACACCGGGTGCCTTTTCGCCGATGTCTGGCGATCCCGTTCGTTTGATACATGTATGAATATAGTCCGGCTTCTTACATGGCCGGCCAATTCTTGTATTACGTCCAATCTTTAAAACTTCCATTTCTTTAGCCATATACAGCTGTGTTGACATTTTAGTTCAAGTAAACGTAAGTGGACCATGCAGATGGATACGTGGCTGGACGTTATTGTTCGATATATAATAATTCATCATTCATCACCCCCCGGTATTCAATTGGAAAGCTTTTTAAAGAAAACAAACTCCGGATTCGCAGAACGCCACAGTTCAAAAACGTGCCCCGTTATTTCTCATTTAGTGAATAGTAAATTTTCTGCTCTGGCAGTCACTCGCAATGTTTATTGTGTTTTTAGTTGACAATAATGCCCTCGCATTTAGTCAACTGCTGGTGCGTTACGTGTATTTCAGGTAAAACTGCGTCTTAAACTTTATTCCAAGGACATGGACGCGTAATCCTAACAATATAGGGGGAAAACTCAAAAGAAATTTGGTAAACGAACGGGTTTGGTTTTCTAAGGCTCGGTATTGGACTCCATTTGACTGTGCAAAATTTATGAACAGTTTCTGATCTAATTTTGCTTTCCAGTCCAGCAAAACAATTTTGGCTGCTTTTCTTTATCATCATGATCTCTTCTCCAAAACGTTGCTGTTTATTAACATTGAATAATTAATGTGAGTGTATAGACCGCCCCCCCCCTCTCCAAGGTACACAAAAAGGTAACCATGTGCCTTCTGGCATCGTGACCCCAATGCTGTATCAATACGTTTGATATCATGTTTGTTTCACGAGATAAAGCAGCCCACATACTATAAACTACATGGACAATACTAGCAGTTCAAATACGGCAAGACGCCGAGCGTCAAGTGTCGTAGTCTACGCTTTATAACTGGAGTGCTTGATGATAAATTCAATAGGCGACTAGTGTTATTAAGATTTCACTCGTTTCGGATTCCATAATCCCTTATAAAATCTGCACAGCGTTACCAACATTGTTATCTTTGGGAAAATTTTAATAGGGGCCCACAAATTCTTTCGTCTATCCACATAACACGTACCTTAACTTTATAGGCCCTATAGGGTCAGAATATGGATATTATACAGCTTCATTAAAAATACAGTTTAAAACATTTTCAAAATTAGCGTATAGCCTATAGCATTACATGTCGACACATATTGAAGATACATGGGGATATTAATGTGCATGAAAACAATTCTGCTTTTTCAAAATAAAATTTGACAAAATCGTCAGCGCTTCTTAAATAATCGTCTATCTAGGGCCGAATAAGAGTGTAAAAATAAAACCAGTTTTGTAATCGACCAGAATCATGATAAAAAGGGCGTTCAGTCCTAATAAATAATAGATGCTAGGCCCTACTAATAAATCACTCAAAGAAAGAAGGTCGCTCGATTTCTTTATTTCCTTTTATTTGCAGCATAAATACACATTTTTAAATCGAAAACATGGGTCGATGTGATTTTCGTGTGAAAACAGATATAAAAGAAAACAGCTCTTTTGAATTGGAAAATCGATCTCTGTATTCGAGCATCATGCGCAAATGTTGCATTATTGTGCGAGACGTGATTCGAACAATCATTGACTTCATTATTTTTACCATTACGAATGGCACACCCATGCGACAAACAGGTCCTTTAAAAGCGGTCTGTATTTCCATAGCGTCGCGCTCGTTTCAGGGTCACATATTTTTTATTGCGCACCTGGGTGATCTGTGGTAAACAGTCTAGATAGCTCACCTCAATCGACTGGGCTATTCATGAATATTTAAAGAGACTTGGAAATCGATTCCTCAGCAAATGAAGTTAAGTGTACTAAAGGGGCGTGGGCTGTTTGATCTAGTTACGTACAATCTGATTGGTTGTGGGTTCGACTTGTTTTGCAGAGGACGGACTGCATAGATTTCAGCTCTGCACAGTCGGCCTTCAAGCGGAGAGTGACGTATAGTTATCCCTTCTGTGTTTTGAAGGTAAGCGTCCGCTTTTGATTTTGATTACTCAGTTAACGGTCTAAGTCTGTAGTAATAGAGTCAGTAGTGGTCACAGTTACTGACAGTCACCGGTAAGATGCGTAGCTTATCATTTAGTTTGAGCTTTGAAGAGAGCCGGCCGCTGTAACGAGACCCGCTGTATAGACCCGATCTAGGCACAAGAATATTCCTTGGCAACCAATGACAACAAACGGAGCTAATGCATTTTGCCCACGCATAGTCGACTTGACTTCGCTGTTGACTTGGATTGTAGCGAGACAAATAAGTCGTGACAGTGATGCACAGTTTGCATCTATTGAGTTATAGTTAATGCAGTTGAAACATTTCATCACTGCCCTGCCTACCAGACACTCGAGAAAAAAAACTTTTCGCGGTTTATTAATTGTTTAAAAAATGCAATCTGCTTTGTGAAAAGGCCCATTAAATATAGAGAAATTGAGAAAATTGACATTCTTTTATTTCAATTATGATATATTTCTATGACCTTTTACATATTGTTTTAGAGGTAAATGTAGAAAGCTCACCCTATCAAAACTCCTTCTCAGTGACAGGGAAAGTGAAACTGAAACTCCTGTTGTTACAGGAGCTTATGTTAAGTGCATGGGAATAAAATACTAATATGATCTAACAAAAGTGGAACACTTGGGTTTGAATGTTTATTGCACCAGAGATAAATTTAGAACACACATTGTATACACAACAGTTTTACCCATGCTGCATATCCTACATATATACAATATTTATTTGTTGTTTAAGCAATAACAATTAGAAAATAATGATTAAAAATATTGCATCCCTGACTGTTTTATGTTTTGCTGAGAAAAGTGAGGGTGGGACACTAAACTACAAAGTTAAAACATTTGAATGTTTTTATGCTGAAGAAGCCTGGCGTTTTTTCTTTGCATAAATAAAGTGAGAACCAAAAGGGGATTAGTATAGGCAATTTAGGTGCTTTATTATTCTAAAACATTTAGAGAGATAATATCACCTCAGATGACAGTGTAAGGTGCTGCATGGTAACTTTAAATTATTGTCCGCAGATATGTCAAGCCTTTGGTAAGTCTTACACCCCATTTCCATAGATTTTTAGATCGATCTATCCCTGTGGGGTGTCTCACTAGATTACTGTCAGCTTGGCCGGCTTAAGCGTCTGTCCCGCCTACTAAAAGCTGTAAGGGGGTAATTAACTATGGTGCCCGCTCGGCTGACTGCAATTTAGCGTTAACCCCCAGGGAGTTAGGTCGATCTAAATCTTAATCTTTAGATCGATCTAAATCTCTGAGAAAGCACCCTTAGCTATAGGCATATGACATGAGAATCACAAATAAAATGCAAATTGTGGATTTTGCCTTGAACCGAGTGCTCAGCTCACACACACAGTAGTATTAGCACATGTGCAGTGACAAATAGACTTCCCGATCTGCCAGTAGAGCTCTGTAAAGCCCCCTTTACACTGGACAGGGTCCTTTCTGCATTGCGTAGTATGGCCCTTGTTTGAGAGTAAAAAAAAAATTATGTGCTGACAACTGGCCAATTATTGAGCATTCATTCTGCAACCAAAGCAATGCTTGTGCATCCTTTCAATGACCATAGTGATGCAAGTTGCATGGTTGCACAAAGGATGCAGAAAGGACGCCGCCCAGTGTAAAGGGGGCTTTAACAGTTAATATCTACTAATACTATCTAATGAAACATGCAATTACATTTACGCTTGTAAACCTGATATCACATAAGTGTGATAATAGGTCTAGATATATATTACATGTATGTATAACACAAGTAGTTTAGAGGGCCTGTTAAATGTACCGAATATTATTAAATTATTATAAGTTAATAGTAAACAGTTATTGAATAATGATTTGCTGTATAACATGGATTTTTTTTTCTTTTTTTTTTTTTAAAGATATTATATCCAGTTTGCCAAGATGAGTGATAGCGACCTTAAAGCCAAGTTTCTGGAATATTGTACATTTGGTGGACAAAAAGATAAGACCACAATCACCACCAAAAACTTGAACAAAATGTTTAAAGATTGCAACATCATCAACAAGAAGTTTAACAGTAACGCCTTAGACATTGCATTCTCTAAAATACTATCTAAAGGTCCTAAGGGGTAAGTCATTTGATTTTATTTTAAATTGAAATTTCTTGTAGTGTTTGACTTTAATCATGTATTTTAGTGATGTTAATGCACGTACATTTGTAGCTAAAGCTATGTTCATCGTATTTTTATAATATAATTATAGAATTCACTACCCTGTAGGCATATTAATTGGAAAAAAGTTGAGTTTGAAATACAAAAGATAATGGATTTTTATGGTCATGCACACATTTTTCTGATGTTCTCACTATAAGTGCATTTTGCAGTTTCAGTGTATTTTTGATTTACATTTTGCTATGTACATGTAATTGACTTGTGCATTAAATTGATTTTCTCATTCTTTATAGTAGATCTTCATAGGTGCATCTTTATAGTAACTTATTAACACAGTGGTTAAAACGATCACTTGCTTCTCTTTTTTTTTTTTGGCCATTGGCCATAAGTGCATTTTGCAGCTTCATTGTATTTTTAATGTAAATTTTGCTACGTAATTAGCTTGTGCATTAAATTGACTTTCTTATTCTTTTTAGTAGATCTTCAATAGGTGCATCTTTATAGTAACTTATTAACACAGTAGTTAAAACAATAACTTGCGTTTCTTTTTTTTTGGGCCATTGTATACATATATACAATCATTACGTTGCAGGGCAAAAGAACTAAATTTTCAGCAGTTTAAGGATTTGCTGGCACTTCAAGAAATAAAAGATGCACACAAAGATAAGGACATTGCAAGCATTATTACTGGTGGTGGTGGACCAAGCCTGGCTGGCACAACTGTAAGTTTAATTATTGCAGAATTTGTCAGGAGCCCTATATAAATGCAAAATGTATTAGTTATTGGGGGTGGGTGGGTGGGTGGGGGTAAAGGGGGGGGTAGAGGGCATTGAGATCAAGTTGATCTGCGGACTAACAGGTCTTTGGACTTAATATGGCTGACACACTTACAAGCAGTTTAGTTCAGACCTACTAAACTTTTATTTTTATGATAAAAGCTCTGCAAATTGTTGTCCATCACGATTTTTTGATTTTTTGAAAAGCAAGCCTTACTTGAACATTTGACTTTTATTTTTTTGCAACCTACCTCTTCTCATTTACCTTTTTATCACTATATTTTTCCTGCACTGTCAATACTTCCATATTAACTCAAGTGCATTTTGATCATCAAAAGTTTTCTTGGTATAGCTATATTTTGCATGACCATTTTGTAACTCAGAAAATATCTGGTTTCAGGGCACTAGTAAGACTGGCAATGTTGCGGGTATGACAGATACGTCCAAGTACACTGGCTCTCACAAGGAGAGATTTGATGAGACTGGCAAAGGCAAGGGGATTGGAGGCCGGGCAGATATTGCTGATGGCAGTGGATATGTTGGAAATTACAAAGGCGCTGGAACATATGACGCCACGCACTGAGATTAAGGACCCTACTTTTTGTTCATTTGATGCTTTGTGTTTGTTTGTAGGCAGCCGTTTTAATATGTTGCTTCACTTAGAAGAGAGCAGGCTTTGGTTTTGAGAAACATTTTAATTATAGTACAAGATATTGAAGAATTTGACTGTGCTTGTTGGAATGCAAAATCTTTGTTGATATACATGTAGATTCTAAACTTCAATTTGGTGGACAATTCTAAATAGTTTAGTGGTCAGTTAGTGAAAATTTCATCGTCAGTTTGAAAAATAAGGAAGATTTTTGTGTGCTAACAGTGTCATCATACATATTATTATTGCCCCATTTATGTGTTTATAGAGAGCATTTATAGAAAAAAATTAGGGGATTTTTCCAGGGTTTTGTCGATATAAAAAATACAATTAAGCCAGATTAAATTGATAAGTTAATTCGTATACACGATGACTGACCCTATGTTTGAAGAAATCAGATTTATTTAGGCAGTACCTAGATAACTTTTCTATCAAAAGCTTTTTTCCACACTTAAAAGTACATTGAGTTAAGTGCAAAATAACATGCACCCCTAAAATTATGTCATAAATGAGGAACTGGAGCAAATCTTGTTGTTGCTCTGTGTCTGAAAGTCGCTTTCCTTTGAGATAAAAGCTTATGATGACATTAAGAAAATAATTAACAGAACAACAAATTAAATCTCTAAAACCTAAATGTATTTTGTGTGTGGGCACAAAGTTTCTAATTCTGATGATGGCTTTTAATTTTGCCACAGGCTTGAATATGTACTTAATATAAGGTGTGAACTGATTACAGTTTTATTCAGTTTGGTAATGTTGCCCATCTTTTTGGGGTACTTCAGTGTTGGACGCTTAAGTTTAAAGGACAGCTACATGTTATTTCAATCCGTCCATATATTTGTTTTGAAATACCATTTTTAAATTTTTATTTAATACAAAGCTCATGTTTAATTTTTAATATTTCATTTTGTTTTATTTAGAATTTGCTTATTTACTGTACATCACAAACAGCTTCAACTTAGCAAGCAGCTGCTTTTGTCAAATTATATACAGTATTCAGGGTTTTGGTACACTAATTGTCACTAACAGGATATTTTGTATTGGAGATACTGGATAAAGCCATTTGGATTTTTATTCTGCACATTTTACCATTATGATACAACTGTAAGCATGGTAAAATGGATTTTTCATATTCTTTTGTGCAAAGATCAGAAAAAAGTTAAATGTAACTCGCATCCACTACTCTTGTCATGAAAACGTCATTTCTCATATAATCTTTAAAGTTAGAAACCAGTGACTTTTTTTAAAGAAACCAAACAGCATGTAGAATATGTGATAATTTTGTATTTACACGACACTTACTCACCAGCTTATCTGTAAAAGTTTTTTAAAAACATTTTTAGCAATATGTTTATTTGAGATCTTATTTACTTGTATATTTTCAACTTATCCTACTCTTATTATGATACACGTTTTATTGTCAGATGTTCTGTACCTGTGTTTTAGGGGTCTTCAATAAATTCCAATCAAAAGACGAATTGTATGGATTTTTCTTACTTCAAACAGTTGCTTTGTTTTGTATATGTATTCATACAACATTATAGATCAACCATACCAAGCTGTAAGACCAGTAATCCAATCGTTTCCCAACGTGGAAGCTGGTGGTCAATGTTTACTTAACGAAGCTCAAGATTTCTTGATTATGCCTGTCAATACTTTTTATTGACATCAGTAGATCACTTTTCACCCTTAATTGTGTGTACTGAGAAGGGGAGGGGGGTGGGGGGTGGGGGAGGCACACCCAGCAACTGATTTCTGGTTGGAACTGAACATTTTTGACACATCCTTGTGTTATTCTAAAATGTCCTGGTTTTCTTTATAATCAATGAATACCCTTTACCAAGGTCACAAAGACTTAGATATTCACAGATATTTTTGTTGCTAATTTCACGCATATTTCTGTCCTGTTACTACCAAGCTATAGTCTCTCGTAAAAAAAAAGTAAACAATCAAAGCAGCAGTTGGAGTTAGACATGATGTTCAACGTTCAGTTGAACATCTATAAAACTAATATCGATGTCCATGTAAAACCATTTTACGTACCATTCAGTCCACGTCTCTCTGCTAGTTTCATGTCAATTTTGTCCATACTAAGTCCATAAAGTAGACTCCATCAGACCTCTGTGATTAACATTTTGTTTCCATTTCAAGTAATATTGTACAAATCGTAATGTATATCTCCCAGTCGGTATAACAGCACTAAGTGGACATAGCTAGCCCAAGTGCTTTTCCACAGTTGGCTGGGCTGAATATAGACCCCCCCCCCCCCCCTTTTTTTTTGAAGGGACTAATAACAAGTTTTTGAAATAGTAAAACGATTCAAATATTAAGCATTGAGTGTAATTACCATAATGATTACAGTCATCTGCCTGAGAACAAATTTCAACAACATTCAAATTTAAATTTGCAAGTCTATTGAATTATAAAGGATTTCGATTGTTATGTTCATGTCAAGGCCAAATGGCACACAGCATATACTAACTAATTTACAAACCGCTACTGTTGACTAACTTGGTGCTTATAACAACTCAAACAACATTACACACAACAGTAATTTAACACCAATTATAGTTTATTTGGAGTAGGTAGAAAATACATATTTACAATATATGAAGCAAAGTTTGATGAAAATGGTGACATAAAGTATATTTAGTCATTAAATTTGATTATATGCAAGTGGTATTTGGCAAATATTAACAATAAAAATCACAGCTGAGGAGTGCAGTTGAAGATCCCTTATGGATAAACAAATTTCTTCACTTGAATGACACTAATTTTCGTGATCAAAAGATCACCTCTTTACATCAAGCACAAAACTAGATATGAGAGTGCCTGCAGTTCACTCGAATGCTATCAAGTATAGCTATACTCACACAGGAATCTGCATGGAAAATCAATATGTGGTTTTAGGAGGTTAAAATGAATAACTGTGTTAAGTCCTCACTTCCCTGGAGATTATATGTCAAACTGGAGGTCTTAAATGTAGAAGTATAAATGGGGACTATGTAACCATTTGCTACCTAGTAGCCCTAATATCTGATTTTAGGAGGTTAGAGTGGATAACCGTGTTAAGCCCTCGTTTCCCTGGAGATAATACACGAAACTCGAGGCCTTAAAAGCAGACATGTATATAAATGAGGGCTATGTAACCATTTGCCCCCCATTAGTCCTATTTTAAACAGTAAGCACTCTCTAATACTTATCATGTATAACATGGTTATCATGGAAGACATTAACCAGCATAAAATCCCCAGTGTTGTTGAGGCGGTACAAATTCCATTGTTTGGTGGTTGGTATGGAAAGGAGGATTCCAGAGAATCCAAAACAGAGGCGGTTTGGGCTGGAATTGTAACAGACTTACGAAAAATTAATCATGTCATGATAAAGTAGAAACAGAGTTCCAAGCACAGATGTTCGATTCACACCACCATAATTTTCCAGAGAATACTGTAATTTCCTTTTACAAACCAGCATTACTTCTTAATTAAGTTATTTGAAACAGCATGTGTACGTAGTGATGAAACAGTTTCTCATTAACTCAGAACCTAAGGGCTAAAGAATGACCATTGCTTAGGCTTCTAAGATAATATTCCAGTGATGACCACAACTCTCTGAACATTGAAAATCACTTGAACATTTCCATCCTGGTCTTCCATAAACTTTCTGTGATAAATGAGACAGATACCGCCCAGAATCATACGATCAATATAATACAATGATTTGTCACATTCAGCTCTTGATATTATGATAGTATGGGTGAAAATTGTAAAAACTGATAATCCTGATTCTGAAAATGTAGCCGGGTGGCAAAGAGGCTGCAGGGCCCTCAGTGGGTCCAGGGCAAATATGAAAAATTTTCACCCATGTAATCCTTAACAGAAGGCAGTGAACCAGGAAAAATACAGGGGCGGATCCAGGGATATTTTCCAAATTATCTTAAGTTTGTTGATCAATCTTCCATTTTTGACCATCTTCCCGACTTCCGACAGAAATAATTAGATGCTGGTCAATGAAGAAGACCCAGAAGACGGACTCTGTCTGCCCCTGGAATAAGTTGCAATTTGGACATTTCTGTAACTGGCTGTGCAATTTCCATTTCTAAATGTATTTTCATTGATCTGTGGTGGGGATTATAGATATTACCCTGGCAGTCATAAGACCCTGGAGTGTCAAGACACTATACAACCTCCAACATGTGACTTTAAAGAGAGAAAAGAGAAGCAAGTCCTAAAAATAAATATTAAATAAATAAATAAATAAAAATTTAAAAAAAATCCACTGATGAAAACAATATACATTGCACTAAACCTATGGTTTCCTTAAGGTAATCATATCATATTCTGCACTGGTGACCTGATGTGAACACACAGAAAACTAGAGGANAGGAGCCGGCGGAACATACGGGTCGGGACTAAAACCATGGGTACCGCCAGCGCCTACGCTGGTGGTACAAATACATTAATAATAATAATAATAATAATAATAATAATAATAATAGTAATAATAATAATAATAATAATAATGAAAAATAAAATAACAATGCAGTAACAAATATATATATATTCTTACAATAATTATACTGAGCAAAATGTGAAAGGTGGGATTATACAAAATGTTACACATTGATAAAAAGAGGACTTCACATACAAAATGATATGTACACTTAATATTATTATATTATACAAAAGGTTGAAGTAAAAATATAGATACCACTCCAGTCAAATGACTGAACAGAAAATGACGCAAGAGTAAGCTTGTTAATTAACTACTTTACAAGAACTTTACACGTTTCTTATTTGGCTGATGCATCATATTATAGAATATCCCCTTTCAGGAGTTTAAGTGGCCATGGTTTGTTGTGATACAGTATTGTTTACCCTCTGGTTACAATTGGTGGCAGTGACCAAAATTACAAAAATAAAACTGAAAATATGTTCTGTTCCTTTGATTGATATTAAAACAGCATCTGGGACTATTTATATTTATGCTGTTAAAATATACAAATCATTATAAATATAAATGAAACAGCACAAACCAATGAAATGAGCACAATATATCTTGAAATTGAAACTATGCTGTAAGGGTTTTTGTTCAAATAAAGTGCTTGAAATGGGCAGCTTTAATATTACACCTGTAATTACCTTGTTCTGACACAATAAACCAAAAGATCCCTGGGTCAACATGTTTTTGAATGTAGACAGATGCCCCTAAGTCCAACTGGTCATGCAGGCCAAGAGTTAATTAATTTTTTTCAACAGCTGTGCATGCCAATTTTAAGTCTGCTCCATGTTCATTCACTGGTGTGGAACATCAGAAGAAACCAGAGATTTACGTTTTGAAGAAATAAACTCCAATTTGCAAATCTTCCTGCTCATTACCTGCTACAAGTACAAAATACAACATACCGCTCTATGTGAAAAAAAATAAATAAAACTAAAAATAAATAAATAATAAATAAAAAGTACACGGAAACTGTTCTTATTGATATCCATTTGTATGAGTGCTATCTCCCATGGAGGGCAGAAAACTCGCAGTCTTTTTCATTTGTTCATAGCTCCAATGGAGCTGCTGAACCTCAGCCTTGTGACGCTCTCGTGACTCATCCAGCTCACGGATTAGGTGCTCATTTGTCTGCACTAGAGACCTAAAGGAATAAAATAAACAATGAAACCATTATTTAACAAAATATCAAATTCACTGCACATTAGGCAGATAACATAACATCATTTGAGGAAATGGGTATAAACACTGTGCTGCACATTTCATAAATTGATATGAGAGAGAGAGAGAGAGCCTCCAATTGAAGAAAAGACTTAAATTCAATTTCTAATTAATTAAAAGCAGAAGCTAAGTTTATTTTCCGTTTTTTTTTCCTTCTAGTATAAGAAAAATCAAAATTCAAATGTTGAAAACCAATGAAGTATGTTTTTAATAACATTCATGTTTGAATCTAATAAAGTGCAACATCAATTAATACCTCAAAATTTTCATGCTCAACTGAAAATTTTAATAAAAAGAAACAAGTGCAGAAGACACCCATACGAGAGAGAGAGGAATGACTACAGTTCTTACTTGTGACTCTCCTGTAACATGGATGCCAGTTCCTGCATCTGGGCATACTGCTTCAGACGAATCTTTAACGTGTCCCTCTCGTGTTGCAACCTCTGGTTTTCTGCATGCAGCTCTTCTGTAACGCGATGACAACAGAACTTACTCGTGTTGCGAGAGAACCAACTCAAGTTTTTAAAATAACAATTTATAATCATTTCATCACATTTTGACGGGCCATTCACACCTAAAACAGGCCCTCCACTTCTGTTCAAACAGGCTGTCCAATGGCTAAACCCTTGTGATGTCCACTATGGACTCATTCCCAATAAAGCTATCATTCTACTTAGATTGATCTAACTCTGTAGGGACTCTCACTGAATGCAATCAGATTAACAAACATCCTCTTGTTTCTAATGTACTCCTATAACCAGCAGGCCCAGTTTTATAAAGGACGTTTAGCACTAACCAGTGTTAAACTCTAAACAGACCTTAATAGTCTGTTAGTAAACTGACCTTTTAAATTATTTAATCCAGTCAAACACTGGCCAGTTAACTAATTGGCTGTTTTCTGTTAGAAGACTGTATATAAAACACAATTTAACCATCTTTTAGTTAATGGGTGTTAGGGGAATTTATCCACTGATTAGGGTTATCCACTGGTTAGTGCTCAACGTCCTTTATAAAACTGGGCCCAGCTTTTCTGTATTCTACTCAATACCAAGAGGAGGTGTGTTAATCTGTTAATCTCACTGCTTTCAGAAAGAGTCCCGGCAGAGTTGGATCGATCAATGTAAGACAAGAGTTTCAATGGGAATGAGCCCCATGAGCCATACTGGCACACCATCCAGCTGTCATCTGGATGGCCACCAGCATCGCTAGATAGCCTATATTTTCAAAGAAGTCTAGATGGCTTATGGCATCTTTGGTAATATGACAGCTTTAAGCATACTTGGACTCCCTGAAATTTTGTTGGAAATAACAGGTGGTAATTTTGGATGGCCTATACCCCTAATAAGAAAAGTCCTGCATATAAGTGTTTGGTATGGACCAGCTGGAACTCAAATCCATCCCAGGCGCCATCTTTAGGGAACCACTCTACCTACCAAGATGTCCGCTGTCCACTGCGCTGGAACCCAGTCCTGTGAAAGATGTGTTCTTGGCTGTCTGTTGTCCACCTTCTGATGCTGAGAGCCTCTGTTGTAACACCTTGTTCTCCTCAATGGACTGCTGCAGCCTTTCTCTTAAGATTTCCTTAAGGTTTTTTAAAAGATTTTAAATCATGATATACTGAAGCCCTTTTTTAAAAACCTCATAAACAGTTACATAGACATTACACGGTCTAAATTTCCCAGGATATTTTTTATATCATTCTAAGGAAAACAATTTTGTAAATATCTCTGATTTAGCAAAAAAACATTTTTTAAAAATGTAATAAAAGTTTTTAAAAAATTAGTGCATACATTTGCCATGATAATATCCATATAAAAAAGATAATTTTTTTTGGGGGAACTGATGTATTTATAAATTCACACCATTCAATCCTTACCACATCTTTCTGTGCTTGGTGTAAAGTGTTTTTAAGTCTAGGATCCTCTTCTTCAGCTCTCTGGTTAGCCAGGCTCTCAAGCCGTTCCCGTAGCAGACTATTCTCTTGCTTTAGCCTGTCTATCTGCTCCTGTACCTGGGCCATGCCAGGGCTCTCATCTTGGCCCTGCAGGTGCTCATTCAGGTAGCTGTGGGCCATCTCTGAAAGTAAGGCATGCCAATAAGGGTTTTCCCAGCAAACCATCCAGCCGTTTGGATGGCCTCCAGCATCATTGGATGGCCAATATTTTCAAAGACAGCTGGACAGCTTAAGGATTTTTTTGGAAATATGACGGCTTGAGGCATACTTGGACTCCCTGTAATTTTGTAGGAAATTAGGGTTGGAAATTTTGGACGACCTGTACCCTCAATCCTGGGAAAAGTCCTGCATGTCAAACATAGCTGCAGTCAAAGTACGCCTTATGCCAGGAATATGAGGATCAAGATACATATCTTGATATAATATCTTAGCAACCAGTCTGTGATAGTAGCACTAGCCCCACATCTAATGCCAACAAAAATTTGTAAATTTAATGATTTACTGTTCACTTTTTCCCCCGATTTGGGTCAGAAGATTCTTAGACCCTTGCAGCTTGAAAAAAAAAAAAAAACTTACAACACCAATGCTTCTAGACCTTAAATAACTTGAGCAGCAGAATAAACAAACATTTTCGCAATTTTCACTTTTATTCCAGTACAGTATTTCTACAATACAATGCATGGACTAGGATAGTGTGCATAGTTTCAGGGATAACAATAAATATCATTTAAAAAAAAACTCACTTTGAAACCTGGAATTCCTATGTAAAGATTTGGCCCCATTCCAATACTTGTCTGCCAGATCACAGAGATGACTTAGCAGTTCTTCTCTGCCCAGCCCTGCTGACTCACTGCTGACATCTGGTGGTGGCCTGATGGAAGATGGCGGCTCGAGGATAGATGGTATTTGTGACAGGGTCGTTTGGCGTTGGTCTGGCTGTGGCTGGAGTTTCTCAGGAGGAGTGTGACCAAGCTGCAGACAGAATATATATATAATGTAATGAATTGAATAGCATCTAAAACCCCCTTTACACTGGACGTCGCTCTTTCAGCGTCCTTTCCGCGACCATGAAACTTGAATCACAGTGGTCATAGAAAGGAGGCACAAGCATCGCTTTGGTTGCAGAAGGAATGCTCAATGAACGACCAGTTGTCAACATGCAAAATACATATTTTTTACTCTCAAACAGTGTATTTTGGAAGAGATTCAAAAGTGGAGAATGGATTAACATAGATAATTTGGAGGTCTGTTGGAAAATATGTCCGGATCTGCCCCTGACTAGCGCTGAGATTTTTTGATAGATAGCAACGTACTGCTGAATGGTAGTACGGAGGGTTGTTGGGTTGTGACACACTGCTAAACATAATACCATTTTAAATTGACTAACGCTGAGATATTTTGATAGCTAACCTGGTGTTGTACACTCCTGGATGGGGAGATACTGCTGTACGGTATGTTAGACTGGGCTTGCACTGGGGGTTGAGCATAATTCTGTTCCTGTGTCAATGGCTCTGCTGTGACCTGACCAGAGGTAAACTTGATGGGTTGACTGCTGGCAGTACCTGAAACACAGTGATAGCAAGGGATATCGTAAAGTTTGCAATGTCAGTTTTAAAACATATACTGACCTTTACCAGGCCCTACTGTACTAACTGTGGATCTATCTATCTCTGAAGGATTCTCGAAAAAAAAATTCCAATCAACCTGAGAGGCTTAGATGTCTGTCAAACCTACTGAAGCTGCTAGGGGGTAATTATCGCTTAGCAGCTTCAGGCCTACCCAACTACTAGACTCGGCACATAAGGATCCTGAATTAACCGGTACATCGGACCACACTACCCGTTTTCAAGGTGTGTGTCAGATCGCATTTCTGCGTATCAGTCAGAACACTGACAGGATGAGCCTGCAGTCGTCCTACAAAAATTGTTCTGGGGTATGATACTTAGAAATACGATCTGACACACACCTTGATAACGGGTAGTGTGGTCTAATATACTGGTTAATTCAGGATCCTTATATGCCGAGTCTGGTGGTAGTTGGGTGGGCCTCGGCTTCAGTAGGACTGCCTGTACCCAAATCCTGGGAAAAAGCCCTGATTTTCAATATCAAATATATAATATTGTGAAACTGGAACTGGATAAAAATGAAATCTGAAACCTGTTACTGTTAATGTTTTGACTTTGGCTTTAGCTAGCTGAAATTGCAAACCATGATCTCTAAGAGGTCTTGGTATTTTAAAACTACTAACAGTAAAAAGCATCTTTTAATGTTAATTCAGAGCTAGTGAACGTAAACTAAAAAACAGACTCTAAAATATCAGTCAAAAATCAACTGGAAATATTGGATTTGGTTTCAGAGTTTATAAAACTGATTTATTCATTTCTTGTCAATAGTTAACTTATGATTTTGTCCCCTACCTGGGTGTGGAGTGAAATGACCTTGGACTTTGTAAGATGTGTAGGCATCAATCTCATCTTGAAACTTTAAATTGGTGTCAGCTGGTTTATGAGAAGAATCTTGAAAATGTACCCTAAAAAACAAAGAGCAAAGCTTCTGCAAACAAAAAAGCTCAAACTGATACCATGTTAATTTTTTGTTTAGCAACTAAACAACTGCTCAAATTTAGATTCTCACACAAGTCTTTCTTTTCAAGTTATGATTGTAACACACTTTCAAAATGAAAACCAAAATACTCAACAATTATCACAGCTTCTGTTTAAAAACTATTTGAGGAATCAGAAAAGAATTCCCTTTCATATGTTATGCACCAAGAGATAGAGCAGTTATTTTTCTTCAGTCAACATCTAGTAATGAAATAGTTCTTTACCTCCAAATTTAGTGTGTGCCCTTTATAGAAACTATACAACTGAAAGCCCCCATTCCCCAGTGAAGAAACTCTAAACAGACATAAAAATATTGGAGGTACACAACCATTTTCAAAGCTAGCTGTTGATTGCAGATAAAAAAATTACTGCTTCATTCCTGTTCAAGGAATGAAGTCTTACCTGAATTCTTGTTTTCCTGTGCCAGCATTCCTGTGTAGAGGGTCTGCATGCTCTCCTATACTGCCAAACAAGTGGGGGTATCTATTGTGATAGGAGTCTGAGGTTATCTGAGGGGCTGTGCCTAGAATAAGACACATGGCAAAAGTAATAGATAGATACACCAGCAGTCAGCAAGGTGCAGAGGTCAATAGTACCACCTGTACTACCCTGGTCCCAGTTTCACATTAGTAAAAAAAAAAAAAAATTGCATTTCAGCACTCTCACATGTACACTTGATTAGCCAGGGAACTGACTTGAATATTTTTTGTGAAACTGGAGCCTGGACACATGTAAAATTGTCCTGCATTTTGTGAAGCGTATTCATCAATGATGCCAAAATGTTATTTTCCTTTCATTAAATTGTTTTCTTTAAGTCTATAAAAATGTGCTCTCTGTTTGTTTCCTTAAAAAAACTCACCACTGACAGTCTGTCCCTTCATGGCTTTGTTGATGGGGGACCCCGGGGGGTATGTGGGGACTGGGGGTGGTGCTGAGGCCTCCATTGCAGCAGACTCCATTCTTTTTATCCCTGTATATACCATCACATTTATGATAAGATTTCCGTTTTTTTTAACTTTGAAAAATTTAATGCAATGTAAGTGCATAAAAATTATGTGGACAATTACATTTAACAGCATAAGCACTTTTTAACAATGGAGATTTAATTACTCTTAGGCAATTACTCTCTCTCTCTCTTTCTCTCTCTCACACACACACACACACACACACACACACACACACACACACACACACACACACACACACACACACACACACACACACAGTTACAACATTTATCTACCACCAACCTCACATACAAATAATTATGTAAGTAAACAAAGTCCTTACTCTCAGGTGAGTAATCCACAGCTTCAGGCTGAGTGGCACTGGAGCCTGTTATATGGCGTGGCTGGCTCAGGTCTCCCTTGGTCCTTGCTATCAGATCTAACAGCTCAACATCATCATCATCTAATGCTGGAAATGACATACAAACTTCTCAAAATCTTAAGATGAATATAGCAGTTGTAAATAATATCATCTGCTAAAGCAGAAAATAACTTTCAACAACAACATCAACATCTGGGCTTGCGATAACGCTCGCCAAATTAGCAAATGTGAAAATAAATCGACTTTGGGGGGAAAAAAAATAATCGGTTTTCCCTGTTTTGGCAAAAGCATATATGGCCAAGACAGGTAATTAAATTTGCAGTTACTACTGGTAACAAATGGTATATAAACATATCCTGCTACATTAAGAAGACTCTGCACTCTAATAGAGTCTTTTCCACGAAATCGTGAGCATGCGCAGTTCGCGCCATTTTGTGCGGGACTGTTTCTCAGGGGGAAAGAGTAGAAGGCACTGTGAGTAGAAGGGGCCTTCGGTACTTTTGTNTTACTATAATTTGTAGGAAATTACAGGTGGTAATTTTGGACAGCCTCTACCCCTAATCCTGGGAAAAACCCTGGTCTGGGTGAGCCCAGTCCATGTACTTACCAAGTTTCCTGAGGCTTGGAAGCATGTGTATTAAGAACAGTCTGTAGTCTGGTTCGTTGCGTGCCACAGGGTTGAGGCGTAGATCTAGCTCCTGGAGAGATTCGCAGCCCCGTAACCTGTAGAGCTCACTCAGTGTTGGCACGTTGTTGTAATAGCTGAGCACAATATGGTCAGGAGAAAAAATTTATCTCTATTTAACAAGCCTACATGCTAATTATTTTAAGCCAAATTCTCTCATTTTAAATGTCATTGCGTTTTTCAAGCAAGAAAAATAACTTATTGAAATTAAACCCATTGCATAGTATAAAAATAAAATAATAAACTATATTTCAAAAGTGAATGCTCTACTTATTCCTAAAGCTTACAAAGCAACAAACAATAAATCTTTTTAACCCCTTAAATTTTCATATCATGCAAAACATCTCTTAAAAATCAGAAATTACCATCAATAACAATAGCTTATGCTACTCACGAAATTTTCCTTCATGTACCACAGTTTTCCGTTACTGAATTTACTCAAACACTGAGCGCTGAATTCTAAACGTTTCAAACCAGTTCAAATTCCAGAGGCACAAACTGGATAGGTTTCAAAGTCCTGATTGGCTTTTATTGACTTCCTCTACCAATAGTTTAGCTTCTATCAATAGACATTGTGTGACTTTATAAACAACAAAAAAGTTGGAGGACAGCATTGTTTACATACTGTTTTGAACTGTTTACCTTCCACTGTAAGACTTTACGGCTGTAATGCACACTGCATACCTTTTACAGATGATCGCTTTCAATTTGCTCACAATAACGCAGGGCAACAAATGAACAGTCAGAGCCTCTCTCACAGGCTTAGATTTTATGATATTATTATAATTAAACTGTTGAAAGTCACAGTCTTAAATACAATCAAATTTAACTTTATATACTGAAGGATACAGATTTAATTTCTCCAGCATTTTAAGGTGTTCCAAACCCTGAAAAACCAAAAGAAACATTGTTCATTTCTGTTTGAATTTTCTATTTTAAAACATCTTTCAAAGTAATCTTACTTCAGTCATCTGTTAGAGAAATTACCTGCATATAGTCACTCTAAAGTCTTTAGTGTAATATGCAAGTCATGATTTTTTTGCAAATTAAAAAAAATAATATTCAATAAGTTCTCAAGAGAGGTTAAATTGCAAAAAGGAGTAATCGAACATATATTTTTAACATCATAATTTGAAAAAAAAAAATAATAATACTAAATTTGGAAAAAAAAACTAAATGATCCATTTTTCCTCATAATTAATTGTCTTAAATACAGGTATCCATTATCATTTTTGTGTTATTATAATATAGATTTATATCTACCTCCAAACTTGTAATAGCATTTCTGGAAAGATCCAAACTTTTGAGACGACTGAACTTCCTCAGTGCACTTCCAAGACTGTCTATTTTGTCAACATAGTTCCCACACAGTGAGAGAGAACGAACATCCTCTGTAATAAAAATAGAAAATAAACTGCCAATACTCGCAATTTAAATACTAGTAGTAAGCATTTGTCCACAATGTGTCAGTAATTTTTTTAAATTCTACTACACTATAAAACATACACCACAAAACACACACGTCTGTTAAAGTGTTATTAATTTTATTTTAATTATTTTAAGTGATGATAAAATTGATCTCATTTGCGATTGATATCATTTTGTTGGTGGTGGACGATGAGGAGAAGCTGAACCTGTGTGTGTGTGTGTGTGTGCGTGTGTGCGCGAGTGTGCGTGTCAGTCAAGAGGGGTCTTCTAGCTCACACAAAAATTTAGAAAAAAAAATGCATACAGTGTGATATAATGATCGTCATTGCATTAAAATTATTATTATCACATACATATGTGACAGCATCTGTTTTAAGTTGTAGAAGTGGATGGATTCACAGGAGGGTCGCACAGAAACATGAAGCTAGGCTCCGGCCCTAAGAATCTGGACCAAAAGCAACCGAAATATAAACCTAACGTGGGTGAAGTAATAACTTGCCATTAGTCAATATAAGGAACACTTTTCTGAGAGAGGGTCATTGGGATGGAATGCACAACCCTTACCTAGATTATCGTGCTTCAAGTTCACACGTTCGCGAATCCAATCCTCTGTTATTATGAGCGCCATTTTTCAAATGGCTGTAGTGGCGCATGCGTATTGCGAGATGAAATAGAAATTCCATAAAATTTGACTTTATTTGAGGAACCAAATGTCTTTCAAAAATCACTAATCATGGTGATTTATTTTTAACGTATCAAAAATTAGATTCAATTACATAAAGTTTTACGAAGTTTAAATTAATTTGAAATTAAAATAACTTATGAACTTTAAAGAAAATATTTTTTCCGCCTCTCGCGCTTGATAACTACGAACCAAACATTTACACGTGAAAGTGAACGAGGGGTGTGTTTTGTGTTGTTTTGGTAAGCCACATTATTTAAAACTGTGTTCACAAACATATTCAATCATTCTTTAAATGGGTGCATACAGAGAGTATACTAACTCATTCTGTATTTGATATTTAAATGCCAGTGAGTTAATAATCAGGAATAAATTAATGTTTTGGAGAAGAATATCACGCCGGCAGACAGGCCGTAGACTGTGTTTGTATTAACCCATTACAGTGACGTCATATTTGCTCCGTAACACTAGTCCAGCAGCCATACTGGAGGGAAAGAACTACGGGGATTAGTAGCGTAAATATAGGTAAACCAAATATAATAAACTAAAATGCATATCGCGATCAAGTACACCAAAAGGAAGAGTGTATATACATGTGAAAACTACAGCTGATCAGCGGGATCGACCCATATAAACTCAGGACAGTCCAAAGACAAGAAATCCTGATTTATCCCAAATTGGAATTGTCAGAAGCTAGTTCAGTTATCTTGTACTTCATTTTTCTTGTTCACTGGATAATAACAGTTATAGTTTTAGAGAGTTTAATGTGTAATCATAAGTTCAACCTTTCATAGAAGCAACTTTTTACATAAAGGATAGATGTAAGGAGAAATTTGAGCTGACAATTGGGATCGACCCTTCAGGACTCAAAGAAGACAGTATGCAGGGTTGNTATAGCGAACTACAGTGACTTCACTAGTCAAGAGCTTTCTGCCTGCACATAAAGGGACACTTAATGGGGTTTTCCTGCCAGAATGAATTTTCCAGTGGAATACAACAATCTCCTCCTACTCACGAATAATATTGCTTGACCCGTCCTTGCACTTGAATTAATTCTCTGTTTTATTCCATTTACAATAATTTAAGGCAGTAACTTTAATTTAAATGACTGGCCAGTCATTATCAATTTCATAACCTCGTTTCAGGCAACAAAATGACGATTTGCTTTGAATCACAGCCCTGTGCTGTGTATAATACAGATGTTGCAAGCTGGCAATGACTACCTGAGAAGGCTGAGAAAGTGATAACGACACGAGATACGCTTCAGAAGCTGCTCTTTACCCGAGGAAAATTCATTTGGGCAGGAAAATCCCATAGAGTGTCTCTTTAATGCAAAATCTTCTCTGTCTTCGTTATCTGATTTGGCTTCAGATTATCTGATTCACCGTTCCAGAGCTTGTCATTTCAATTCTAGACCAGTGAGCAGTCTGTCTCATGGCAGATTTATCAGACTTGCCACACAAGGCCCCATCTCCAGCATCAAGACCCAAGTGGAAGCGTTACTATGTGAAGGGAGACATAGTTCCATTTGAAGAAGATGCCACACATGAATTTAAAGGACATAGGAACCTCTCAGTGGAAGATGTACCCCCCTGGGCTGTTGGCCCAAATAATAAGAGAACAAGAAGAGCAGTGTCTCGGTATAGAATTCAAACTAAAAAGCTGGACTATTTCTACCTTAGTTATAAAATTTGTGAAGCCACATGCAGGCCTGTAGAAATACAAGGATGTTCAGATGACATATCTGGGGGACAAAATAATTTTTTTGCAAAAAAAAAGAAAAAAAAAATTAGATAGATATTTTCTTATATTATGGGCTTGAGTGTCGATATGTACACTCTGTGTTTATATACTAGAAATTTATTGATGTTGCTGGATTTCTGGATTAAAATATACCAATCCTAATTATTTTTTCTGTTTCTCCAATTTACAAAAACAAAAAGCAACAACCCAGCTACTGTGTTTGAAAGGTATCAACCTTCAACACAGTCTACTTTCAGTGGTAAAAAAAAAAAACAACAACAACAAAAAAAAAAAAAAAAACTGATATATTGTTTTATTTTTTTCAGGACCTTGAATGGCTTTCTGAACACTGGCAAAGGTGGGACAGTTTATCTTGGGATCACTGATGAAGGCCACGTCCGTGGCCTTAATCTTACTCAGTATATAGTAAGTAAACGCATCGATTAGATGGTCACCTGGAGGGGGTAATGAACTCCTGATCAAGATATGTATGGACTTCTTGATTTTATATTTGCTTGTTGTTTCCTTGCAATTGGTACTAGTATACTAGTAAGCAGATTTGGAAGATTTCCTCCTGCTTTGAGTAATTTTTTCTTTGCCAAATTTTTGGTTAAAATGTCAAAAATGAATGAAGAATTCAGAGGAAGGGGTTTGCTCCTTTTACTGCCATTTTTTGCTTCTACCTTAGCATAAGAGGCCAAAATTGTTGCCTCTGGCATACCAGGGATGCTAACATTGCTAAGAAATAATCTGTACTCATTTTCTTCTTACTATTCGAACCGATTGAGCTTTAAAAAAACAGTACTGTTACACTCAGGTCAGTTATGTAACAATGTATGAAAATGACTTGACCTCATATTATGTGTTTAATATGCATGGATATACTCGTAGTCATTTCCATTAAATTGCACCACCTCTTTTCTTTACCCACCAGTATGTTTTCTGTGGACCTGAAATCACACGTTCCATTTATTTTCATCAGAAAGATCACATGGTGGTGGCTGTGGATGACCTCATGAGCCGGTACACACCCCCCGTGGCTTCTCACCGCTACAAGATCAGGTTCATACCTGTGGTGCAGAGAGATGCTACAGAGGAGCAGATTGAGACCCTGTGTAACTATGATTCAAGGCGAGTTATGTGGTACTATTCAACTTGACACCATTTTTTTTAAATAATACAAAATTTTTACAACTTACAGTACTTGATCAGTTGGATTATAGATGGTAAATTTTATTATTGTTATTATTACTATTATTTTATATTTATTATTATTATTATTATTTTGCCAAGCCTAAAATCCTTGATCATTTAACTTTACCATATGTGTTTTTGGATGGATCAGTTTCAACCCTTCTCAATTATCGACATGTGGCATACGAGAGTTTTCAATACCAGTTCTCAGCATTATACCAAGAGCAGATTTTGGCCCTTGTTTCGATTAACCATCCATATGCTGAGATATGTTAGCACAGGCATACATAGCAATTAATCAGGATCACAGTGAGTGCATAGTCATTGTTGATAGTCAGTCAGTATATCTTCATGGGCTAAGGATTCATTTTTAGTAGGTCTTGTATATAAGAATGCAAGGTTTAAGCTTCATTTCATATCCTGTTATTTCAGTATTCATATTGACCCAGATGTCAGGTTGAAGCCACACATCCTGCGAATGTCCAACTACTGCTGGTGTGACAGGGACCATATCGCCAGGATTAACTCAGTAAGTTAAAGCTAAGATCTAATAAACAGAAAGATTGGACAGCGGCATTTTCCCTTCGACCAGACGTTCGTACGGGTGAACATTGCTCTATTGTTCCCCTTAAGTTGTTTTGATAGCCGGGCTTAATTTTAATCCCCATTGTACCTAACCCGTGTTTAGCGAATAGCGTGATTTCTCGTGCATTCTCGCGGACGCCACATCGTCGTCAAGTAGATCCGCCATATTGGATAAGCAATGGCACACGTGGAGTTTTTTTATTAAAAAGTTCTAAAGATGTACAGTTTGTTTACATTTCGTAGTTGTCTTAATACTTTATATTCAGAGGAGGCAATACCCAATAGCGCACTACCTGTAACAACAGCTGCCATTTTATAGAAATTGACTCAACTTGGAGATATAGCCGGAAACGTGACGAGATCATCAACGTAACAGATAGTGATATTCGATGCCGTTTTGGACAATAAGGTCATGCTAATCACTGGGAGAAACTGAATGGTGAAGCTACACCAANAAAAAACAACAACAACAACAACAACAAAAAAAAAAACTGATATATTGTTTTATTTTTTTCAGGACCTTGAATGGCTTTCTGAACACTGGCAAAGGTGGGACAGTTTATCTTGGGATCACTGATGAAGGCCACGTCCGTGGCCTTAATCTTACTCAGTATATAGTAAGTAAACGCATCGATTAGATGGTCACCTGGAGGGGGTAATGAACTCCTGATCAAGATATGTATGGACTTCTTGATTTTATATTTGCTTGTTGTTTCCTTGCAATTGGTACTAGTATAAGCAGATTTGGAAGATTTCCTCCTGCTTTGAGTAAATTTTTCTTTCCCAAATTTGGTTAAAATGTCAAAAATGAATGAAGAATTCAGAGGAAGGGGTTTGCTCCTTATACTGCATTTTTTGCTTCTACCTTAGCATAAGAGGCCAAAATTGTTGCCTCTGGCATACCAGGGATGCCAACATCGCTAAGAAATAATCTGTACTCATTTTCTTCTTTCTATTCGAACTGATTGAGCTTTAAAAAACAGTACTGTTACACTCAGGTCAGTTATGTAACAATGTATGAAAATGACTTGACATCATATTATGTGTTTAATATGCATGGATATACTCGTAGTCACTTCCATTAAACAGCATCGCCTCTTTTCTAATTGTTGAAATGCATACCACTACACGAGGACCACTAAAAATTAGCTGGGACTAGTAACACAGCAAAGTCACTGGTCTTATAGGACAGGCGACCCCAATTTTCTGTTTCAGCCTATGTCTTTCCCCACCAGTATGTTTTCTGTGGACCTGAAATCACTTGTTCCGTTTATTTTCATCAGAAAGATCACATGGTGGTGGCTGTGGATGACCTCATGAGCCGGTACACGCCCCCCGTGGCTTCGCACCGCTACAAGATCAGGTTCATACCTGTGGTGCAGAGAGATGCTACAGAGGAGCAGATTGAGACCCTGTGTAACTATGATTCAAGGCGAGTTATGTGGTACTATTCAACTTGACACCATTTTTTTTAAATAATACAAAATTTTTACAACTTACAGTACTTGATCAGTTGGATTATAGATGGTAAATTTTATTATTGTTATTATTACTATTATTTTATATTTATTATTATTATTATTATTTTGCCAAGCCTAAAATCCTTGATCATTTAACTTTACCATATGTGTTTTTGGATGGATCAGTTTCAACCTGAAATGAAACCGTGGCCCTTCTCAATTATCGACATGTGGCATACGAGAGTTTTCAATACCAGTTCTCAGCATTATACCAAGAGCAGATTTTGGCCCTTGTTTTGATTAACCATCCATATGCTGAGATATGTTAGCACAGGCATATATAGCAATTAATCAGGATCACAGTGAGTGCATAGTCATTGTTGATAGTCAGTCAGTATATCTTCATGGGCTAAGGATTCATTTTTAGTAGGTCTTGTATATAAGAATGCAAGGTTTAAGCTTCATTTCATATCCTGTTATTTCAGTATTCATATTGACCCAGATGTCAGGTTGAAGCCACACATCCTGCGAATGTCCAACTACTGCTGGTGTGACAGGGACCATATCGCCAGGATTAACTCAGTAAGTTAAAGGCACATATGAACCGAGCATCAGTGGAACGTGGATTCCCTGTAACATATGTAAACAATTTCTACTAGTTTCTTATGTGACTCAAATAAATTTAATTCGACATGCCAAGGGATAAAGTGATTAATTCACTGGATCAGCCATAAAAGGGCTTTAGACTGCTCCTTTCTTTAATTTTTTGGTCAAAAAATTAACCTTCTTTCGTGACCTACTTTTCTGCCCCTTTGATATACAGCATAGAATGCTAGCAGAAAAATCCATTCAAATACCTTTTTTTGGGGTAAAATTGGTAATTCTCTTAGTTATGCTACTTCAACTTGTATGCTGGCATTTTGGTTGGATTTTTTTTGCATGAGGGGATGTCTCTGACCCCAAAATGGCATTCCTTTGTAAAAATGGGCAAAACAATAAAAAAAAATTTGGTTGGCTTTTGTGGCAGATAATTGACTTCATATGCATCTTTAAAGGGGAGGGGTGCTAGTGGGCCTACCCCAACTTTTTACAGTCACATCGCCAGTGATAAGTGTAGGTACAATATACATGGGGGAGGGGGAGTGGAGGAGAATCTGCCTGTAAATACATTTTACTCTATGCCTCTTATTAATAGGATACACTTCAAATCAATAATTTATAAATCCTGTAAAACTGACCTTCTACCCCTCCCTCTCATAGCCCCTCCCTCGTGGGGTCCAGGTAGGGGACTACGAAGAATTAACAGAGCCCAGGAAGCTGAGGGTTCGTGCTCTTATTACCTCTCATTGGGAACAGTTACTATACTTCGAAGTCTCCCCCCGCTTTTTTCAAATTTTAATAAAAATGGCAAAAGCTATAAAACGATCAGGTTCTGTTTGTTTGTTCAGCTGAATCTCAGTACTTAGTGAAATAATAATAATAATAATAATAATAATAATAATAATAATAATAATAAAGGCAGTTTACATAATCAAAACTCATTTGGTTTTATTTTTAAAACATCAACTTGAATTTTAGAGGTAGTACCAATAACTGGCAAAGTCTTATCTTAAAGTTTATAATCCTTGTTATATCCCATATCAATCAAATACATATAAAAATATTCTCATAAAATTATAAAGAAAAAAAGAGGTTAACGTCAACTAGTTTCATAAACGAACAAAAAAGTCAACTGTTAACAATCCAGTTCTATGAAGTAAAAAGGTAACTGTGAAAAAAATAGATTATAGGTTAAACTGCAAAGGATGAATCTGCTAAAAGAGATAAAATTGATTATCTCAAATGTCTTTACGCTGATATTTATCTAACTCAGTTAAGACCTCCGCACACTTTCAGTTTTTCTTAGTTAAACATAGTGCTGGATGGTTCTATGGTACGTTTGCAGCATGTTCACTACATTTTTTTCGTGATTTATATAACAATTCAGTTGCTAATCTATGTACTTGTATGTGGATATTCCACCACGGTCAGTTCCAACTACAAGCTCCCCGTTCCTATTGACATCTACTGACAAAGGATTCTCAATGTCACTCCTTGTCAAAACGTTACGTAGAAACTTCCCGTCTGAACCAAGGACAACCACCCTGTGATTACCATAGTCGGCTATGAATATGTGTCCAAACTTATCTATGCACACTCCATCTGGATTACACAGTTGCCCGTCTCTACTTCCACTCTGACCTCGTGCTCCATATTGGAATATGATGTCACCCTGAGGTGTCACTGCATACACACAGTGGGTACTGCCATTGCTGACTATGATTGCATTGATGCCGTGGTGGTATGCACAGGACAATGTGCCTCCACTGCACATTGGGATAGGAATTTTGTTAACAAGTTGAAAAGTTATCATGTCGTACACACAGAGGCACTGTACACCACTATCACACACGTACACCTTACCCTCTGTATGGTCCACAGTGACACCCCAGGGGTTAGACATATCACCCTGACCAAAACATCGGATAACCTTACCTGATGTTGAATACAGTCTACAGCATTTGTCATAGCATGTGGCCACAAATTTATCATTACTGACTGTAGTGATACGCCACGCCCTTCCCTTTATATTGATCTGACGATTACAGTGACCTGTGCTGGTGAAAACAGACGCTTTAATATTAAAGCCCAATTTACCATGTACAACTAAAGTGCACTCGTCATCTGTGCACTGGACATCCCATACCCAACCCTGAACATTTAAACAAATACCCCGCTCTGGTGTTTCAAGCCATGTGAATTTCTGAACCCGCTTGGGATAGCACGCTCTCTTTTGTTTCAAATTTCCAAAATACGTATCCAAGGGACCCCGGTATGTTTTGGCCGTAATGGACCTTGTTTTGATAGACAGCAGCCGTTGTTCAGGAATTGTAGGAAGCTGCAGCACAAGGTCCATTGCTGTTTCCCCTGGTGTAAATGTTATATTGGTGATGTTGGTATCAAAGACTGGTTCTAATGTCTGCAACTCCTGAATTCTAGCTTGGAAATTTTTAGAGTGGGCCATGATCTCAGTGTCAGAACTGGTGTCTATAAGTTGCTGAGCAAAATTACGAATGCTCTGAATGGAAATCCTGTTCATTTCTTGCTTGTCCTTTTCAGCTTCTAAAGTCTTCACCTGCATGGAGGTGACTGCCTTAACTTCCTTTGTTATTTCTTTGCTTTTGTCATCTATAACTTTCTTCATTTTGGTGTAATCTGACTGTACTTTTGTTTCATAAGTTTCCAAATGCTGTTTGACAGTGGTCAAATATCTGTCCGTCTGTTGACGTATGTCCTTCTCTATTTGTTGATAATAATCTTTGATTTCTCTTTTAATTGTTTTACTGTTTTCATTTATCTCCTTAGTCATAGCTAATTTTTGAGAGTCCACCAAACGAAGAACCTTTGTCTGATTTTCAGTCAGCCCCTCTTCAGTTTCCACAATGAATTTTTCTGCCTTTTCAAAACGAGACAGTTTTTCTGTTGTTAGACATTTAAGCTTGGTTTGTATAAGATCTTGTTGAACTTTCACCACATCCCCTACTTTCTTAAAGTCATGTTTACTGTGTGTTTCCAAAATACAATCTCTACATGCCACGGTGTCATCCTCTTCACAATAGAATGTTAGTAACTCGCCATCGTGTTTGTCGCAGTATTGAGCTTTTTCTAATATGTGACGTAACTGATCTTGTATGTTAGCTGGGTTAACTGAGAAATTGACGTGTGACAGAGGTACAAAGTGATGTCCATTTAATGCAGGAATGCTGTCATGTAATTCACGACATGTAGCGCAGAGTTGGTTTGTTTTTGGACATCCTTGGCACAGCAAAGTAGCCTCTTTATGCTTACAGTACTCACAAAGTTTCCCCTCTGGCGCTTTCTGATCTTTCATGAAGTCTGTTACTTTTCTTAAGAAGAAGTTTTTCACGAGAGTTTCTAACCCACCTGGTGGTACGGGGGCCTCTTGGCGACACACGGGACAGGAGAACTTGTTTTGGATACCATTCTTAGCTGCATGGTCGGCAATGCATTCCAGGCAAAATGTGTGGTAACAGGGGAGCACTCTCGGGTCTTTATATTCCTCCAGACATATATGACACATTAAGAAGTTCTCACTGAAGACGCTGCACATATCTTTCGAAGCCATCGCCATGGTTTAGGTGCCCAAAGTGGGCACAGCACCCTGCCCTCCTACACGCCGACCGCCCCGCTCTACTGCTGCCAAAACCATTGCGTACACTTTATATATCATTTAATAAGTTATCTATACTACTTCAAAGTTGCAACCCCATCAACATATCCCAATCAGGTGATGTTGGCAATAACCAGGTATCAAAGTCTAAAGCCTGTACTAGCTGAGTGCTTGACACATTATTGATACACTGTGAGGGGTGACCCCCCCCCCCTCCTCCTTCCCCCCCCCCCATATATCCCCTGGTGTTATTGTGTTGTAGCTTTGGCAATAGGTGATGAAATGTGGGATGACAGTTGAATCATTCTGTTTTTTCATAAAGTGACATGGATGATGACAACATTGGAAAGGGTGTTTTGAGAAATGAAACTGATCAAAATAAAGATTGAAGCCCTCAGCCTCTATACACCAAGCCACTGATATTGGACATGTATGTGTTTTAGAGCCTGCCCCCCTTACACACACTACACACACACACAGACCACCCCGCTCTACTACCAAGGACGTATATATAATTTAGTAGGTTATCTAAATGTGGAATTAATGCAGGATTCCACAAGTTGCCACTGATCGACACACCACAATCAGGTGATGTTGTCAATAACCAGGACGGTATCAAAGTCTATCACCAACCATGTACAAAAAATAGTTTGAAATAAACAATCTGCTTAATATCAATCGACCTCGTTAAACATTAACCTATTTATTGCTAGTATTAGATCATTATCTATTTACAAATCTACAAGGCCTTTGTTAACAGTGTGCCACTGTTACAGCTTGTCATGAATGCCTATATACCACGCGCAAATAAAAAAAAGGGCAATCCAAAATATTCTGCATTTCGATATACATCAGATATACGTAAAGTTGCACAAAGTAAAATAAGGACACCTAATGAGTTTTGCATATTTCATTGCCTATTTCATACGCTAATACTGGTAAGGAAGTCATCCTACTCGGAACACATTCAATCAACCTATGTTACTACCAAACCTGTGTGTAAAACACATGTATATGTGTAATATGATATCGATAAAATTCTTTAGATTACTGAAATACCTGAAAATTGTAACTGTCAAAATGAGAGACCCAGTTATGAAAACAAGTTCCAACAAAGCTACTGAAATTAGATTCGGCAATGCACTATTAGTAACATTTCAAGCGCAATCTTCCCAAACCACTTGTTTGTGGCTATATGTTCTGGGCACATTGACTGGTTGCATATGAAGCACATGGTTCACTTCAGTACAATATAAAGTACTGAGTAGAAGTGGAATATTTGAATAAAATTTAAACACCAATGTTTAAGGACCAATGCTTCTCTTCTGGCTCATAGATGGCCCCACAAGAATTTGTGATGTAAATGCAACATTAATTGGTTAATCCCAGCATAAAACTGAAAGTGTGAAGGATTAGTATACTGACAAACTCGTGCTAGGAAAGAAAATTCGGATAAAAATGATGGGACCAACATTGAGGAGGTAGGACAAAAGGAGGGGGGGGGTTTGAAGTTATCCAGGCAATACTTCTGATACTCTATGCACTGAGGCTCAATCTCACATATTGTATTTTCTCAAATACAGAAAGCAGTGCACATGGGTTTAATAAAGTGATTTAAAAAATAATTTGTCATGAAGTGCATTAAAACTGCATGCATTTGTGATACCAAACTGGATTCTTCACATTTGTTGATTATTTATGTTTATTTTGAAAAAAAAAAAAAACTCTTCAGGCTACTGAATACCACATAAGGAGGTGGCATGGGAGGGAAAACATACTTCCCTACTGACAGGCTACTGTACTGCAATACATGTTGAAATAGGTTTTAGATGAGTTATATATTATGCAATGTTCTTAATTCAGAAGATTCTGAGTCCCGACTTCGTGGTAGAGATCACAATAAAACCGTGGGACCCCTCAGACCTCAGGAACCAGCAGTATACCAAGGCTGACCTCAAGCTGCCTGCTGTTCACGAGGATGAGGAGGGCAACTGTTACTTCCGACAGCAGGGCAGTGTAGTTTGTGTAAGAGAATATCGTATTGTATTATTGTTACACCAAAAAAAATTTGTTTAATGTTTTCCTTTCTTATTTTAATTGGAACTTTTGGTATTTCATTTTTTCAGAAAAAGAAAAAAATGTGCAAGGAAATTGTTGTTGATGACTACTGAATTATGCTCAGAAATAGTATTATTTCCTTTGACTTTTTGAGAAAATGAGACTAACAGTTATTTCTGACAGATATCAAGTTAAAATGAGAATTGAACTTGCTATATGACATTAAAAATAATACAAAACCTCCTTTTCAGTATTCTTTACAAGATGTCATTCAGAATACAAAAAGGGAAGTTCACGACCATTATACACAGCAGATAGAAAAGTGAGTGGTTGCATTACATCTTTATGATTATTCAACTCAAATCTGCTTTGAAATTATTCTTTAAAGATTGAGAAACATGCTGCACATTTAGGTAGGGCCGATTATAGATAACTCAAAAATATTCAGCAGTTTTTTTTTAGTGAAATCAGACAAAACTGATAGGTTCATTCAGAAACTACATTTAGACCTGATGAACCTTATCACGACATGTAACCTTTTTCGATTTTATGATGAAAATTAATATTTCTATTCAACAATTTGTAACTAGGTTGAAGGAAGAACTGTTTCCTGGGGTACAGCTGCAAGGCTTAAATCTCACAAGCTGATGTAGGAATCATTATAAACTCCAGTATTATGCAATTTCAAATTGGTAAAAGAGACAGATTTTTTACTGACACTGATGACCATGTAGTTGGCTTGCGATGTTGCTGATGGAAAGTTGGTCATTTAACAGTGAGGGTGACAGAAACAGCAGATACGGTTGCAGCGGTCGTTTTCTCAGAGATGTATTGACGGTTAAAAAAATTGTGCACCATGAAAATGAAATTATGGATCCTTTTTTTTTTTCAAAATTAACTTCCACATGAACTTGGAGCTATTCATTTCATTTTATAACTTTTTAACGTATTTTGGGATTAATTTTTCTAATGTTCACAATTATTTTTGTATTAGAAATAAAAATTATATTTTTGCTACAAAGTTTTAGAGTACAGTTTCTGCTTCAATAGAAATAGACTTTACAGAGTATTTTATAGAGTGAATGGTCTTTATCCAACTACATGTCCTTTTTTTAAACAGATTACATTTGTATCCTAGCAGCATATAACATCTTTTTGAAGTAATGAAATAACTAGGGTGTAAATTTTGGCTTTTATCGAAGAAATTCATGTTAATATTCATTGCAGTAATGAAGCCATAGTGATGCCAGGCACTTGTGTGATTGAGTTATTGCAACAAGTTGTTCAAAAAGACATTCTACTAATTGAAAAAAATAACACGATTATAGGTTTTACTAAAACATTTACTCACAACTATTGTATGTTTGTCATTACAAGAATGATGTTCAGCGTCTTATTTCAACAATAAGCAGGCCAAGTCATTTCAGGAAAAAAAGTTGCTTTCATGTTCAGAAAAAAAAATAAATAAATAAAATAAGTTCACAAAACTGTGGGTACATATTCTGTTCCCTTGTTTGGACCAGTTTTTGGAAGACTGAAGTACATCCTGTAGTTATCTCTTTGTTTTAGTTCCACAAATTTTTTTATCCACAAATTCTCAATGATAAAATATGACAGGGTTTGTCAGTAAATTCTGGTTACAAACCCCATTTTCAAATTATCCTACAAAACATAAAAAAATTAATTACTCTAATGACTTCTGATGAGGATAAAATTTAATAATATCTTCTAAAAACTTATTTTTTAAAACATGATTATTCTGTCTACTCTATACAGATTCAACTTTTTTTAACCTTGAAAATCTTCCCATATTTACTACAAACACAAAGTTTCAAGGGCAAACAATTTTGAACCGACTAATTTTAAATCCCTGAAGAAGTTTAAGTTCTACAATGGAACATAGTCTATATAGTATACTGTAGGGATACATACTGAATGAGTGGGTATACAGACACTACGTGAGATATACAACCACCCTGTATTCTCACCGATCTGAAATGATGACATTCACAATATAAATATGGCATTTGTGATAAAAATCACGAATCGTAATGCAAGCTGCACTCTTGACTGATATGTATCAAATAACAATCACTTAAACCCCCTTTACACTGGATGGCGTCCTTTCTGCGTCCTGTGGTACAGCCCTGTTTGAGAGTAAAAATGAAATTACGTGCCAACAACTGACTAATCATTGAGCATTCGTTCTGCAAGCAATGCTTGTGCCTCCAGTCTACGACCACAGCGACGCCATTTTCATGGTCGCACAAAGGCTGCTGTCCATTGTAAAGGGGGTTTTAGCAGCCGTCAAGCAACATCTTCTTTACATGATTGGAATAGTTCTAGTAACATTGTACACAAACTTTCTACACACACACTGAGTATTATTATAATAATACAATTTTACTAGTACATTTTTTTTTCAAAGTCGGGTCCTGATATCAATCTCAAGCCAGACATGACTGAACATTGAAGCATCAGCTTTTTCAGAAAACTTTCTGAAAATTTTGCCTTACTAGCTATATATCCCAGTACAATGTATAAAAATATGACCTAGCAGCTAATTTAGACTAGATTTGAGATCTGAGACCCAGGCTTCTCAGACTGAAAGACTCAGACTGGGCTTAATTACTATCCATTTCCCTTAACTATAAATAGTTCAAATATAATAGGATATACTTATAAAATTTAAAACTTTGAAAACTAATACTTCTTCATTGCTTTGCAAGAGTAGGTAAATGCTTGGCATTCTATAATTAAGTGGTTGTATTTTGATCTAGTAAAATTTCAATAAACCTGCATTTTCTTTGAGAAACCTGCAAATATATCAGCAAGCCACTCAACTGAAAACAAAAAGTACAACAACAAATCCACTTTTTCAGTACACTTCAGCAGAAACAATATCAAAATGCAAACATTTTCAGATGAAGCACTTGCACAAGAACAAAACGGTGCAGCTGTACATTAAACATAAACCAGCATTTTCTCTTATGAGCACATTTTATATTTTACTTCAGTTTTAACCACTTAATAGCTTGGACTGTTGGAATTGACAGCCTTTTTGCATCATACAAATACACCTAAGATTTGCTTCTTATTAAAGCAATTATGATGATTAGAAAACCTCTCTCAAAATCTTGGACGAATGAGCACACCTCATTTTTAAATCATGATCCACTCGTACTTAACTTGTGCCTTTTCCAAACTGAATGCTAGCATGACCAGTTTCTTTTGGATTCAACAGTTACATGTGTTCTATTCACTACCCTTTCTAATACTTCAACTTAAAAAATTCTAAATGAGTAAATGCATCAGTTTGCTTGTTTGCCAGTTAATATTTGTACTCTCTTGGTACTTAATCTTCCACCTCGTCACTGTCAATGCCCTCCGCTGACTCGTCTGGGTCAAATGACTTGGACTTCCTGGCAGGAAAGATTGGGTTAGCAGCATTACGAAGTCTGAAATTAAAAAAAGATTTATTTTTATTTACTATATTTCACCAACTGTACAATGGTTAATGAAAGTTAATGGGCGAGTTCGTGAGGCAGTGCTGCCATCTGGCAATCAACCTACAAACTACATGAAAACCTGGTGGCACTGACTTGCATTGGCCGGTATTATACAAGCTGGAATATTACAGAGTAACAATAAAGTCCCCAAATTTCCAGAAATCTGAGAATCTTTGGAATAAGCACATGAGAGTGCAATTTTTTCCCTAGCGGACAACTAAGACATGAAAAGTTGGACTCAAAATAAATAAATGAGAACACTGATATTCCTGATTAAAAAAAAAATTCTACCTATCTCTATTACCTGGTCTGCAGATGTTCCACCTGGACCTGGAGGTTCTCTGTCTGCTCCTGCAGCTCATCACAGTTCCTTTGTAGCTTTCTGGCCAGGTTACTCTGAGAGTCCACCTAGAGACAAAAATCATTTCAAAGATGACTCAGCAAGGTAAAAAAAATCTAAGGTCCTTGAGCATCTTTCTAAATTGAAGTCAAACAGGGAGTTGATTAATTTAGATAATTTACATTTACGGAATGAATGTGAGTGGTTCAACTAAATTTAGTCAATGAGACAAAATGGGCCTTGGAGATAAGAGTAAATAAACGGGACAAGATCAATAACTTAAATTTTTTAAATTAAATGCTGATTATTAACTTATGATATTTTTTCAATCATGACAAACAAAAAATGTACCTGTGAAAAAGAATAATAAATTCTGATCTCTAACTTTGCCAATAAAAAAGATTATGTTAACAATTACCTCATCTTCAGCATTAGCCAGATCTTTCTTCAGTTCCTCTACACGCCCCCGTAACTTCTTCACCTCCAACTCATACTGCTCTGCCCTTCTCTTGGCGTGGTCCAAATCCACATTTTTCTCCTGTAAGAGTTTCTTCAGCTTGGCATGGGCATGTTTTAAGTCTCCCAGTTCCTGAAATGAAGAAGATATGAATATGTATTACTGACTTAGATTCTTTCATTCTGAACACACACACACACACACACACACACACACACACACAAACAGAGTTAACAGGACATTGTTCTCAAAAATAGTGGTTGTTTAATTCCAGTTACAATGATAGTAACAATTAATACAATAATAAAGAATAGCAAAAGTATTACTCACACAGATATATATCAGCAACGAAAGATTCTTCTGAAATCATACCTTGGTTTTCTCATAGACATCTTTCTGTAGTACTTTCATATCACTATCCAGGACAGCTGAGGCTTGCTGGCTTTTCCTCTCCAACTCTTCCTCCAGGTCTGTTATCTGTACTTTTAGTTTCTTATTTTCTCTTTCCAGGGCCAATTTCTCTGTGTCTAGTCTTTCCCGCTTCCCCCACTCAGCTGCATTCTCTGCTTGCAACCTTTCCAGCTGTCAAACCAAAGACAATCGATTTTAAATTAAAATTATGTGGGGTAAGCAGTTAACGTGTCACTGAGTAATTAAAAATACTTGTCTGAAACAAGGGTTCCTTTTAAAATTGTTAAAAAACAGGTGCATCATTATTATAACATTAATTGCTTATTAATGTTTGGTTAAAGTAGACTAAAATTATAGGCTAAAAGTTAAGACCTTTGCTTTAAGTAGACTTAAATTATGGTCTAAATGTTAAGACCAACTTTCGAGATAAAGAACGCTGACCGCTGTCCCTACCTCTGCTCTCAGGTCCGCCAGTCTCCTGTCCATAGTGGTCCGAGACACAGATTCATCCTCCAGCTCCATGTTAACCCTGCTCAGCTCATCTTGGTGGATCTCTTTGACTTCATTTAACTACAAAGATTAAAACAGAAACAGGAAAAACCAAGCCGAAACCTTTGGAAATTCTAACAGAGGTGGATTATTGGGGGGAGAAAATGGCATAGTCAAGAGAGAATTGGGAGCAAATTGAATTATATAACACTGTACCTTAGTGACCAGGAGATCACCACTGGCAACAATATTATATCCATGCGTTATTTCCTTTTTTCCTTTATTTAGGATAATATATTTTGACGATATTTTTTTTCAGGTGCCTAATTTTTTATCTTATAAAGGACAATGGCAACTGAACTGAAACAATTTAAAGAACTTAAAGTCACAACTTTTAAACGATATTATCTAACGATTTCAAACATCTCATATCTTTAGAGTTCATTAAAAAAAACATTTACAGACAATAATGAGCTTTTGATGCAAACTGCTCATCTTCATGCTAGAAAGCAAAAAAATTGAAGAAAATCAAAATATATTCAATCTCTAACATCCACATTAAGCATGCAGCATGCGATGTGTCCACGTGTCCAGGGCTCACCTCCACTGGGCTCTCCTGACATGAGAGGCATGAAAGAATGAGGGTACCACATTTTATAACAGACTAGTCTACACTGTTGAATATGAACAGTTCGTCAAAGACTAGCCCCAATTTTTTTTTTTTTTTTTTGTCACATCTTGTCAAAAATATTGCCACATAGCAGATCCCAATAAATCTTATGAAATCCTCAATGCGAAATCCAGGCTGACTATGTCTTATTGTTTTCATTTTGGAAAATTGCATTTAATGCATAATAATATTATTTCCATAGGGGATTCTTGCTAAATTGCATTCAGTTTAAGCAGCTTAAATGTCTGTCACACCCACTAAAGCTGCTAGGAGGATAATTAACTTTTGTGCACCTTTAAACTGAATGCAATTTAGCCAGAATCCCCTCGGAAATAGAATGACCCTGCAAGTACGAGAGGGTTATGGGAATGGCCCCTTCAAGGGCAATACCATTACCAGTTGTATCCTTATTGAATATGGACAGACAACTCTGAATAATGGAAGTATTGTTTTATATCTTACTGCTATTACTTACCTGTTTTAGGGCTTCATGTTTTGATTTCTTTAGCTCATCATACTTGGTCTTCATTGAAGTCAGGTCTGTGGACAACTTGTTGATAGTTTTCACCATCTGCTCTTTTTCACTAAAAAATCAAAATAATTACATCATAAGACAAAAAAAAAAAGACATCCTCTGAAGACCACTTTCCATTGGAGATGGGTTGATCTAACTTAGTACATATTATCTCAGTCTTCTCATTCATATGGAAGATAACAGACAACATTTGTGCACTAACTTAAGTCGAACCATCTCCAATAGGAACAGGCCTTGATATTCCCACTGTCATATGGCTAAATATGAAAAAAGTTCTTGCATCATCACTCAACCATATTACACAGCATGTGAAAGCAATCCAATTTATATGTGGTTTACAATCAATACTGAATATCGAGTATGCACTTTGAGATTAAAACATTACACAGTACTGCATTCTTTATGCATATGCTACACATGAGGACTTGTTTCAATACTCTACATAACAGTTCAAATATAAATGTCAATTTTGAAGAGAACCTGGTATTATGCTTTATATACTGTGATCTGGGGTTTATTAGTAAATGTATCTCTAACCAATATCACTAAAGTCTGATTATAATGCGGAAAAGTGTCATGAAAAGCCAACCTAATTAAAATATGTACAACAATCCCTGGGCAGGATTTTAAGTCAGATAATCACAATTATAATGTACTAGAGCATTTGCAATTTAAAACCTTTAACAATACTGCAACTGTCTTGTACATGCATACTAGAACACACCGCCTATCTAAACAGATACTCACTTCCTCTCCGCAAGCACAGTCTTCTGTGCCTCGTCCAGCTTGAGTTGCACCATCAGGACCCTCTGGTCTGCCCAGCTGGCATCTTGTGACGGAATCTCTTCGGTGTATTTCCTATTACTACCAGCACCAGTATGCTGGTGTTTCTCTGAGTGCCCTATCTTCCCTCCACCACCACCTCCACTGCTACTACTCCCTCCACTACTGGAGTCAGTTTTCTTTGGTAGAAGTCTGTCTAAGAGGTCCATGTTATCGGAGGTGATTTTATCCTGTTCTGGGACAGAGTCTGTGACCTTGGTAGGCGTGTCTCTCTCTGGGTGGGACTTAGTGGACTTACTGCTGCCACCCCCACTGCTACTGGCGCTGGCCACACTACTACGGTCTTTATCCGCGTGTGTGTATAAAGCCAGCTGTTTTCTTAACTGTTCGTTATCGCCAAGTAGTTCTTCTTTTTCTCTTTTTATTTTAGTGAACTCTTTCACCGTAGCTTCTAATTTCGACCGTAGCTGCCTGTTCTCCTCTCTTGCCTTGTTTCTCTCATTTCTAACCTTACTCCACTTTTCTCTCCAGTTCGCTGTGCAATCGGACCACCAGCGCATGGTCTTCTCCATCTGAGCAGCACGCGCCCGTGCTTCCTCAAGCTCGCGGAGACGCATCTCCTCTCGTGCCTCCCAGTCATTCTCAGGTGCATGAGGTGGGTACTGCATGTGCATGCGCGGGGTTTCGCTGCGACCTTTGTCCGGCTGAGGGTTGCCCTGACCTCCTAGGGGAGCCGCCATCATCTGTTGTGACGAAGGCGTAGCACCAACGAATGACACGTCCGGTATAGGGGTGGGGGTCGAGTTATTTGATCTGGAATTCATCTTATATCTCTGAGTACACAAAGATTTAGCACCTATACTATTTGCAGATCTGCTTAGTACATGTCAACAGGGCCTCTATTCCATCGATTTTAGAATGCCACTGAGCATTGTTACCATGAGTTTAACCAAGGTGTCTTAAGTGCTGTCAACTTGTATGGCTGGTAATGTTTTTTTCACTGACAAGGTTCTTTAATGAATACATTCCCACTGGGTCATGTATGACACTCCTTTATCCTTGTTTTCTAGTCAAAGCTCCTGAACAAGACGATGCCAGCATGGCTATCAAGTCTGTGCAGGCTGCAGGATCTGCAAACAAAAAGAGAAGATGGAGTGGCGACACAGTTAGAACACACAGAATGACATTAGAATTGTTGTAAAACCTAGAGCTGAAACTTAGTAAATTATTGGTATGTCAGTGACTAACTACCAGTGCCTTTTAGTCTAACTTTTTTTTTCAAACAAACAATAGCTAATGGTTTTATCTGTGAGGTTGATGGATAACCTAAAACATGTAATACTGTAATTTATCTTTCAAAATGCTGGATTTATTAGTGGAATGATGGTTGTTTTCTTCTGGGAACATCTGTGGGAGTGTCTTATGAATCATGCAGATGCACATAATACATTAAAAAAAAAAACAAGTTAAATCTGATTATATTTTAATAAATATACTGCTGTTTGTAAGATTATCATTAGATTTTATTACCCATCATAATGACACAATCGAATAAGTATAAATATTCCAGAGTTAGTTTTCTTATTTTGATTCTTATCACTCGAATGCAGTTTTCTCATTTTTCTTTCATTTTTATTTCATTAAGTCCTAATTTGTATTGTCTATTTTTGTTTGTTTTACTTTTTTTCTTTATTTTTATTTTTTAAATACATTTCTTTCCCATATGGTGTGTAGCAGTCATTGTATAATCTTATATCTTGCCGAAATAGCAAGTATAAACTAAGAACTCACATAATATGAACATCTCCAAATATTGTTATTTCAATAATAACATCATATCATAATGCACTCAGCCACCACAAACAAAATTTCTGATTACAGCCTTACTAGATATATTCATATCATTTAATTTCTTATCATCTATTTCTGACATCACAAAGGAAACCTAGCAGTGGGAAATATAATTATTTCACTACATTCATATTTAAGTAATTACTATAATTCTACAGGGAAGGGCCATTCTGTATTGGTGTCTAAATAGGCCAGTGGTATAATATTGCCTAATCACTCTTCAGCATCTGATCCCACAAAATAGAGCTAAGCACACTGAACAAGGGCTTGCAGCATGACATCATACACATCAGCAAATATCAGCACATCATTGGGGCATTCTGCTTTGGGGTTTTGCCACAACATATGTTTACTTTACTAGTACTTTTGATATCTACTAGAAACAATCTTTACCAAATCAATAAAAAATGGTAAAAAAATATCTTATTCATCTACAGAGCTTAACATTTTGGTTCATGCCCACTGCATACTGTCATCTACACAAAAGATCAGACTACAAGTTTTTTCCACTGATACTAAAATATATTTATGTCAAAAATGATGGAATGTGCTCTGCATACCATGGACTACTGATGACATGATGTTTTTTCTACACCAAGTCAGATATACCTCTTCACTCAAAGATAGTAAGCTGCTGCTGGTAAAAAATCTAAATGAACAAGGAAATGTACAGTGATGTTTTGCCACTGTGGTCTTAGTCTAGCCCATTTCATATTTCAAGAGAAAGGATCATTCATAACTGATCAGTATTTTAGCTTACTGGGATGGTATTTCCCTTCTGGAGATCTGGGTGTGGCTCATGAAATAAAAAGAGTGAAACTGAATCCAAGTAGTACATGATTATCACTTTGAAGAGATAATGGACAAAACTCTGTCAATATCATATTGTAGCATGTAATTTTCAAACTATAATTTCAAATGCTTACAGGATGTCTAGGGCATTGTGGAAGAATCCATGAATGTCAGAGGCAATACCACAACTCTAGCTGGATTGTGCCAAGTTGCAGTTAACTTGAACAGTTGTTGATATTTTAGAATGTGACACTGGAACCATTTTTATAGATATAATGTGTACATGTGTATGTGCCACAAGCATGCTTAAGTTTTAATTCAACATTGCAAGTGGGATGCACCTAATTCCAATGAAGTCTCAAATACACCTACTAGTAAGGAATTATACTTCCAATTCAAATTTAATTTTACATTATATATATATATATATATATATATCATGTTAAAATAATCAATTTTGGTGGATCTTATACATAAAAGCATCTGATTGCAATTTTTTTTTTTAGACAAGCAACACACTGTCTCACTTATTACCAACATTTTAGACATGAGCACTTGACCTACTCATTACATCATTGATAAAAACAAAGCAGACTTTGAACTGCCTATTGGGAAACCCGAATGCCTTCTCTGGATAGGTGTTAGGGGGAGGGGCAAATCCAGTCAGCTGACATGGCTGTCTACAAAAATCTGTGTTACTTAAGATACAATTTACTATACCATGAACAATATGAAAATCATTAAAATGATATCTTAGTATAAGTTTGAAATGGTTTACGCTTTTAAGCATCGGAAGTCTTCAGTTTAAATTAAGTAGAGGTGACATTCTTGTGGCGCAAAGGTCATTATTCATATTGCTAGGTACATTACTTTATACTCAAAGACAATATCAACTAGAAGGAGCAGTTACTGTTACAACTCCCAGTACCTGCATTTAAATTTTATGATTCTATAAATTTGCCAAACTAAAACATGTGTGCAGATTTTAGTTTTCCTTTGCAAGTGGAGATAAAATGTGTTCCCTGCAGAATGTATTCAGGCACATATAAATCTACCGTATGTCATGGCCTGTCGTAATGAACTTTGGTATAATTTTGCTTAGGATGGATGCGCTGAATGTAATCGAGGTAAAAATATTGAAAGAGAAGTTTGAAATACGATAAAACGTTCTTGTCCGACACTCGACTTATTTACTTCTTCTACACACTTAGGCCGACTGCTCACATAAACAGCCCCATTACCCTTAAGTGATGTCAAGATTATTCAAACCAACCTTACCGTGATCAAAGATTGCCAGAAAATTGAATTATCTGGTAGCTAGTAACCCCTCGAACTCAACACTCTCACGCTCAAACATGGCGTAGTAAACCTCGCGAGATGTTACGAGACTTAGCAGCAGGAGCGTCCTGAGACAGCCAGCGTTTTTTTGTTGTAAAATTGATTTTAGCGACAAATTTCGACAAAGATTTCAATATTCTGTAGGTATGTTTTACGTTTATATCATTTTTGGTATGTTTGCGTTTTTCTGGATAATGATATTGATTAGATAGGCTTCCAAATTGATGGAAACAGGCACGGCATCCGGACAACGTGTGAACCCCAACGGACCCCGAGTCAGAATATGACCTCAAGAGCTTTGCAAGAGATAGTCAGTGTATCACCTCACATTCTAAATTATTTCCAATGGACATGACAGCCTGATAAATTTTGCATTATAGTGGAAGCATGATATTATTCCAGGCCATTTATTTAAAGGGACTGTACCTTTTTTTCAATGTAAATCATTCTATTGTGTATTTTCTTTAGCTTGTGGATGGCACTGCATGGCAGCTAGGTGATTCCCCCTTCTATCCCCCCCCTACTAAACACTAAATAAATAAATAAATAAATGAATAAATCGAATAATTAATTAATAAAAAGAAATATATTTGATGTCATGAATGAACCCAGAAGCAGTCATTCATTTTATAACAAGTTGACATTGATGAATTTGATTTAAAAGAGATATAAAAGAGTAAAGCGCATCAGAGCATGGTTTATTTTGGAGAAAATGGTTTATTTTGTGAAAATAATAAAAAACTGAATCTGGTGAGGCCTGAGAGAAGATAATGTATCTGGACAGCAGAATTAAACATTCAAAAATCTTTTAAATTGATGTTCCTTTTTTTAGTTAACAGAGCTTTCTCCATCCATTCCCTGAACACGGCTAGTACCTGCTGCTGTTGTTGACAGTGATTATCATCATGGATGAAGAGGATCACTACAACTTTGATGATGAAGCAGAGAAGATACTGCAGAAGCCATTGACTGAGGCTCAGGTGACTAGTTACACAAATTTATATATTAAGGATATTAAAGGAATTGATGTATTTGATTTAAAGTTGATTTGTTTAGAGTTGTCCGTATGTTTTCTTTGAATATTTTGATAAAAGATCTGCTCTGTATAAAGTAAATATAATAATGACACTTTCCATACTTAACAAAGCTGTACTCATCAAATGGGATTGTGTGTGTAATTACAGATCAAGTGTAAAAGCCGCTGTATGCTGGCCACTGGTGAGACTGTCCCACTGGTCAAGTGTGAAGATGACCAGTGTGGGTGTGGACAGTACCACTGTCCATTCTGCCCCACAAGGCAGTTCAAGCCGACCACACCCACCAAGGTCAGGAGTCACCTGATGTGTCACATTAAAGCAGCTGTCAAATATGAAGGTGAGATATAATGGCTTGCATCCATACAAGAAAACTGACAGAGCCAAGCTATAGATATTTGAAAATGTACACCCAAAAGTCATATTATTATGATTTAACAGGGATTGTGTTGTCCTTGGCTGTATGTATCCCTCTTTAACATAGAACGCAGGTTATGCACTTGCCATGTAGCAAATACTGAACAGTGCTTTTTTGCTTCGTTCTGTAACTTTACATGTACATAACACAACAGCTTGTCAGCTATTATAATGACCTTTTTCTTTTATTTATGCCTTTTCATACTCAATTTATAGTGGAAGTTTTATATTATATTCTTTACAAAATCTGTTGGATTATAATTATCATATTATATTGACATTGTCTTTTAATTCAGGATTATTTAATAACAATAACAGCTATAGAAAACTGCCCCCTTAAAATGAAATATATGAATAATGGATGAATTGCTACTGTAAAAATCTTCTCAGGAAAGTGTCTTCCACTGCACCCCCCCCCCCCAAAAAAAAAAATAATAATAATAATAAATAAATGAAATAAGAAATAAATAAAAAGTTTGGTCTTATAAATAAATCTTCTATTCTTCAGGGAAGTTCATCATTCGCTGTCACACAGAAGGCTGTAATCCTCCAGAGGAACGCCTGGGTCACTACCACTGTCCAGTGGAAACATGTCCTTACTCCTTTGACAGGTCCAGAACAGTGATGACCCATCTCAAGAAATTCCATGACATCATTGTGGCCCCAGACGGGACAACCAAAATGTTGGACCCGCGAAGAGGCGTTGTATGGAGGATAAAACAAAAGCTGTTGTGGAAAAATAATCTGGCAGCGAAGGAGAGGGCAAGCAAAGAGGCAGGGGGTGCGCCTCCTCGAGGGTCGACACCTCCACCGAATGCTATTTTGGATGATCTAGCTTTGAAATGTTTTCATGGGAAATTAGAGGAGGAACTGGTAAGAGGATGAAGATCAAAGTTATTGTGAAGACTATAAACAGTTACATTATTTGTTCACAGGCATATTCTTTTATTCTTTTATTTTATTCTTTTATTTTTTTATTTGATTGTTTTCTTCATATAGTTTTTCTTTATTTTATTATATCATTGAGTTTCCCCTGAAAGGTTTTGGTATTATGGTGACAAATATAATGGGCATCAATTAGATTGGGTCATAGACTAAAATGTCACGAGTAACATTTTGAAGTTTGTGATTATTTAAATCTTTTAAATTAGGAAGAGGTAGATGCTGGTGATTATAATCCAAAAGCTAGGGAGGACATGTACAGGAGAGCTGCCACAGGTGACCCAACCAAAGACTATGATGTGTATGTCCTGCCGGAGCACATTAAAATCCCAGCAGGGGGCATCACTGAGAGTAGGAAAAATACTGAAGATGGCAGTACTGATCAGGATGGGATCAAAAAGGAGCAAGAAGACATCTCAAACTTGGATGGATCACAAGATGAATCTCAAGTTGCATCAAACAGTTCTGGCAGTGGGATGACACCAATACAGGTATTATAACTAATAAAAACAAACATTTGTTTGTCATAGAATATTATCAAGTTTTGGCCAAAGCTCTATTCTAAAATAATTATGATATTTGTCTGTGTTTTTTATATGTTATTGTATCAATCACCTTCAATTTTAAATAATTTTGATAATCATTGTATTGTCTGTTTGCTCATTGAAGCTCTGAAGATATTGATTTTGTTGATTACTGTTTTTCATGTAAAAAGCTATTGTATAACCCAGCAGACTTGATGTGTAAAAATCACTGAGAATTAATATCATTATTATTATTATTATTATTATTATTATTATTATTATTTCTTTCCAGCTGTGGTGCAAATCTGTCAGCATAGTTGGTCCCGAGGACAAGTTTCCTGTGCGGCGCTGTAAGAGTCCCGGGTGTAACTGTGGTCTGTATCACTGTCCCCTGTGTCCCATAACACTGTATATACCAGGCACTAAGAGTAACCTTCACTACCACTACAAACAGCATGGCATATATGGATATGCATATGGAGGTATGGGAATTACTGTGTAGGAAGTGATCTAGATTCAGAGCTACGTGTTGATTTTTTTTTTTTGGTAGCATATTTTTGTGAGTGCATTGTAAGGATTTTAATATTTTAATATTAATTAAAATTAATCAAATACAGTATTTTGCAAAAAGAAAAGACCCATACAGTATAACAAGGCTCTGCAGTGGTGGACTTAAAAATCATCCCAGTTTTTTCAGTTGCTCAGTCTAAAATGACCTCCATATCTTATAATGGAAACCCTTGGGGTGCATGTGTCTGCATATACTTGTAGGTGCCCATGCTGGGCCCACCCTACAATTAATAGTGTTTCAGCCAAATAGCTGAAGAATATTAAATTGGTCAATTTTTTTTAGTCCAATATTAACTTTTAAAAATTTTTTTTAAAAATTCAAACTGTAGTATTTACCACTTTAAAAGCATATTGGCAAGATTTTATGAATTAATATAAACCAACACATGTAGTACTATGTGTGATAGAAAACATTACTGTCACTTGCAGACACAATGATCCTGAAGAGCCACATAGAGCTGTGCACACCTAATGGTCAGTCAATGAAGGGACACGTCCACTGCCCTGTAGATGGCTGCACTGTTGTCTCACAGTACAGACGAACCATGGAGACCCATCTGAGGCGCGTGCACCAGTCTGGTTTTCAGGTGGGGAATACAGCCTCCGGAACACAGCAGGATGAGGTAATGTCTGGCAACGATTTCACGAAAATAAATAAATAAACAATTTAAATAAATTCCAGTTTCACAAAAAAACGTAAGTTGGGTGCCCTGGCTAAGAACTTAATTACCAAGGTTACATGGTCACGTGGGCACATCTTACCCTATCAGGAATAGTGTAACAGCGCTTTCATGGAAATCTTTAATAGTCAACTAAGCCAGGGAACTGACTTTAGTTTTTTATGAAACTGGGTCCTGGCCCTGAAGTTTTCTTTGTGGATAGAGAATGTGTTTTAACTGGTAATAATATCACAAACAGTCTTTGTTTAATCTGATGATGTTAGTTTAATCTATACCTGGTCCTAAAGAGACCTCATTTTAGCATGGCTTTCTTCAAATTTCAGTATATTTACATGCTGTAAGGAATCCGTATGATCAGTAAATACTTCAGCCTTTGCTGGAATGTCACTTTTGCTCATGCATTGCCTAGCTATAGTTTTAGGTTAAAATCAAAACATCTTGGGGAACCTGATATCTGAAGACAATTTTTCCTTTGAGTTCTCATCTACAGGCATTTTTAAGTAAATTACTTATGAGTCGGGGGGGGGGGGGGACGGTTATGGGTTTTAAACTTTAAGAGAGGACTTTTTTGTGTATTTTCAGGTTGTTCAGCCATCTCCTTGCTTGTCAGGAAATGCAGTAAGTATTCTTCCCTGCTTTCCAGTATTATAGTTTGGAAACACATCTTTATGTTGAACTGACAGAAAAACAATACATGAATAAAATGGAAATCTATACCCAGATTATGGAAAGAATTTGTTCAGTTGGATACTATATGTTGCATTCATGAGGAAAGAAACAACCCAAAAATTATTGGCTAGAAATGTTTCAGAAGATGATGATTTAGTCTTTGTTGGACAGTAAAGATGTAGAAAAGAAAAATTATTATGACAACATAGCAAGCAATCACAATTTTATGTGTAAATTAGTGAACAAATTTGTTTAATGTAACAGAATATATATGGTATATAGTCATCTGAGGTCTTTAATTGTTGTCATTTTAGTTCAAGATACGTGCCTCTAAAGTTGAAAAGGTAGGTAAAATTATAAGTTATATTTATTACTTTGTATGATCATACCTTCTTTGTAAAATATTGAAGCATAGTGCCTTGTGTACAAATACAGAGGTCTTTTAAGTAAAAAGTAATATACTTATTATAATAAGGGCAGACAATTGACTGTTTGATTGATTATTTTCCCACTTTATGGGAAAGTCACTATAAAATTTTTGAATGCATTATACAATCTGTAAAAACAAGACTATGGTTAAAGTAGTAAAAGGTCATGTTTCTTGTGGGTTAGTAGGATTTCTTGCTAGTTGTTGTGAAATGATTATTTTAAAAAGCTAACATCTTATACCCTATTCCATGAACACTATTTTTTCAAGATACCAAAATTATAATGTCCACAATAATATTTTTTTGAAAAATCAAAAAATGTTCTGGGTTGAACCTAGATATATATGTAGAAGATTCAAATCAAATTTTGATTGATTTTGAACAAAACGTTATTGTTTTTCCAAAATGCACATATATCTCTTTACCTTATTTATTGCATGTGTGTGCATGCATACTGAATACACATGAATTCACATAACATTCCTGTCTCTCTGTATCAATAGCTATGTGACCAGAAGCCGGTACTGGTGAAGGACGTGAACCAGTTGCTGTCTATGATGAAGAAATGTCGAGATAAAGAGTGTGGTTGCTACGCCTACCACTGCCCCCTATGTGCCACTTCACAATTTAAACCCAACAAATATGCCAAGGTCAAAAGCCATGTGCTTGTACACATGAAAACTGCGGTCAAGTACAGAAGTAAGTGTTCAGGTTTTATCAGCAGGATTTCATATTTTCCATGCATTGTGAGCATGGGTGAAAGTTTTCAGAATTGTGCCTGATGTAAGGATTTTCAGTCTTCATTTTGATCCTTTTTTTTTTTCTTTCATATGGTATTTTAAAATGTGATGAACAGTTGCAAGCTAAGTTTTCGGGATTTTCAGTTTTTACAACTTTAACCCATGATTGTGATAAATTTATAGCAAACCTATTTTTCTCTGACTTTGTGTGCTGTGTGTCCAGTGTGTATTATAATTAAAATGATTATTCTGCTTTTTATTTATTTAACAGACAGATTTTTGTGAAGATTCGTATCTGTTTTAGATATTTCTTTATAGAGAAGTGCTAAGTGCCACGGCAGCATTAAACTTTGGGTGCAATAACATGTCTTAATGATGTGCTTGCATTTATCCTTATGATGTGGAAAGTGCACACAGTCAAAATTTTATGTTAAGATATTGTATATAATTAATTTATTGAGCATTAAAATGTGTACAGTTACATTTTACAAGCTCTCTAAACTACAGTTTTACATAAATTGCGCACATAAGCTTAAATAAGTATAACTACTTTGGATCAATCAAATACCAAAATACATATAAGCTAACTACTTCATACATATATGTATAATCAGGACAGAGAAGTACTTTATAGAAGTTGTATTTTATATGATTGTTTATAATAACAGAAAAGTATCTGGAGAAGTTATAATATATTCATTTATAATTACAGAGAAGTACTTGGTTAAGGTGTACCAGCCTGGCTGTAAGGGGCAATCCATTGACCACTATCACTGTCCAGTGTGTTCCAAAGCCATTTGCAAAAAACAAAAACTACTGGAGCATTTGTATAACCATATATTGGAAGGCAAACCAAGACCTGCACAGGTAAGAAGCTGCATTGATGTGGTTATTTAAGAGAATTCCCATATCAGATTTTATTACTAATTATAATAATTATTAGTATCCAGTCCCATCACTGTACATGATTACTTAAAGAATTCTCTGCTTTCTGGAGGATTGGTAGAGAACCAATCATATGTGTGTGTGTGTGTGTGTGTGTGTGTGTGTGTGTGTGTGGATTTGTTCCGTGAATTCCCCGATTTCAGGGGATTTATTTTGACCCAGTCACATCCCTGCATGTGGTTAATCTGGATTTTCTGATTTCTTCATATTTTATTCACTCTGATAACATGCCTGGCAGTGTTGAATTTAAATTTTTTTCAGATAGTTTGCATCAGTTTCGTAATCTGCAGAAGTTTTATGATTGACCACTGCATACTTAAAACTTATTATTATCCAAGTAAAATATGGCTGCATTCTGAACAAGTTGGTTCGCAGACTAACATCTCGTGGATCAAATATGGCCAACCCACTTGAAAGCTGGCCGCTTAATCACCTAGTAGACACTGAGTAGGTTATATCCACAGGAATGATGCGGTAAGCTTGCAAGTGGGTCGGTTGTATTCGATCCACGGATCTGTTAGTCTGCAGATCAACTTTGGTTGTGAATGCGTCCTGTAGTTGCTTAACTGCTAACAATCTCATTCCGGTTGTTGAATTATGATTTCTGAAATTCCATTATCAGGTCTTCAGTACTGTTGCAGCAGTGGTGAGTCCAGAACTGTTAGACTTCATCCCCGGGGACAAGGAGATCTATCTCCAGGAGGTGGCCGAGAGGACGAGAGTCAACCTGTACTACAACAATGACTGGTGTGTGATGCAGGGGAGTCTGGAGGCGGTCAGGGGCTGTCAGGACTTGCTGGCGAAGTTCACACAAGATGGAGACTCGGATCTGGAGGTTGGTGCACGTTTAATGGAGTCATGATGTGGGATCAGGGGCAGATTGAGGCCGTTTTCTGGGTCTTACAGAAGATGGTCAAAAATAGAGGATGGATCAACAAAGATAATTTGGAAGACTGTCAGAAAATATCTCTGGATATGCCCCTGCCGATGTTTCTAAAATCTAGATATTGCTAAATTTATTTAGATTTGCTAGATTTGTGTGGAGTTTACTGCAAATTTTTGAAGGCTTTATGATTATGCTTTTTAACAAATCAAAATCACTGGAAATTGTAGGTTTGGTTTTATTGCAGTCTGATTTATGCAATTTCTACATCTATAATGGAATACGTACTTCCACCTTTTCCAGGAGGAGACTGGTTATCAGGATACAGAAATGAGTGTAGATGGAAATGAGAACCTGGATGATGCTGATGAAGGTGAAGGTGAAGGTGAAGAAGAAGAAGATGATGATGATGATGCCATGAGCGAGTCTTTGACATCATTTCCTTCCAGCGTCAACACCACACCTTCAAAACCACCGCAAGGGGGCAGTGTGACCATCAGCAAGACAACCCATCCAGTAGTGACATCTTTGCTAGCGCTGCAAGACAGCCCTGCATCCAGCAGCAAGACAAACCAGTCCAGTGTAAACTGCTCTCCAAGGAGAAGTGGCAGGGTAAGCCATGTCCAGGGAAAGTACAGGAGCCTGCTCTCAGAACCCACACACACCGAAAGCCCAGACAAAGTTGACCACACATACCAGACTGTGAGCAAGACGGACATCAGCCCTGAAAGGACGGAAAAAAATAAAGCACAGAAAGCGGTAGAAGAGGTGGAAAGAAGCAGTGAGGCGACGCATGATATGGAAGACTCAAGTATGGGCCACTTAGAAGAGGATCTGAGTCAGCTTGAAAGGGCTGTGGCCTCAGGGGCATTAATAGAGTCTCAAGCCACAGTGTCAGAAGTTCTCAGTAAAGCTAATCCCATCTTAAGCATCGAGTCCCAGTCCAACGGGGAAGTGACGCTTTCTCTGAGACTGCCGCCTGTGGAGCACGTTAAACACGAAGTGAAGAAGAAGAGCAAGAACAGTAAACCGTGGGTGAAGGAGAGACATAAAGCTGGTGGTCATTACGAGTGCCCGACTTGTGGCCGTGTGTTTGCTATGCCTCACTACCTTACAAGACACCTCAACAGGAAGATTTGTGGAGAAGAGGGGAAGGATAACGCCAAGGTATATAATAATAATAATAATAATAATAATATTCCTTAAAATCGCAGTTCACTTCTGTCTCAGTGCTGTACAAATTATATAAATATTTGGGACTTGATTGTCATCAGTAATTTATAAATCAGTTGATTTGTTTCATGTTCTTTCATTTATTTTTTTGTCTGAGGTATGTAACTGGGATGTGTTATGGACCTGATTGTAGTAGTAAGTTCAGCTCTCTGTAAGATCACTAGATAAAACATAACTTGTAAAAGCATTGTGGAATTGAATGTGACATGCACATTTAATTGATTATGATTGTATTCCATATTGTAGTTTGGCCCCTGGACAAGGTGCAGTATCTGTGGCCAGCATGCAGAGAGAGATCACCATTACAAGTACCACGCAGAGATGACTGTGACCTGTGCTGAATGCGGGGAGTCCATGACTCCCTTGATGTACCAGGACCATCTGATGGAGACGGGGCATAATGGGTACAATCGCTACCTGGCACCAGGGTCCGGACCCAGGGGAAAGATGGTGTGCAGTTTGTGTGGTAACGTCTATAATAAGGCCAGCATGAATGATCACATCAAGCACATCCACATGGGCGTCAGGGACCACACGTGCAACCTCTGCGGAAAGAGTTTTCAGAACAAGTCCGTGTTAAAGAACCATGTGGAAACGCACAAGGAGGCCGAGGCACGCGACAGGCCACATAAATGCCCCCACTGCCCTGCTGCGTTCTTCAAGCCGATGGTGCTGGCCGAGCACATCAACAGGCACACGGGAGACAGGCCCTTCAAGTGTGATTTGTGCGATAAAACTTTTGCGTACCGAACCGTCCTGCAGAAGCACAGGTTCACCCATGGCCAGGCAGGCTCTCACCAGTGCGATGTGTGCCACAGGAGATACAGGAGCAAACACCACCTGCGGAAGCACAGGGTGATGCATGATGGGAACAGGTACAGGTGCCCCTGCGGCAAAGTGTACACGAGGAAGATGACGTATTGGAAACACGGGAAGACGTGCCCCATGTACATGAAGAAGCCTCTGACTACGCCCACGCCCACATCTAGTGCTTCGGTGGATGTTATTGAGGAAAGCGTGCCACCAGAGACGGAAGCCTCGACTGCATCCATCCTCATAGAAGAGGTGGCAGTGATGGAAGAGGCACAGAAGCAGGAGGGAATTAGTGAGTTCATGTGTGGACATTGTTATGAAATTTTCCGAACTCTGGACGAGGCACAGGTTCACATAGCCACTCATGCCCAACCTGGTCAAGAAGTAGAGTTTGAATCTGTGGACCAGGTGGTGACCTCATAATATTGGTGATGGACTCTCAAACACAGCAGGGACAGAATGTACAGTTTGAGTCTATGGACTTTGTGGTGACCATGTAATATTTTGTTATGGACTTTCAGGCACAACTAACATAATGTACAGATTGAGTCTGTGGACCGTGTGGTGACAACGTAATATTTTGTTATGGACTATCAGGCGCAGCCGTAACAAAATGTACAGATTGAGTCTGTGGACCAGGTGGTGACCACTTAATATTGTGTTATGGACTATCAGGCACAGCTAGAACAGATTGTTTACCATTTGTATTGTTTATGTTAAACAAGCATTGGTTTTTAATAATGTACATAAAATTCTGACATGTTCATACAGATATCACATAATACAATGATTAAGCATGCCCATCTATGTCCAGTCCTGTATTTACACTGCATTATCACTTTTTAATTATGATGTGACTGTTGAAATTGAAAGTTCGTTTTGCATTTGCTTCATATATATTCATTATATAATTACACCGCAGTAAATAATATAAAACAATTGTCAACTTTGGCATTCGGTCACTGTTGTTTTGCTGACCTCCAAAAAAAATATCACAATTATTTCATATTATCAGATTATGGTTATCAAGCAAATATTTCATTTTGCTAAAAGAGATTATCCCTCTTTTTTTTCTTTAAGGTGTTTGTTGAAGATAAATTATAAATTTTTATCTCTTCTGTTTTGTTGAAGTTGCTATTTCAAGTGAAATACACTGTTTAATTCTAGTTAAGATCTGGCCTTTGCATTTCATGCTTTTTTTTAACAGATGCACTTCATTAATAGAGGCGCAACAAGTTAAAATTACATTCAGCGTTATGTTCTTTATTCTGTTTTCATTAAATTATCAGGGGTCACTGATCAAATTGCAAGCGTCTTCATTTTGAACCTAAATCTCATACAGGTTATTGTTCAAAATAACTAAAGCTAAAAATAAAAACAACTTAATCAGACTTTGAACATTTTTATTTAGACAACAAATTGACACTAAAAACTACTGTAACGGTACTCTGTTATATCCACCCAAGCTTCCTGAGCTAACTGGAAACTCAAACTAAGGATGACCACATTCACAAAGTATCTTGAATATATATTTTTTTTAACGAGTGAATGTTGTTAGTCATCCAGTAGAAAAAGAATGATACATATGACTAACTTCCTATCACAAATGTGCTACTGGAGCAAATGTGGTGTCAGAGAAGCTATGTTGAAAAAAAAAAAAAAAAACCAACGCTGAACAAAAAAAGGAGGCCTTAAGTTTAACCCCAAGTACATATGAGATAGGGTACTGAACACTGTGTGTTGCAGTATGACATTAGATCAGGTGACCAGTCCAGTCAGGTCATTTACTTAGTGAAAGGTCTCGGGTTGAGCCCACAATGTAAGTCAGTTGCTAAATGTATCAGTTATTCATATTTATCAAAAAATTTTCTTATTCACTCGGTTTCTACTAATGTAACACTAAGCACTGATATGGAACAGAAGACTAAGCTCTGAAAACAGCAGTAACAAATTATTTATCAGTTTAACAAATAGGAAGAGAGCAAACAACAAGGTTGTAAACACCAGCCGTTTCACTTCATACAACAATGACAACTGTAATGCCTTGAAGCTAGTGAAGAAAAGTTCTCTTTTACGAAGCATATTTATTGCACGTCTTGCTATCCAATCACTTTACAATATAAAATGATAAGTTTCGAGTTCTTGGATTTATAAAAACAACCACACTAAACTAATATATTTTTTTCTCTGCCACAAGCTAGATGATGTTTGTCACACACTCAGATGCTTGTGTGTGTAGTAAATGCGTGCGGTAAGTTTCTGACAAACGGGGTTGCATCAAGCATTTTCACTGTTTAACATGGCAATCTGTTTTAAATTTTAAAGCACCTGCATTTTCATATAAATCCCTTTCCTGGTATTGGTAGAGTTTTGCTCGAGGCCTTCTTGTGATTTGTTTTCAAAATAAAAAAGGAAGGACAAATTTATTTATATCCTGATATTTGAAGTCTCACATACATTAAAAATTCTAATAAAAAATAAATAAATGTGACACATATGGTTTCAGAAAAGAACAAATGCTGCAGTTTCATATCTTGTAAACAATAAATTAACACTTATCACAACAAAAACATCACACTTGGCAACAAAGGCACATAGAGTAGGATCAATGATAATGACAACTGCCTCCTTGACAAGTGAATATCTAATATATTCTATAATAACACATTTAGCGGGTTTATGTTTATAACAAATAAGGCAAGTTGCCATTTCATGGTTAACATAAACTATATTATGGCAAGCTGCTATTCCCTTATTCTTCATTGTACAGACCATTTTCTATCAAGCAATCCTACTTGCCTCAAAAACACTCAAACTTGGCTTTAAGTTAGTGTATAGTTCAAAGATCTTGTTTCTTGGGACTTTGTGCTGTAGTTTAGTATCTGAAAGCTTATTTGAAACTTTTCTAAAATATCTCTCAAATTCTTAATATGTATATCCTATACATCATATCATATTTCTTTGACTGTGGTTTAAATTGAAATATGTTTTGACCCTTAAGCACCTTGATTTCGACTTTTCCAGCCAATTAGATTAAAACTGCACAACAGTTGCTCACATTCAAAACATAGTGTTCTGAAATAGTTTTAGTAAAAAATCTCATTTTAAAGTAGCCTAGGGGAAAATTGCCTCACACACAAATTCTTGGTTTCTTTAACAAATATGTAATAAATTATATATATGTTATATTATATGAATGTCACAATTATAATAATGGTAGCAATAAAACACATTTTTACCCAAAGGTTATGAAAAGAGACTATGAATGGATTCTTATTTCACTGGAAAACTGGTTTAAGTTCATGAAGTATTTAAACTTAGTAAACACTAAGACATACTTCAATAATCAATATTGAAATTGTCATTTCCTCTCGCAAGGATTCCTTCAAAACCATTTCCATTCAAGAAAAAAAAACATGATGTAAAATGTTTGCATTTTATGTACTACTAAAGTAATTTGCTTTATCTTACTACTATAAATGCTGGAAAGCCCTTCAAAGTTTTCTCTTCTGTTGTAGTTAAAAAAACTTTTCACTAGGTGTCACTGTGGTGTGCTTGACTGGTATTTCAATGTAACCTTACATAAAAAAGTTCAATCACTCTATCATACATAAAGCATGTTTGCCATCTGGCAAATTCTGGCAGTATTAACTGAGCATATTTGGTGTGGTGTACATAACCTAAATATATCACCGGCCCCTTCTATACCCCCCCCCCCAAAAAAAAGGGTTTTTGTTATATTTTAATACAAGTTAAAACTTGTTTCACATATTCACACCCACTGTGCTGACTAATTGACCACATCAACTTTTCTTCCTGTCCACTTAATTTTCTATTACAAATGCCCTGACTAAAGGCACTTCCAGAATTTTTACATCAATTTTACTCAAGCCATTTCTTCATTCTGACTTCAAGTGGTCTGGGTCACAATCTTCAAGTAAAGATTCGGCATCCTCTGCAAAAAATACAACGCAGAATGTTCCATATTAATTCAATTAAGTAGTCGAAACGAATGTTAGAGAAAATACACAGGGTACAATTGAACATTTGTATATGCAGCCTTACATTATACATTATTTACATAAATTATTTCTCAAAGTTGAATTCCATTTACCCTGAATCAGATCCACCTTGTCAAAGAAATAAAAATAAAAATAAAAATAAAAAAATAAATAAATAAATAAATAAATAAATAAATAAATAAATAAATAAATACTTCACCCTGCATTATCATTATAATATTGTCTTTGTGTACGTATGTTTTGTCTAGTAACAACCAATGAATGAATGACCTTTTGCCGCAAACACCATAAGCCATTAAGCTCACAGTATCCAATAATACACATAAAATAAACATGCTACTTAAAAGTAAGTGGGTGCAAGCTTCACAATTTCAAACACCATTTACCTTCTATGTTTGACATGTCTACTTCCCCGTAATCGCCCTCGTCAGATTCCTCGTCTCCTGTGTTCTCGCTAGGTGGGCCGCACGCTGCATAGCACACGATGCTGATCAAGGCACCGGGTAAGACGAAGATCAAGAAAAACATCAGCCTAGATGACATCCACACTGACTGGAAGAGATAATCCATATTGTTAAATTTTAAAATAATTCAAGAATACAAATTTAAGTTATACAAAATGTTTTATTGGCTTAGAGTTCTCAATTTAACAAAGATGGGAATGGGAAAATTTTTACTTATCTTACAAATGTTAATCTATATTTAATCATGTGTAAACAATTTAAAAATATGAAGATTTATCATTCAAGTCAATGCAAGATAAGTGTTAACGTACAGATACTTACTATAAACATAGATATTATTTCATAAAGAATTCTTTGCACTCTCTGTAAGAATCCTGTTCCCCCTTTGGCCTAAAGAAAAAAAATGAAGACAAATACTACAATCTGCCTACTCAGAAATGCCATAATTTAATCTAAAAACACTGAGGCATTAAAGGATGAATTTTAGAAGAAAGACAATTTTAATTATTGAAAATATACATCTGAGCTGACTTGATCAACACTAATGTGCAAACCTGAATCAGCAATAAATAATTATATTATAATAATTTCAATAATGCCTTCTGAGGTTCAAGTCTCAATAAGTTTCTTTGATATAAAAACAAATAGCTTTTTTGCATTAGCAAACTAAAATGGCGTAGGCAGAAAAGCCATGTAGTGACAATAATTGCTAGGCCACTTCCAGGGGTGGATTTAGGCCTTCTTCTGGGTCTTCCAGAAAACGGTCAGATTTTCAAGTTTACGTACATTGACGGGTATCTAATTTTTTCTGTTGGAAGACGGTCAAAATTGGAGTTGAATCAACAAAGATAATTTGGAAGATTGTCAGTAAATAGCTCTGGATCTGCCCCTGACTTCAATAGCAATAATCATAATAAATTATAAAACCACCAAACAACAATGAAATAAAATTAAAATTCCATACATACAGGTATTTTCCCTTCATGCACATTCTCTAGGAAGGCCTCAAGTGTTCCTATTGTAATGTCCACCACGCTGAAGTTGGGCATGAAATACAGCCGTGAGCTGGGGTCAAGGACAATCAAGTTGGGCATTGAGATGTACCACATGGTGATGTCGTTGGCCACCTCATTGTCCCCCATCCAAGCGAACTGAAACTGCCTGTAAGAATGTATTTACATGTAGTATTATAACTATATCTTTTTCAGCAATACATTTTTGGAGTATATGTTCTGGTTTTGAAACCTCTGACATTGATATAACAGATATCGAAATGATTTTTTTTTTTTTTTTTTGCATGCTATGTGAAAACTACAGAGCAGTACCGAACACAGTGTGATTTTGTTTTGAAAAATTAAAATCTGAAATATGGGACAACAATTCTATACATCTGATCTGAAACAGTGAGATTCACTAAAATTCTTATCATTGTTCAACATCTTGACAGAATTATATGCAACATAAACTGTATCAACATTTAGTCAAACTGTTGAATCAAATGTTTGAAATAATAGTGCTAATCAGTTATATCAAGAATGTATTACATTCTTAGTTACATATCAAACAAACTGAAACTGCCTGTACATATATCTGATACAACATGCACTGACTTTATGCTTTTCACCCAACTGAACAGAAATTGCATGTTAACTTTGTAAGAACATAGTCAAAAGGGGATTGTCCATTCTAAGCCCAGAATCTTTGGCAGTAAGCATTTTCACCTTCAACAAAATGCACTGAAAGCATATTATTCAGTACATAACAATTTACTTACTTGTTTATATCACTGTTCTTTCTCAGCGCCAGAGTTTTTACAACTTCTTTTACTCTAGAAAATAATAACATCAATCCATCAGCAATTAGGGCTATGTATACGTATTCTATATTTATAATATCCCGTTTTATAATTACACCTATCAGAAATTTAACTGATGTTTATAAAATGTCTTAAGCTTCTGTTGACCTTATTATATATACAGATTTCTTCTTTGAACTTATGGAATTCAATTTAATGTTCCAAAAATGTGATTCTTCTCACGAGTTTCAGAAAATATTGGAAACTAACTTTGATGATTAGTATGCCTCTGATGTTGCAACCAAGTGGCTCGAAAAAAAAAAAAAAAAAAAAAAAAAACAGAGGCAACACAATTATAAAAGTTAGTTTCTGGGTTGTTTCAGTAAAAGAACTGAGTTCTTTAAATTTTAGGATAAAACTCTTTCCTACTTTGAACCAAAATAAATTAGTATTAGCCCAATCAAAAGAAATATTTTTCCCTGCTTCATAATACATTTTCAGACCATTATTTAATTTAAATAGTCTGCTTTGAATTCATCTCAAACTGATGTAGTGCAAATTTTTTATCTTAAAGTTTAGATAAATTTTATTTGTCTGCATTAAGGCAAATGCAGTTTTAAAATGTATTTTTCGAATGAAATAAGTGAAGAATAACTTTTTAGTTGTAAGCTCATTAAATTGGATATAGAAAGATATAGATGCTAAACAGGGTGAGGGAAGTTTGAGGTCATCTTTTGGGTCTTCCGGAAGATATTAACATATTTCAGGTTTACATCAACAGGTATCTTACCCGACTTGTTTTTCTGTGGGAAGTTGGTCAAAAATGAAGGGTAGATCAAAAAAGATAATTTGGAAGACTGTCAGAAATTAAAACATCTCTGGGTCTGCCCCTGAGCTGGGAAATAATTGACAAGTTGGCCTGCGTAAATGTTCACCATACTGATGTGTAGTGCACAGTGGCAATTTAAGGCTATTGGCTATATTTGGCCAGTGCATTTAAGCAAATCCTCAACCTCTGAACCATTAAGATTCAATTATCTCAAGCTATCCTGTCAGTATTGATGTCCTAGCATAGAAAATGTACTGGTGAAAATTTAACTAAATGCAGCCTGCAGTTAAGTTCAAGCAAAGAACGCTCCAATTAAAATTATTTGCAAACAAGCATGTTATCCATCATTTGCTTTGATGCTGTTTTAATAGGTAATATAATATGCTGTGAGGAATGTGTCTACCTTTCATGTTTGATCAAAACATTTCCCTCAAACTAAAAACCCAACTGTTGTCAAAATGAGTATATTAGTTGTAATGTCTTTGCCAACGGTAGGTATTTTGTTGAAAAAAAAAATCAACAGAAATGTAAAGAGCATTAAGAGCCTTGTCTAATAGTAAACAGGCTGCTTCTTAATTGACGCTTTAAGTACAGGAAGGAGGTATTATTCAGGAAAAAAAGGATTTAAAATTTTTAAAAACCTGGTGTTAAAATTTGAGTCAGGTGGTCCAATTTCTACTTTATATACTGTAAAATTTCTCAGATATGTCACCCTAATCCACCCCTGTTTTGTAAGTATAAAATGTAGTAACTAATCAATAACTGCATCAAAGTAGATTCATATCAATAATTTTAATGAAGTTTGAACATTTTCAATTTGAATATCTAATCATTATTTTAATCGATATAAGAAGGGGAAGCATATTAGACAATGGAAATCTCTACCAACAAATAAATAAATAAATGATTATGAATAAAACATCTAAAGCATTTTGAAATAAAAATAAATATCATTAGTAAATAAATGTGTAAATCAATTTTATGCACAAGCTGCTTTATACGCACAAATATTTAAAGTTCAATTTCAAGAAAACTGATTTTTTTAAAAAATTTATCAGATGCTGGATTTAATGGCGATTTGGCGGGCATTTAGCAGATATCCTTGGATATTTCAAAATATTTACAAATTTTCAGTGTCAGAGCCCTGTAATCAGTATTATGTAAAATCATGAAGCCACTGTCACCTCAGTTACACCAGATTTGAAGAACCCCAACAGAGCAAGAAAAAAGGAGAAAAAAAAAACGTCCAGAGCGCCAGTGGCTAAGTGCCCCACTGTTTGCTGCCCCTGACTGGCTGGCCTTATGCATGGCTCATGTGGCTTGAATGTCACGAGAGGTAAATCAGTTTCACAGGGTTCCCAAGGAGAAATTACTGCCTAGGAAACTTAGGCATTAACTAGCATGACATTGAAATATATTGTGGCTGCATATACACTTTTCTGTTATTCACAAACACATCATGGGCAAAGATGCTCACTTCCAAAATAACCTTACTGTTTAAGTAAAATAATTATTTTTACTATACTAATACAAAAATCAAGGGGAGATAATCTTAAGATGTGTTATATTTACAAATGCTGTATGATCACTTTCAGATCTCCCCATGGTGAGCATGCTTTGCTATTGATTCATGTGTAAATGTTTATGAACAGTTACTGCTTGCTATTTTTCAAAGGGTCTGGAAGTTAAACCCTTCTCAGGCCATATATAAGGTTTCAAAGGAAACAGCAAAACACTGAACCAACCAACATTAGCCTTAGCGGCTAGGTATATTCATGCACACAGAGTTATAGACTTTTAGTTCTGGAACTGCCTCTACCCTGCTTGACTTCTGCATACAAGCAATTCCAGACATGGTTCAGGTGAGTATAATTACCATTTTATTTCACACTAATTTGATTTTCAGTTAGCATGAGGTCTACCAGTCGGTGGGTGGTACAAAGGACTTTTGAAACCAAACCTTTTTTTCAGTAATTATATCCAAAGTTAGTGCAAGCAAGGAGAGAATGATATTTTCTTTTGGTGGTAAGCAACTGCATCTTGATTAAAATTTCTTTGTTGTTGATTGGGGATTTAAAGTTTATATATTGCATCAGTTATGTTGTGACCAGTGCTTATTGGCTTAGTCCTATAATTTTGTATTTAAAAACCACATGCTTCAATTGCATGCTTTATAACAATTAGCCTGGATTTGCTGTGTTTGCAAATTCTCTTTTTGCCAATTTTTACAATTTATACCCTTAACATAATTCTTTGATTCCTGTTTTAAACTCAAACTGGATTTTTTTGTAAGTTGATAAATTATTTTCTTTCGGTTTGTGGATATAAATTTCTCCTAATGTAATCATTGCTGGTATATAAAAAGACCAAGGTGCACTTCAGTTTCAAAGTCAATACCTGCCATTAGCAATATACTGAAATGTCGCTGTGCAAGAAAACTGATGACTTTAATCACACTACTATGTTATGTTGAAAAGGTTTCTACATAAAAACATTTTCGTTAAATTTTCAGTCACAGTTTGCAATGGATAGAGCACAAATCTAGCAAGAGAAATTAAGCTTTATACACAAAGAGGGAGAAGTTGCCAGAATTTGTGCAAGAGGAATAAAATATTAAAGTAACTAAATGCCTCTTTTGTAAACAAGAAACCAAAAACCAGTCTGCAACCAAATAGGGGAGATACAACAAGGCCAACAGCATTTTACTAAACAGAGACCAGAAATCTTTTCCTGCATTGATTTGAAAGCAAGAACCGTTTACAGCTCCCATCCACAATAGACTCTGTTTAAGAGAGATTCAAGAAAGACAGGCTCTCTTTGTGCAGAACCATCTGGAATCTCACCACAGATGACGTTGTGTGGCTTCAACTTGCAGACAGATTTCAGTGAGGACAGAGGAACATATTCCAAACAAAGAGTGACGTGTTGAAATCTGGAGAAGCAATCTGTAAGTAAAACCTATAATGCACTTTAAAGAGTTTGCACGTTCTTGATTTGACAGATTTCTCTCTCTTTTTTTTTTAAATTGCATTCTTCTAATTTTTTAGCTGTGAAGCCAAATGAATAAAAAAATATAAATCTTAGAGATTTAAGTAACTATAATGGCTAAATAAAGCCACAATGATATACTCAGTACATGAGGAATGTATATATATAGAATAAAATGTTACTGTCTTCAACATAAATGGATAAACAAAACAAAAAGAAGATTAAACAGACATCATGGACCAAAATAAACTAAGTGTAATTTTGTTTACGAAGAAACATTTTCCAGCACCTTCTGGACTCTTTGGGTAACAAAATATCAGCTAAATAAGCTGAAATGTAGACAAAGGGTTGAAAGTTATTTTTAAGTCTTGAACAAGAACTGGTGGTATAAATTTTGGTAAAAAAAGAAAGAAAAAATGGTCAGCGGGGGTTCATTGACTTTCAATGGGATCAACATTAACCTCCTACCAAGAATGATTGAATTAATGGTATTTCTACACATTTCTTCAATTTTTCATGTCTCTGAACCATTGACTTTCTGAAGAAAAAAAAGCTATCTGGCTTAAATGAACATTAAATACAAGTTACATGTTCTGGCTCTGCTACTGAGACACCAGACACCAACTGAAGGTAAAAGTAAGAGACTCCCAAGGGATTGGACGAGAAAAAAAAAACATTTTATAGAGATCATCCCCCCCCCTCCCCAAAAAAATTTTTTTAGAAACATTTCCAGAAGGAGGAGGGGGGGGGGGTAATATGCCTTGAAACAAGTGACCCTTTTTTGAAAGAGTTTTTTAGTATCTGCAAAAATATTCTTTGTGAAAACTACTTAACTTTTGTCAAGTCAATTGCCGAACTTTAATTAATTTTTTTTTTTTTTTGGGGGGGGGGGGAGAAGGGGTAAAATGGAGTCTAACATGATTGGGGAACTCCTAACCTCCCGTCCTGTTTGCTGACAGATAAATGGGGCAGATTATGTAATGAGCAGTTAGTATCTCGGCAGTGCATGTAGTTGCTTGCTGTGTTAAGACTTGAGCTGAGATAATTGGTTTTTCTTACATTTCATCAAAGAGGTTCAGCAAGAATTTTTGCACATCAAATTGCAACTAGCTGGCCTCCAGAAGAGAGTACATCTTTACTACTTGCATAAAAAAAGAAAAAGAAAAAAAGAAACAAAAAAAAAAGGAAAAAGAAACAGCCTTATTGTCCTTCAACTCTACTTTGTGAATTTTTACTGACTTAACAATTCAGCAAAAATGCTGGCTCAGGAAGTAACCCAGCCTAGGACAACACTAGGTGACAATATCAATGTCTAGGGCAAATCTAACCGCAATCTGTGGCTGCTTCCACTCTTATGAAAACTAGTTATAGAATAACCAATCAGCTTCAAAACTGACAAATGCACATACAGCACGAAATGGGCAACACAAATGTGTATGGCTTGACACCCCCCCCCCAACCACACACACACACACACGCACACACACACACACAAGCACAGTTGTCCTTAAATAACACCTTTAAGAATCAGCAAGTAAGAGGTTTATCAGAGAGAGATTATGTAAGCTTTCAAGTCTTTTTTCTGAAGTCACGCCTAAAAAAATGGTTTTAGTAAAAGCAAGTCTGAATGTGGTCTTTTTTCTCAGTACTTAACTATACATTTCCAATTACCCATACTACAAATCAAGTTTCATTACTGTCATACAGGGTAATGTACTAGTATGAAAAAAAGCACTTGTCTGGCATGGAAATTGCTTTATGTTCTGACGCTGGAATATTTTTTGGATGACTATTCTTGAAGGGGATGAATTGAAAGGGGGTGTGGAGGGGGGGGGGATGAAAACACCTGAACTTACCCAGTCTTCTCTGGCCTCTTGCTAAATGTGAGCTGTTAAACACTTTCTANCCCCCCCAAAAAAAAAAAAACACACACACACACATAGCCTACATGCTGATGACATTTAGACCTTAACCAGTCAGCTGTGCTTGTGTCTGAGAACTGTAAATTGTCACCCTGGGTGTCACAGATCAAAGAGAACAAGATCTATGTTAACACAGAAATAGAGCACCAGGAATTCTCTAATTTGCCAGGCTTGTAGTATTATGACCCAAAACATGTATGAAATAAACAAATCCTACGTAATTCTTATTTATCTCAAAGTAAAACACAACTTACAGTTAATTTAATAGGACAGGTATGATGTATGTAAGTTCAATTATCTAGATACACATTAAAAATAAAATTGATTATATCACTGAGTCATGTTTAACTTAGCTTCCACTCACTGCATCTGTGGTCATTCTCAAAGTGATGACTTACTGGCAACTGGTACAACAGAGAAGATTACTAAATGTAATAGTTATTTATTCTGAACTGGCTTTTAGATATGCACACTTGATGCCCTAAAATTCTAATTTAAAAAATCTTAAAATGTTAACTTGATCAAAGAAAATATTTTGTGGTTTCAGAAAACATACAGCAGTCAAAAGTATCTACACACTTTTAACGAAGATGAGCAACGTCCACTTTCTTTTGGCGGCCATTATAGTAGCCATCTCATCAGGACAGACTGATGTCGAGCAGCAAGACAGCGAGCAACCAATCAGCTTCAAGACCGAGAAATGCACGTACAACTTGGTTGTGCATGAAATGGACACCTCACGCTGCCCAACATTCACCAAGGGACTAATACAGGACCAAATACCAGTCCAGGGGAACGAAATCACCGCAAAACAAGAGGAATTGGAAGAAGTTGAGGATCGAATAGATTCTTTAGAAAAACAACTCTTGCGGGAGATCGTGAAAAACCGCATCATGAACAGCACACTCACCAGGTACGACGTGGCGCTCCAGCGCGCAGAGAGTCTGCTATGGGAGCAGCGCAGCAACATGACTCATCTTTCTGACCGCGTTCAGGAACTTGAGAAGAGCCTGGAGTACCAGAAGGTTAAGACCAACAGCCTGGACAAGAAGCTGTCCAGCGTTATGATCAATGTAGGAGAGGTGATTAACTACGTGGAGAAAAAGCTACCAAAAGGGACAAATATTTACGAGAAGGCCATTGCAGTCCAGGCAGCATCTGCTGTACAGACATGTGGCATCAGTGATAACCATACCATCTTCAAAGGTAAGTTACTTACCTGCCAATCCACACTGCTCCTCTACAGGTCAACAGTCAGATGGGGGTGGTTTTTTTTTTTTTTTTTTTTTTTTTGAAAAGGTCCACATTTTCAGAAAAAAGAAACCCCTTTTTGCTGGGAAAAAGTCCACTCTGGGTAAATGTGATCTAGATAAACTAAGGTTTCATGACAAAAAAAGGTCCACATTTTCAGAAATAGAACCCCTCCCCCCTTTGGCAATTGCTGGCTGTAGGGCTGCTCTATAACATCTTTACATCTTTTCACACTACAGTAAAATACTTTCGTCATTTCACAGCCGAGAAAAAGAGTAAGAAAAGGTACATGTTCACCTCATCTTAACTCTTTTCAAGTAACTTGTAGGGAAAAGAAGTAGCAAAAAGCGGAGTTCAGAACAAAAGATGCAAAGGAAAATATTTGGTAAAAAATTGTACTCCGGATGAGAGATGTAATACTGATGTTACAGTTATGTCATTAATGTACAGTAAGAATGTTTAAAATAAACTGAATATTACCAGCACTTAGTACTCAATTTAATTGTCTGGAAACTAAGGGCTTGAAAACCAAATTTATAAATTTCTCTAAACACTTAAAAATTGTACCTTTGGGAAAAACCTGAATATATTTTATGGAATCAACTACCCTCACACATTCGGACCATTGATAGTGTTGAGGTTTTTAAAAAAGATTTAAAAACATTCTTATTTTCACAGTATTTTAATTAATATTTTCTCATTTTATCAGAAAAAAAGTTTTATTGTTCAGACCATTACTATTTTAACCAGCTTTAATTATTTAAATTGTTTTTTACCTTAGCTTTTATTATCTATATAATTAGTTGTAATCCTGATAATTTTACCTGTAAACAGCACTGAGACGGTAGTATAGTGCGGTTTTAAGAAATAAATATTACTATTATTATTATATTATTTAATGCTAAGAAAATAGATAATACAGAAAACAGTAGTCAGAAAGGCAACAGTGAAAAAATCTCATGTTACATAAAACAGGATATAATGTCCCGAGTTGAACTATTTCACATGCTTATGAAAACAGAGCACATAGACCAGAGTGCCTTGGGAGTTTCTGAGGTATAAGGTTCACTGCTTCCCTGCACATGACTGGGAATACTCCATAGTTTTCTCTGACATTTCCACTGTGTCTAAATACTGGAGTTCGATTGTTGGAATGACAGACGTGATTGTAATATTATTACTGTAACAGCTCCTGTAACAATAATGCTCAGGATTAGACTTGTCATTTTTGGTTCTAGCTATGAGAGATTTCACAAAAATCATTTTATTTATTCAAAAGTTCCTTTAGTTACTAAAAATATGGAAAATTGGATGAGCATTCTCAATCTTTGAGCTTAGAAGAAACACTGGCAACAGAAACTACAACTGTTCCAAATTCCTATTAAAAGCTAATAAATAGCCCAAATTAGGATCCGCGTTGAGCCATTAATCTGCATTCTTATGTGTACTTCTTAGGCTCAAAACTGTTCTAGTTTCACTTTCTAATTTACCAGCAGGTCCAAAATCAATAAACATGTGTTCCATACTGACACTATCCACCCACACTTCCTCTTCTAAAAGGCATTAAGTAATGTTCTCATACACTGTAACTAAAATGCTTTTAGACTTTAAACAGGAAACCCAATATTTGATATCCCCCTCCTCCAAGAGTGCATTTAGAACAGCAGACTGAGGCAACATTCACATCGAGTTGAGCCATGGCTCTAAAAAGCCACGACCTAAATATGGCGGACGTACATGAAAGGAAAACCGCCTAATCTTTAAATAGTCTCTCTGCCTCTCACACGCCTCCCCATGCGTCGTCTCCTTGGGGGGTACAGTCATTAAATCTTGGCTCCATTGGGATGACACATGGGGAGGCGTGTGAGAGGCGGAAAGACTTTTAAAAGATTAGGCGGTTTTCCTTTCATGTACGTCCGCCATATTTAGGTCGTGGCTTTGTAGAGCCATGGCTCAACTCGATGTGAATGCGGCCTAGCAGATCTGTGGATCAAATATGGTGACCCACTTAAATTCTTGTTGCGTAATCCCCAAGGAGAATCTATTCACTGTCTAATCGGGAATTAAATGACAAGCTTGAAAGCGGGTCACCATATTTGATCCGCAGATCTGTAAGTCCCCTGATCTGAATGTGCTCTAAAACCTGTGATCTCTTATATCTGAATTAAACCATTAGCACAGGGAGCCATGGGTGGGATGAATGGGAAATTATTTAGAGGGAAATGAAATTAAGTTTCTGCTTTGATCAATCTTAAGCCTAGGTCCCAACTACGTTCTGGACGCACAGTTTTTAGGTTCCTTGAGTCTGGCTAGGATGTAGCTAGATCGCAGGGTAGGAATCAAGTAATTGGTGTTGATCATGTTGAAAAGTTTCTACGTGCCGTTTGCGTCCTCCAAAAGTCGCACGATTGACGTGCTCCTCACGAACGAACTCCCACGTTTTCCCCATTTTTTGGCCGTGGAGCACACGTAGCGTAGACCACACGTTCAGTTGGGACCTAGGCTTTAGGAGATTGACAACGAATTTCTCTACCAGGTAAAGACCCTCCAACAAGTTAATGCTAAGTGTACTTCTGCTTTAACAAAGTGCTTTTATAGACTTATTCACCTTGTTTTTCTCATTTTCAACATTTCACTTCATTTATATATCAAGGCCTAATTTAGATACAAAGCAAAATAAAATTCTACACCCTGCCTGTCAAACTAGATATTCCTTCAACTGTGTTTTTACTAGCTTCTCTATTAACCTTTGTACATCTCACACCAAGACGGTTGACATGGCCTATTTCAAGATATTACAATAAATCAGAAAATTCGAGTGAAAAAAACATCTGTTCCTTACAACAACTGCAGGAAATTCAAATCAACATTTCTGTCAGTGTTCTTTCAACATGAGATAATTTATTACTGTTTCAAGTCATATATACTGTCACAGCATAATTCCCATTGTCCTCTGAATATTTCTCACTGTAACTTTTATTATTTGCATGCTTGATTTAGGCTGATTCTGCCCTAAGATAAAGGAACAAAACACTGATCTTTTGAACCTTGAGGCTGCAAACACTGTGTAATCATGTGTCTAAACGGCAGAAAAAAGCATGAATTGCGTAGGATGGAGCAACATAATACCTTCATGTAATTGATGCATGCAGATTTTCACTAAAGCATAAAAATATGGCAACAGAAAAAATAAAGTAACAACAGATTTCTCTGGAAATATTCCAAATTATTCCAAGATGGCTGAAGTTAATACATAAAGGGTTGAGTATTTTATTTTGAAAAAGTCTTCTGTTATCAGGCATTAATTTTTTATCGATAACTTCATTAGCAATAGATTTTTAATTCTGATAACTAAAATATGCCCAATCTAAAACAAAGTTTAAAAAACGTCTGATATCTGTAAATCACTCACACACACACACACACACACACACACACACACACACACACACACTTATAACAGAGCATAATTCCCAGTACATCCTAAAAATCAACTAATACTGGCTAGCGACTCAAATATAAAACCTCCTGTGCTTGAACAACATTAAATGAGCAAATATGTTCATTAGCTTCGTAGGGGTCCTGGCCGCTAAAAAGAAAACACCTAGCGGTCAGTGAGTATCAACATCTGCTCACATCAGTCTGATGAAGGCCTATATGTCCAGGTTGGCTGTAAGCTAACAGTATGAAAGTTTTTCAGCTTGTCTTTGATAATTTTCATTTATGATCCTACTACCAAGCTAATGAAAAGTTTTGCTCATACTATAGTACCATCTGTGCCTGAACAACTTTTTAATGAAATCTGCAAAAATTTCAGACTGTGAGGACGTCCACTACCAAGGTCACAAGGCCAGTGGGGTTTACTATGTGAAGCCTTTGTATGGGTCCTGTCCCATCCCAGTATGGTGTGATATGGACACTCTACCTGGAGGCTGGATGCTACTGCAGAGGAGAGAGAGTAACAAGGTAATGTAGCTTAACTTTTCAGAACCACTGTAAGGATCCAATCCCATGGGCAACATTTGTCTACATGGAATGACCCATCTCTGTGGGGACTCTCACTGAATGCAATCAGTTTAATAGATTTATGCACCTCCTCCTGGCATAAAGTGGAATATACAGAACAGGTGGTGGGTTCTAACAAACCACCCTTTTTGCCGGGAAAAGGTCCACTCTGGGTAAAATTTCATCTAGGTAAATGAAGAATCTGTGGTAAAACCTCCACATTTTCCAAAAAACAACCCACTGTTTGTTTGTTGCTAGCTATGGGCCTGCCCATGGTTATGTTCCATCCCTGCATTGTATGCTACGGATAGTCTGCCTGGCTGCTGTAGAGGAGAAGCACAAGGTTGTAATAATTGTGTTAAGCTGTCACATCTGACAAAATGTTGAAAACATCACTCACTATCCAGCTGTTGCATTGCTATTCAAATGACGATATGTGGGACACTATTTTGCCTTTGTTTTTATACCTTTTACTTAAAATGCTATCAAAATGTTTTGAACTTGCCAAGGAATTTCTTTGTATGTGCACACAAACAAGCACTGTGTGAACCTATGGTTCATATGCAATAGCATGTGCAATTCCTTTCTCTTTCTCTATTACAAACGCACACGCACACACACATACACCCCTATCTATTGACACACACACACACGCACGCACGCACGCACACACACACACACACACACACACCTATCTATCAGTTTATACAAAAGGTAAGACTGCATAAATGCATCATTTTGTGAAGGTGACTTATTTTCCCAACTAATAACTAAAAATCTTCCACAGGTCGACTTCAACCGCAACTGGGCTGAGTACCGAAAGGGCTTTGGAGATGTCACTCGCGATTTCTGGATTGGCAACGAAAACCTCTTCCTGTTCACCAACCAGGACTTCTACAAACTGAGGGTGGACTTGTGGGATTTCTATGGCAGCCGTGTCTATGCCGAGTATCTGTTCTTCAAAGTTGACGGCGAGCGAGACCAGTACATGATCCACATTGCTAACTACACTGGCACTGCACGTGACGGGTTCAGTAAGCACGAGGGCAACAAGTTCAGCACGTATGACAACGACAATGACAGCTGGTCCGAGTACCACTGCGCGAAGGACTGGAAAGGAGGCTGGTGGTACAACAACTGCTGGTACGTCATTCTGAACGGGCCATATTACAACGAGACAGATGTCAAGTACAAAGGGATTTCGTGGAACGAATGGAAGTCGGAGCAGCTCAAAAAAGTTGAAATGAAAATAAGGCCATCTTTCTTTTATGATAATAACTGAAAGTTTTAAAATAAAAGAATATCATTTTGACTAGGACACACTCTGATTTCAAGCACTGGGCAAAAGAAGATTGTTTATTGTTCATGCTCACTAACGAGGGTTTTTTTGTTTAATGTTTGAACAATTTATGTAATGTTAAAGAAGGGTAACTAGTAATGAGAGCTAAGCTGAAGTGTTCACTTTATGTTGAATGAGCAGGTCTCTATGATTCCATGGCAGCACATGAAATCAGGTGACATCTATTTCTAGCTAATTTCAATGTGATTCATGTGCACGGCATGTAGTATTTTTACAATTAATTAAAAATATCCTGCATGCATCTGAAAATGACCCTTAGTCGAATAATTTTTATTTCAATTCAGCAAAGCTTTTTATTTCCCAATTCTGACTTTAAAAATAATAATGAAATGCCTTAAAAAATTAATCAAAAGCACACCTGGTGTTAATATTTCCCTCTGAATCTTAGGACTTTGTAAGGTTCAAGCTTTTGCACCTTCTGCCACCACACAAGAAAAAATACTGTCTATATCAAAAACAACAAAAGGCCATGTACTATGCAAAACTCAGAAGCCATTTTCCTGATGTGAGTGAAAAGGAGGCCATTCCCAATTCTGCACTGACAGTGCTTGCCTTTGTGAAATGTCAGAAAGATGGATAGGAGTCTAAATTATTCATTAGACATTTAGAACTAAATCATTCATTCAATCAAAAATGGTAGAATTATTCCAATCCATGTTCAAAGAAGGCTCGAGCTATGGTTCATGAATTAGAACTTTTTCATTGAGGAATATTATATTTTGCGCTAAAATACCACATAGGATAACTTCAATGAAATATTCAGCCATCATTTCAGAGAAGCACAATAACATGACCTAGATACACAATCTGTTTCTGGATTATAGCACATATCAAGACAGCTAACCCCATTTTTTTTTTTAATAAAGTCAACTAATTTCCTGATCTGATATTGATATTCTTCACAATAAAAATAAGCATGTTCACCTTCACAGCATTCTAGATAGAATTCCAGTGTGGCAAAATAATTTAAAACATGCTTAATAACAGTTTCCATCAATATCAAGGTATAATACCAATAATTATTACAAATAAATTAAAATAAATAAATACACACTGTTGCTTGTTATCATTTATGCATTTCTATCAATAATCTTTATTTTTCCAGATGATCAATGACTTTAATGAAGGACTTCAATAAATGATATTCGTTTTTTAGTTCAGATAATCCTTCCATACAGAAATATAACTTGAATAAAATAATATGTAGGTTTCTATAAGAACCCCCAAAGAAAGGAAAAGGATTGAATATCAGGTTTTATGGACAATTTTCACATCTAAAGACCATGAAAAAATACTTCATTATAACAATATAGTTTTATACACCATGTTTCTATCACTGTATGTACATGTAGTTAATATCTTCCACGCTAATTTATGAGTCAAATAATAAAAAAATTACATGACAGGGATTAAATAAAGTTCCCGTGGCAAAAACTCGATGCACTCACAGAGCTAGTTTGGCGTAACCAGTATTTAACTCTCTCTGTTTTTTCATATCCCCATTTGCCTCGTTTCAGCAAAAAAAACCTCTCACAATTTTCAGCCCTGAGCTTCAGTTTCAGTACAATAAAATATTCACCTGTTATGTTTTGTCAATTCCTCCTCTGCTGCAGAGTCTATTACAGCTATCACTATCATCTTCCCAGTGCTCGCCATCTCGTTGATGGCAGGGCCGCCTACTTTAGGGTAGAGATGAAAGCGGACTTTGTTGATCCAGGCATCCAGGGCCTGCTTTGTTGGTTCTGCTGGAACTGAAACAACAGACACGCTGTTTTTATCTTGCTTAAGTAACACAGACATGAAATTATATCAGATTCTCCATTTTGAACTAAAAACCAGTGTAATCTAGTGCACAAAATACAGGGATGATAAAAAAAAATTTCATGGATTCTGTTTTTTCTTTAGGAGGGTCACCCTGTAGGTAAAATTAAATTTAAAAAAAGACATTAACTTCTCACCACTGCTTTACTTTTGTCAGCAATTACTGAAGAAAAGATGTGTGACAATTCCTTTAAACTACTGACTTCAATTTTTTTTACATACCTTCATATTCTTCATAAGTATCATCTTTGAATACAATCACAGTGGATTCTGCTTTGAGACTAGCTTTAATTTCCTAAGAACAAAATAAAACAAGAAAATCTTGTAAATCTATTTACTAGGAAATCTTTTAAAGGACCACTTATTAACACTACACATTGTATCCATATCAAAATACATGCTACCAACAATCATATACATGATGTGAATATCTTGAATATCATTAAACGAGATATATAAAAGTAAATGGATATATATATATTAAAAGTGATACATATAATAAATATATGAAAATAAGAAAACTCTCACCTCTGGCAGTATGCGGATCTCACCAGCATAAAAATATGTCTGCACTTTCCTCTCTTGGGCAATTTGTTTGTAGGCACTCTAAAAATATAATTTATCTACATTTATCTCACATTTTCAAAGTGATATCATTTAACAGTCAGCAATATCATTACGGTCAACTTAAAACTGACCCATACAAAAAAAAAAAGCCAAACTCTGTGAAAGGTGGCAATAAATGCTTCTTTTATGAGCCTTTCTCAATATGAATGAACAGAGACACAGGATGACCAAGGTATTTGACTCTGAACAAAGTCGAAGTCTGCTGAAGAGCTCTTGTTAATCACTGCATGTTGTTGTAACCTCTCTCCTAGACTTCATTCTTAGTCTGTGTACATACTTGTTGTGTACTTCATGAAAGTGTTTCTCCTCATCCGAATTTCCATGCAGCTCATCATAATAACTTACCAGAAGTACTGAAAAATAAGGATTGTGGTTCCCCACAAATACAAAGAACACTGTGTCTTCATCTCACTGTTACCTAGGGGGCATCTCGATAATCTGAAGGTTCACTGGTCCGAAAAATGGTAACATTTTCATCAGTTTTTTTCATCAAGGGTTCACTGGTCCAAAAAGTAGTAACATTTTTATCAATTTTTTAATTAAGGGTTCATTGGTCCGAAGGTTCTATAGCAAACATTCAGACCAATGAACCTTTCGACTACTGCTGTGGCCTACCAGAAGTGCTGACACCTGAGGATCCTGGTTACCCACATATACAAAGAACACTGTGTCCTCATCTTTATGCTCACTTTTCGCCTCTCTGAACTTTCCAAGACTGCTCAGGAAGCGAACACCAGGACTGAAATAAAATGTAATGGATGAAATCAGAAATTTCAAAGTTGATTTTTTAAATTGGGAAATAACAATCCAACCATGCACAAAAATCATATTTGATGTGCACTATGCATGACTGTTAACCTCTGACCTTTAATTTTAGAATTAATATAATACAGAAAATTAAAACACATAAAAACAATTAGCACATTTATTGAATGCATTTTTACTTTTGTTAAATTATGTATACATATTTTTGGTATAATTGATGAAATCAGCTAAATCCAAGTGAATCAATCCAATAAGATAGTTTTACCCTCTCAAATTTGCAAAACTTATCTTTTTGTCATCTATCAACAATTTTTCTTTCATTCCAGAACCTTTAGACCACACAAAGTTTTTCAGTGTTATTCTTAATATTTTAGATAAATAGATATCATGACAATTAACATATCAATTTTCAAATAAAACTGAATTCTATAAAATAAATGCCATACCATAAACCAGAATCTTCTCTAAAATTAAATAATGAACATTGAAAGTCATCCATAAAATATCAATAATATATCTGTCAGCCAAAATATTGTCTCTAAAGAGACTAATAAAGTTTTCTACTAATGAAACAAGGCATTTCTATCCTTCATTTGTTTATTAGCATCAATACACAAGAGGTAATGATAAACCCATTTGACCAAATTAATCTGTTGCTCAAATAACTAAAATATAAGCAAGATTTCTTTGCAAATTTAGGTTAACCACAATCTCAGAGATGAATCTGCCATCAGGGAAGAAGGCGAAAAAAATGTCTTAATGTCCATGGAGCATCTTAGGCCAATGATATTTTTGGTTCCTAAAAAGTTGGATAGTCGGAAAAATCTCATTCTTGCAATCAGCTTATTAATACTGCACACATGACTTACCCGTCTGCCTTCTTAGCAAACTGGACAATATCTTCCTTTGTCCTGTCCCCAGTAAAGGTATAGTTTTTGTCTCCTTTAATACTGAAAAGATAAAAACGACCCATCTAATGTGTATATTGATATGTAATGTAATGTTTGTACTAGTAGGCACATTTCAGAGTAATCTTTTTTAAGCAGGTAATCTGTATATGAGAATTAAGGGGAAGATATTTAGAAGTTTCAAATAAAATTGGGGTCCATGATCAAGATGTTGGTTATAATGATGGAGTCAAATTAAGTAAAAATTAAGTAACAATGCTAGTATGTTCTCCACTCAAATTGCCTTTACTAACTAAACAGGTCTCCTGAACATAAATTTTACAGATATTTTATATTGGTTTTACCCCAAAATCTAGATGTTGCACATTTAATGCAAAAGTAAATAAATGACTTGCTGCAGTTGGCCCAAATTTCTTAAATTTATATAATTTTTTCAAGTTTAAAAATTGAAATATTTACAAGAATGATGTGATTTTTTTTTCTTCAGTCAACAGCTAATATTGAGATATTTTTTACCTCCAATATTTGGATGTCTAGCAGTAAAAACTATCTCAATATTTGCTGTTGACTGAAGAAAAAATAACATCTTTCTTATAACATAACACAGCTGATGAAATTCTTCTCTGAAATACTTACAATTTTATAGTAGGAAATCCTCGTACTTCAAAAGCATGCATCACGGAGGAGTAAGCCGTTCCATCAAGTTTAGCCACCCTGATACCTGTATGGCGGAGCGCGAGTCCAACTTCCGTGAAAATAGGCTCTAGTTTTTTACAGTGCCCACACCATGGAGCATAAAACTGAAAGCAATGGATGCATATGTACTGATATATAATGTTTAAAATTTTAAAGCAATTCCAGACAGACTCTACCATTATTACTTTATAATAACATTGAATTTATCAACTATAAAATCACTTCTCACATTGTTCTTACTATTGGGTAAATGATGCTACAACAGACGGAAATTTTAGTTTTCAGATGCAAAACATTATCTCTTATTTTCTGACACATATACACCATTCCCAGTATAGGCTATCAAAACATCCTTGGCTATTTGCTATGCAAGCCACAACTGGGATTTTCTATCAGATTGTTTTCAGTTCAACATAGACTCTGAACACTGCCCTAATTGATGAAACAGTGTGACTCACCTCTACTAACCAGGATCCATCCTTTTTCTGCTCAAGAAATCTGAAAAATTTTAAAAAGAATCTTCAATCTCAGTTAAATTGAAATGCAAAGACTCCCTGACCAAAAGCTATAAAGACGTATAAAAATTATAAACCTTAATTACCAAAAAAAAAATAATAGTAATAACAATAATAAATAAATCAATAAATAAATAAATAAATAAATAATGGTAAGGTTAAGAATCAGGTTGACGACAAAAAGCCCATTATATAAGTAAAGGAAAGATTAAAACAACAGTACACACTGAAACTGAAGATAAATGTCACTTAAATTTTACATGTAGCTCACTCTAGCATGTCAATATCTTATGTTATAAATAGCTCTGACTTCTAAAGGCTGATTTATCAAAGTAATGTAAAGATAATTTGACAATCTCAGACTGCTTAACATTTTTCTCAAAATAAGAATAATTTAACCGTCAGAAATAATGTAAATGTACAAGACAATCAACAGATGCCTCGAAAAAGATCACTCTTAAAAGATCGACAAGGAAGACCCAGACTGATCAACTTCCATCCCATAACACTGACATTAACACTGACATTAGCGCTGCAGATATCAGATAATTAATTTCGAAAATCAAACAACAATGGGGACTATGTGCCGCTTACCTTTCGTCTAGGTTTAAAACGCTAGCAGATACGTATGCACCAAGGAAACCTGAAATAACAAGATTGGCATCATTATTCTAATGTATTTACTCTTTGTGAATAAATTGCACTTGTTTATAAACATAAAACCGACACATAAAATTACCGAGAACTGCGATGACACTCCACTTCCACTTCTCCATTGTAGTCATGCGTTTCTCCGAGACCATTGTGCAGATTTGATGATAAAATAACAATTCAGAGTAAATTGTGTTGTAACTTTTTTAAAAATTATTTTTTTCTGATATTATCTTTAAAGTTCAATTTAGTCTATATGTATGTGTAAAAATATTACACACACAAGCAAGCATTAACTGCGAGGTAGCTTTTATTTCCGGTAAAGATGGCCAAAGTAGCGAAATCAGGAGTAGGTGTTTATTGTTGTGTATTTATGTTATTTTAAGAAAGATCACACTCAAAACACGGATATATCGCTACCTTATGGCTATAAGATTCTTAAAAAGACAGACTGAATCGTGCTTTTAGTCTTTTTTGAGAGATATATTCTTGCATTTTTAGGCGCCTCTTAGGCGTGCTCTGCAATATCTGCATCATGTGCTTGGCAACAAAAGTGTAAACCCACATAGCTTTTATTACTACTCTCAGTTTATATCTGAGGATCAGAAGCTTATACTCTTGGTAGTTGGGGTTAAGAACGTTTGTATGTATCATATCATTATGAGTGGATTTTATGTATTTATTAATCACATGTGATAATGTTTGGGAAATGATGTGATACAGTTTATGGTAAAACCTGTCTTATTGCTCATTTTTGCAGGAGGACGTCAATGTTACATATGAAGACCAACAAAAGATAAATAAATTTGCAAGACATAATGCAAGAATGCAGGATCTGAAAGAAGAACTAGAGGCAAAGAAGGTGATAATGGATTGCACACTTACATTTTTCAGAGATGTCACTACTCAGAATAAATAAAAGAAAATCATATAAGTAAATAGATTACTTTATTAATGACAAAACAGCAATCTTGTTCACAAAAGAATCCCTGTTGTTTCTAAAGTGTACAGCCTGATAATAAGAGCCAGATGTTTGGCAGTGTACAAGATATCCCATCTGGCACTTTCAAATCAAATTCTTCAGAAAATAATGACTCAGAAAAAAAAACTCCTTTTTACAAGTATTTGCCACCTGTTGTCAGTTTCAGTATTTTTTATAAAACTTCTTCATTTTTACTCTAGTGAAAATGTTAAGATTTTAGTTATAATGAATTTTTTTTATCTAGTTTTATGCTATCAGCTGTAAAAATGAGTGCAAATATTGTGTGTTTTAAAGCATGCCTTTAAACCTCAACTTGCAGAAGGAACTTCAGAATCTCCAGGATGCGGCTGATGAACTTCTGATGCTGGAAGACGAAGAATCTATACCATATCCTTTCACAAACTCAGCACAATTAAAAATATCTTTATCTAGCAGAGGCATTATTATTATTATTTTTTTTTTTTTTTTTTGGAGAAGGGCAGGGATAGAGAGAGAGGACATTGTTTCAAAAACCCAAACTCAAGTATGCATAGATGCATTGCAGTCTTGTTGCTGATTAACAAAAAAAGCATGAAATGTTTAAATTTTACTGAACAGTTCAGCCCTGGTGTATTTTATATTGGAACATTTATTTTCAAAATTTTCAGATGTTGAAGAACAAAAGGATTTTTATCACAATAACACTGAGCAGCAACTTGCAGCAAGTGCTTCTTATTTAATTTAATTTTTCAAGATAGGCCAGTAATTGGCTAACTTACAATCAACTAGATTTTGAAGTAATTAATCATGATGAGAATAGATCTAACTTGATGAAGGTCAGAACTTTCTGAGTGATTTTTCTCAGTCCCTATATTTCCCTTAACCCACATGCACATACCAGATAGGTGAAGTGTTCTTCAGCGTGTCTGCAGATGAAACCAATGAAATGCTGGAGAGAAGGAAAGAGGAACTGGAGGAACAGACCAAGAGTATAGAGCAGCAAGTCAATGAACATAAGCAAGTGCTCTCGGACTTGAAAGTACATTTGTATGCCAAATTTGGTAACAATATCAATTTAGAAGCAGAAGAACAAGCAGAGCCTTGAAAGTGACTTATAGCTGTGATACTGGGAGTTTTTTTTTCTTTTTTTGATATGATGATTATTAGAGCTATCTGTGTGAAGTGTGTGTGGTTTGTTGAAAATCTGGGTCAAACAAGGTTGGGACACTACGTGTAAATCATAATATTGGAAGCTTTTGTTAAAAAAACAGATACCTGTTGGGATACTGAGAATGATGCATCATGATGAAGCAAGTAATAAAATGATAGACAAGAAAACCGATGTCCAGCATTGTTTAGGAGAACCAGATTTTTATGCTTGAAAGAAAAATGTTTTCTGACTTAAACAAGAAATAAAAATTAGAAGTACTTTGTACAAAAATATTTTCCCTGAATTTGAGAATGCTAAGTAGCGGCTCACCAGAAATAATCTGAACATAAATTGAAAAACATAGTAGTAGAAAAGGCTATAATTATGAAAAGTGGTGTTAAATTCACACAAATACCGTTGTCCTTCAAAAGATAGTAATATAAAAGATAGTAATATAAAAGTTCTAAACGGGCTGTCAGCGCCTTTATTTTCAATTCATTTCCAAGTTCTCATGAAATTGGGAAAAATGCAATTTGTGTATATATATAAAAAAAACTTGATTGTCTTTTGAAAGAGAAAAAAAAAATCGCCCATCAGAGGGGGTTTTGAACTCAGTTCGCAGTGGATTGATTATGGATGACGTCTTCAAAGATTCCGTCAACCCGGGCCGACTGACACGAAATATCACCTTTCTTGTAAACCTACCTTTTCGCGAATGGAGAAGGTGCACGAATGGTTTTATAAAAGCTACTCAAAAATTTGTTAAATTTCGCAAATGAAATGCAAATATCGCAGCGAACCTTTCTGTTTCGTCACTGTCGCCACGCACTTTTGTGACGTCACAGAAGCGAAATACATCGTTTTAACTGGACCGACGTCGCGTAGTTACTAGGATACAAAAATGCTTTCATCATAACAATTTCAAAATGCAGTCGTGACTTTTTCAGTTGTATTTTGTTTTAGTTCGTTTTAGTTCTGTTTTACGTAATCTCCAGGATTAATTTTTTTTCAAATTCTTTTTTTCGCGTCATTTACAATAATGTTGGCAGGCAGGGGATCACAGACGTGGACAAATAATCGTTTTCACTTCGACCGTTTGACAGCAGAGGTCAAACGAAAGAAAAAGGGAAAACAAGAAAATAAGAACAAAGAGGTAATGTATAGGGGCCTACCACAACATATTTTCAGTAAATTCCCCAAATTCAATTCAACTTAAGTAAGGCATTTTAAGATCGATTAAGAAATCGAGCAATCAGTCGTTTTTGATATCAACTTTTAATATTTTCATTTTCGAAACTGATTCTAACAAAAATCTCAAAAATACTTAGGATTGACTTTCTATCATCTAGGCTGAATATGATTTGAAAAACGAAGCAGGTGATCACGTGAACGGCTCTTCACGTTACTATGAAAATTTGCAGAGTGCACGCAATGAGGACTCGATTGTAAGTATGTTCTGAGTATGAAGTAAGGCAAGTTAAGTCGGTTTCTTTATCCTGTCTGACCCTTTTTAACAAAAGACTCACTTATCTTCGCATGACTTGATTGAAAAATGAAAGAAAGTCTTACTTTATAATATCTAATAAAGGCCTACGAAAACCTTTGTATGCAGCTTTAAGGCAAAGTAGGCAAATTTTGCATTTATCTTGTGACTAATAATTTTATTGATTTATGCAATATTGAAAGCATATAGACAGCAATTAGCTTTTGGCGTCCAAATAAATCGAAATGCGAGGTAACAAAGTTACAATAGTTAAAAAGGCTTTAGCAGTCTCATTTGACCGAACGATATTTAAAGATTGATATAGGAGTTGTGTGTGGATAAATTGTGTTGAATAATTATATGGACATAGTGAAATTGACATTGGTCATTCAGGAATAGGTCCCAGTACCTAGACTAGGGTAAAATATTTTGTCGCTACCCCTGCCTTTAAATGTAAACTAGGAAAAATTATCCAAATTCGGAATTGTATAGAAGTAGTACGGAACCAGTACATTGCAAGTATTTGAAAAGACGCGCACATGTTCATGCATATTACAAAACATAATGCTATTACAAAATGATCCTGTTAAATGTTTCTTTAAATTCCGTGTTAATAGAGGTCTCCCGCGTCTTCTGCTCCTTCTGGATGTCACGTAAGTCATCCCCGGTCCTTCACAGGGGCAAACGCACACGAGAATGGAACAGCAACTCAATCCTGTAATGTGAGTTCATTCTTTTCTTTTCTTTCTTTTTTTTTATTTATCTTATTTATCTTATATATTTATCTTATACATTCTTGCGGTTTGCAGGATCTTAGATTGCTACAAATGCGCACTTTAGATGATTTTCATTCTGCTTGTTTTTTTTTTTTTGTTTGTTTGTTTGTTTGTTTGTTTTTTGCGAAACATCAAACTTTCACCTATAGTTAGCCTACGCTTTTTTTTATCTTTACCGTTTTTTTTTTTCACGTAAATATAGGCCCAATTTTATTATTGTGTTATATTATTTAATTTATTATCCGTATTCCATTGAATATATCGTTTTTGTCAGAAACGTTTTCACATACGAATGTACCTGCTGTTATTGAACTGTCAATATAAGTAAAGGCAATTCTTCCTCCAGAAGATTTTTTCTTATTTTTTAAAATCTTTTTCATGTATATATCTTTTTTATTGGGGGTGTCAAACAACAGTCATATCCAAAATACAACCTATAATTATAACATTGAATCTCGAGTTTTATTTTCATATGGTAAACATCTGCTCCTTATCTGAATAAACGTCTACCTGATTTGTCCTTTATGTTTCGCAGAAACGTCCATTCCTTCGCTGGTACGAGTACCCCGGATGTGAGAAGCCCGAGGACGGGATGTCCCTCCGCCCTGGGGAAATGAAGGGAAACAGCGCGTTCGCCTTCACTCACTATTCCAGTCAGAGTTAACCGTGCCTTAGACTAAGTGTGACATTGAACTTTAATTTACTGGGATTTATATTGATGAAGCCAAGATTATTTGTGATAGTTAATTGCGTATTACAGCATTTATTTGTTACGCAAAACCTGGAGAAGACGTAGATGTGTTTTTTTTATGATTTGATTTTTTTTCAACGTATTATCTTTACAGAACTTAATAAAAAATAATGTTTTTTGTGCTTTGACCTATTTAATAGACCTGACGCCAGTATTATACAGTTAAAGGATTATAAAATTATTAAATTGGGTAGCAAGGGATTTTATCTCTTAAGCCTCCTTGGTCAGTCTCTTTTTAATTTATTGTGTCTCATTATATATATATATATATATATATATATATATATATATATATATATATATATATATATATATATATATTTCATGTGGAGAAATAATCAGTTGAGACATAAGAAAATATTTGAGCCAGTTTTGTAAACTTGCTTGTTACGTGCAATGGATTTTCAATGACGAAAGGAGAAAAACGTCAAAGGGTTTATATTTCACTTTCAGACAAGTCGAGTAATAAGGCATAATTAATGTCCTAAAAGCCCGTGTTTTTTTAAAGCATTTATGATGGCTAATGGCTACTGTAGCTTAAAAATGCCCTTTCAAGTGTCTATCGATTCTTTGCATTACATTTAAACTGCATTGTTAGTGGAAGTTGTTTGCAAGGTCGATGACAGCGGTGAGCGATGAACGACGAACTAATGACCCAGATACATCTTCGTAGATATATCTAAGTCGTTAGACAAACACAGCACAGCATACGGTTAGAATATATGATCCCAGAAAAGTGACGTTATTCTGGCGTGAGTGTCGTCATAGCGGTTACGTAACACGTGATAAGAAGGGGTCAAGCACGGTATTGGAGTTGGAAGGCACAACGTCAGGTGAGTTAGACGAGCGATCACTTCTGCAGCATATCATTTATCGCGTCCCAGTATCAACTAGAAAACTTCATGAAGACTTCTGTACGAAGAGGTTAACGTTAAGTAACTGTAGATTGTTCCCTACAGGGTAGGATGGTTCTGATAATTTCCTAGCGATAACCTCTATGGATAACACCTTAGTGGTATCACCTTCACGTCACACGTCACATGTATATTTAACAGCATGGCGACAAAAGGATTTATTCCAGCACTGACAGTTGTAAATTGTTGTAAGTCCTGACCCCTACCCCTTCTCCTCTTATATCAGTGCCTCCCCTCCCCTCAGACACACACAGCACAATCACAGAACAAACAAGACAAACTTGGATTGCGCTTTTTTCCCCGTTCAGTGTGTTCAGTGGACAAAATCCCCAAAGAGCTTGCATTGACACGAAGCTGCCAGCTACTGTACTTTGACATTTGACATGTCCCGAGACATAATTTTAAATATACTGCTTACCCAGCTCTACAAAATGCCATCAGTTTATCAGTTCAGGCAGACCTATTGTTATGAATTACAGCATAAACCCATATTTTCATTCTTTCATTTTTTTTTTATGTTTTAGTCTTGGCATTGTGAAGATAAGGTTTGCTTCTGAAAGCAGGGGCAACAAAATTCATCTTTTCCAAATTCATTTTACAGATAACCGCTCAGATTATGTGCTCAAAAATTATTAGATTATGTGCTGAGGCGCTGAATTAGCCTTCTCCTTCTATTTGCTCAAATACAATCATTGCAGACGTCTTTATAACTATTTACTCTTAACCCTGACGTTTTTTATTACAAATGTTTGTTTCAACAACATGCCACGCACATATTCTCTCAAAGAATTTTCTCCGTTTGATGAAAATACAATATTCTCTTAACCTTCGGCAGCCTACATTCCCGAATTATTTCCATCTTTTCATTCACTAGGGCGGTCCTTCGCAGGTCTTCTGATCCCAAGGAAAACTTCATCAAAGATATCATTTATTGCGAACCAGGGATATGGGTGGAAGCGGTCAAGCCAGTTATGACGATGCTCACGACCCTAAATACGGACCTCCCCATCCTGTTCCCATAGTGACAGCCAATGAGACATCCTTAAAAGGCTACGGAACTATTGTGACGTCATATGACGACACAGAAGTGGAGATCTCGACATGGCCACAGCCCGGGTGGCGACCGATCTGCCCGGGCACTGGGAATCAAGGGGGCATCACAGGCGGGGAGTTTACCTACCTCTGGGACGGCGACTTGTGTCTAGCCACCAACAAAGCTGTCCCCGATGGCGATTACGTCATCGGTCGTCTCCCTGCCAACGTATCACGTGACAAGCGCACGCACGTGTTGGTCCGAGAGGCCAACTACCACCCAGACGGGGGCCAGGTGTTCTTCCCTCAAGACGGCAGCCCATTCGTGGCCTTACTCGCTCTTCCAGGAGACGACATTGGTTTGAACGATTTCCGCGCTTTCTACTTTGATGGCAGTTTTGGGTTCCAGATTCACGCCGACATTTGGCACCAGCCCATTTACCCTGTCAACGACTCCGCTGTCTTCCTGGGCAAACAGGGAAAGGTTCATGCGTGCGTTGTAGTCGACACGGTTGAAGAGTTTGGAAAATATCTTCTTGTACCTCTGACGTGTGAGCAATAGCAAAAAGCTAGTACGCGCCGCTTCGAGGTTAGGCCTATTTCTTGTTTCTAAGGAAAACGGTCATTTTGAAAATGAAACTGCTGCATTCTGATGAAAATTGATCCGTGTATTAATGTTACTCATAATGATGAAATTTTAAAACTTTTCAATTTCTACACTATAACTGACAGCGTATCCGTAATTGCTGTTTATTGAAATGATTTCAAAAGACTTATTTTATTTTATTTATTTAATTGTTCAATTATTATTTGCAAAATAAAAAGCCAGAGAAATCAGTTGATGATAAAGGCTTTTGTTTGTCTTTATGAGGTATTTGCTTGGGGACATAATTATATACTTGGTCATGAAATACGCATGAAATTAGTATGTATATAAACCCTCCAGTCTCATTATAAATTCAATTCAGCTCATAACAACCGCAAGTTATGCGAAGGACAAGAATGACAAAGGATGTTATTAAACTAATGATCAGAAAGGAATAACTTTTTCATCATCATCATCATCGTCATCATCATCATCATCATTATTACTATTATTATTATGAATCGCGAATACAATTAATGCTAATTGTCAGCGATATAACTTGAAATCAAAGCAGCCAATGGGACTTTTTACTTTTTAGATTACGCACAAGCTACTTTCAAATGTTTACAAAACTTTTTGATGATACTTAAATAGAAGTTTGAGATATAAGACAATTTTTTGTTCAACTTAAGGCGCATGATTTCACTTAATCGTTTTAAATATAAAAATAACGTAGTTTTACATTCATTGTTATTGTATAAATTTTGATCATTTGTTTAAACTTTGCACAAGATTAAATGCAAGCAAACCCATTTTATTTGCTAATTCGAGTGGCTCGAAATGATTCATTTGAAAAAAATTGAGAATGATCTGATAGTCCGGCTGATTAAACAACGCCCGCGCGAACGCACGCTTACAAGCTTATACAGCAGCAGCACTTCTCGAAAGGACATAAGGATACGGCTGGTCAACCACTACTACTTCACGCTTCTTTCTTGTGTGTGTGTGTGTGTGTGTGCGTGCGTGCGTGTGCATGCGTGAGCGCGCATGAGTGTGTGTGTGTGTGTGTTTAGCTTATTTAACCCTGGGTACGGATATATATACCCTCTACCAGGATTGCAGATAATGATGTACACTTTCCTCTGACTCTCACAGTGCAGAGAGTAACCATCTGTTTACCCAGAGACATATCTGTGAATATGTAGTAGAGGGTAGGGTACAGATACCCTTTTGTACTCTATATAAATAGCATCGCGCTATACTGTTAGCTGATAACCCGGTTTTTGCTAGGTAAACATCGCCCCCGTTACACAACGTTACAGCTGCTTACGTGGCACTTGTTATCAATATCATAGAAGTAGCTTCTATGTCAATATGTTGCAGGATAAAGTAAAAAAAAAAGTTTGCATGACTTTGCACAATAGGTATCGGCGCTTAAAACACCGGTTTTATTCAACTTGATACAAATCCATATAACAAAAGTAAAACAGAAGAAAGATGTAAAATATGAAAATGCAGGTCTGTAAAAAAATGGCACATATTTATTTTGCATTATCAAAATTAACACCATTGAGTAATATCTGTATGGGCTTCAGCTGACATTTAAAAATTGAAACAAAGAAAAAATTAAAAAGAACTCGAATTGTGCTGAATATATTTTAACGGACCCCTTACCTTGTTGGTATTACTCACTCACCATTGAATGTCACACTATTTATAGACGGGAACAAAAGAGCATCGCAGTACCGGCACATGATTCTGAGTAAGGCACGTCGAATAGACTTATTCAGGATTATTAGAGAATAACGCATTGTCACATGAGCGTGAACTTAGCTTACTTTGTGAAATACTTCCTGGTACTTGCAATTCATTAAATGGGGTAATTGTTGGGTAATTAATAAAGTTTGCATTGTTCTCAAATGAATTGCGTTTGCGTTTGGTTGCAGATGGCATTTTCTGCTAGCCGCAAAAATAATTTAAAAAAAAGATAACCAAAATTATAAATATATTATATATTATTATAATATTCATGCAATTTTTCCCAACTACTCTGTGTACAACATCCTTTTTAATCCAAATCTTTAATCCAAGTCGGTCCAATTGGATCAGTTTGACCTTGGTTGCTGCAAGGAATTGTGGGAGCCTCCTCAATGTTAGTAAACAGAGAGCTTCCCTGGACGCGAACGGGCATACGTGGTGCGCGGCACGTCCAACTACGCTACGTTCTGGCGGACGCAATCTAGGTCTTGGCCGTTAAGGCGACCTTCCCCTTGTCTCAAGCGACGTCACCCTTGAACGCTGTCTTCTACCTGAAAGGGAAAACGTTGTGAAAAACTGATCGGCAGATCGGTATGTATACAGGCGTACCCTAGCTGTCATTAACGTTTTTTATACTCCCTCTTACGTCTATCATTTAACATAAAAATCATCGATCGATATGAGTGGATGTAAAATTATTCTTAATCACACGTCATATGGATCAATATGATATTCATATACTACCCTGAAATGAATACAGATGAAGTTTCACACCGTTCGACCTTTTCGTTTCGTTTTTCATTTATGCCGACATCGATTTTTTTTTTTCGTATTCGCTACAGCACCAGATTAACCTGAAATGGTCTGACACAATCCGTAACTGCGCACATTCCCTTACAGATCAGAAAAGAAAATTAAATCAAGATAAGGGCAAATGCTGTATATGAGAGGGATATTGGGAGTACACAGCTTGATCTTTGTCTTTAAATGTATCGAAATTGGTAATAAATGCATTCAAATTGGTCGAATTTTATCGACAGATGCTAACCTATTTCTCTCAGCAGCGTCCTCGTTTCACCTCAAACATTATGATAAGCAGTGCGCACTGATAAACATAATTAATTTAGTCCTCTGTATTGCAACTTTAGAAAATACGATTTTTCGGTCAGTCTGGGGACGTGGTATTTGATATGCAAATGAAAAACATTTAATCAATTGTTATTAGAAAGAAGAGGGCGATAAAGTGGCGTGGCGAGGAACAGATAAAGGTGTGATTAGAGGAACTGTTTGACCTTAAAAGAGTCGTTCCCGTCACCTTCAAGCTCTGCTCACGTGACGTGGAATATATTAACCCACTATTTTGACCTAGTCTGTCCTGATTCCCGATTGTGAGAACGCGTTAAATGTAAACAACACAAACCTGCCTAAACAATGTTTTTATCGATCGATTGCCAATTCCCATCAATTTTGTTTAGAGAGAAGTCACCAGAATTGCATAACTGAAAACATGCATCAATATTTAGAATTTGTTATTATTTTGGGGTAATTGTTGCAAACCGCAAAGGTAATAAAATAAGCTCTTTATCTTCTTAAAAAGTAATTTGAGGTTATTTACGACGCGACGTTTCACCCGCGCAATGTCACATTGTCGGTGCAATATCCGCATCAGCCCTGTCAGCTGAGGTCGTATTTTTGTTTACATTGATTTTCATCCAGCTATAGCGTAGACGTCACTCATTCTCCCAGCTGAGTTCGTGCATTTTTTTGAAAGCGGCTAGATGCGTAAGATCGCGTTTGCTGTTAAAATGAAACTTATTAACATTTTCAGAAGAATTTAACATTGATTCACCTGCATGAATTCCTGAATGGCTTGAAAATTCAAAAGGCAACAATGCGACAATAACTCTTCAAGTGACGCGTTAATAATGCAGTTCCGCATAACGTGCCGATGTAAGACTTTCCCCAGCAACGATTAATATCATTAACACCTAGAATTATGCTACCCGGTAAAATACTTTTCAAATGCTAGAAATTATTCATTCCAAGAAAATGAGGACGTTTTGGTCGTCACGTTTGACTTTTTTTGTCATTAACTCGGTGAACATTGAGTGATTTGGTTAAGTCGAGGAAAAGAGAACGCTACTACTACCCTAGACCACGTTAATACTTACAACAGTCCTACTGCTGCATGCTGCGTTGTCTTTCTGGCCAAAGCAAAAGAAATGTGGATATATACATGCAGATAACTTTAATCTAACCAAAAATAACACTAGACGGAATGTGATTGGAGGAATAAGAATTTCAGGGCGGGATTTATGATAATTATCCCTTGTTTGCCAGGTTTTTCTCTGGACTACGTGATTTTTGTAGCGTAGTCTATGGCGGATCTAGTAAATGTGCCTGGATGATCATTTGAATAGCTGGCTCTTGCTTCTATATTCCCTGGTGTTGCGTTCAAATAGAGATTGAACAGTATTCGCAATGTTATTTTTATAACTAAGAAATCTTCAAAATTTTTCTTGCGATTGTAAACATAAATGTTTTATAAGCGATGGATTTATCTAGACTACCATGAAAGGAATTTTGATGCGCGCTTGACAGTCAATTGATACTTTCTTTTCTTGGTCAGGTTATTTTAGATATTACACATTAAAAAAAAAAAAAAAAACATCGATAAAAATGAAATTGCGTCACCTTTGTAGTTTGAAGTAAATTTTTAAACAGACTTAAAATGTAGAACATTATACTTAGTTCAAAGCTAAGCAGATTTGCATTTTTTCTCTTGGTTCAAGTAAGAAAACATTCTGTGAAGAGGCACGAAAAGACTGCGAGGGGCGACACTCCAAACTGGACACCGAATCTCTCTACGATCTCTCGCACAGCGTCAGAAACTCAAACGCACCTCATCGTTTTTGGTTTCTATCCGATTTACTCTTTTCGTTACCAAGAAGACAGATGATACATTTTTGGCGGTATAAATATATGTATGACAGCATCAGTTAGAACAATTAAAGATTAATAAGCCTGCCAGCTGCCACCATCACGAGTTTCACTATAAGGAAATGGAGACCCATAACACAGTCAAGTTTCAGTCAAGTTTTTGGTTATTTGAAACAGTGTTAGTAGGCCAATGATAAACACAGAGACGCAGGATTTTGGGGTGCTGATCCTCTCTTTCATATTTATAATATTCTTTTTTAAATAAAAAACGAATAAAGATAAATAAGAATCGCCAACCCAGCCCACCACCTTATGAGAAAATATACACTGAGTCAAACAGAATAATGTTTCATGTGCTGCATTTTATGCTACAACATTGTGTGGTTGGGAGAAGGGTTGTAAAATGGGGACTGAACCTTTTAGCTTCTCCCTTTTCTTGATATTTTTGGTTTGTTAAAGAAATGAGCTCCGAAATACAAGCTTAGGATATAGGGCCTATGGACTTATGCCAATATGAATATTTCAGCAGTTCACGCGTTCACTAGCTAGTGTTACCATAGGCTATGTGCTTATCCTGATTCAGAACACGCATCGATTAAAATGATAATAGGCAACTAATCATAAGTAGGTATGTGTGTACTTAAAGTGAAACGTATCTTTTTTATTCAATGTGGTTAGCCAAGTTGTCGGTCAATCCAGAGAACACAGTGACGTAAACTGACATCACGTGACTGCGATCTACCCTTGGGAAGCTCAATAACCTTCATCGCGGTAGTCGTTCTTTTTGTGAACGGGGCCAGGCATGGTGCGCTTGGGAGGTTTCCGATGGTCGTCAAGCGGCGTAAGTAATGTCGTTTAAAAGGTAACGCATCTGGGTTTAAGGTCGATTTCGTACCAAATAAAATGGCATGAAGTTTGTGATGATTTTGAAGGAGAGGTTATCCCGTGGAAATAGGAAAATACACATTTTATGGTGCTTTAAACTCTTTTACAGATAACCCATTTTCACAGTGTTAGACTTGCTTTGGGTTGGAATAGTTACGTAGTAAAAGAGCAGAGCACACTGCGTGACTTTTAGCATGCAAATGTACCCAGTGTAGGACTATTGCTTTTGAACAGGATCACTGAGAGACCCACGCCACCGATAATTGGCTTCGAACGATTCAATACCCCGTATATATATCTCCACCTTTACTTTAATCTACGCATTTGTAATAGAAAATATGCTTTTGTTTGCTTAATATACATGTATGACCTCCTAGTGTAACTGTAAAATATCAATCTGTTCAATGATGCTGGAAACTCCTCTTCTTGGAACTGGCTATTTTGATCAATCCGATAATGGGGACTTAACCCGAGTTGACCGCAGCAGATGTTCGCGGCACGTAGATACCGATAGTATGCGTATGACGCGTAGGTTGTACTTTTCGCAGTGAATGTTGATAAGCTAGTTTTGCCGCTGGTATAAAGGTATATATTTGGAGCAAGATAGGTGGTGATTGCATAGCGTTTTATTTTACACGCTTTTAATTTAGGTTAACTTGGGCCGTCATTAGTTATTCGACACCTTTTCTTGGGCTGATTTGTAGAATTAACGTTAAAGGAAAATGTGTACTTTCTGTTTCAGTTTCCAAGCGATAATACTAGGCCCCTTTTTTTACCTTTCAATAGTTGTTAAACCTATAGCTGATGAAGTAATTGGAAATGATAACAGCAATGCATAAGACTTCAGGTGCCCTCAACCATAAGGAAAAGCGTGAAAATGTAATTTATTGGAAATTTTGATGACATCAAACGTATATATGTTTCTACACATAATAATAATAATAATAATAATGATAATAATAAATAAATAAATAAATAAATAAATAAATAAATAAAAATATATAAAATCTCTGGATAAACAAACAGATATATTAAAGTATAATATATTGATAAAAGTACTGGGCCTAGAACTGTTACATAAACTAACGCATAATATAACATTGTACGTCTGTTAATTGTCACTATTTCTACATTAAAAAAGAACATTTTTACGGATACTAGTATGCGTAGGTCAGAGGCCCGTAAAACAGCTAATTTATTTTATTTTTTTAAAGACTGTAATACTGATCGGCTTATCTTGAATCACCTTGAACCCCAGCGCTCGTGTGACCGACCTCATATTGAAATTTTGAAGCGTGTTTCCTTTGAGTTGACTTAGTGACTGAGAGTGCTTAGTCAATGTTTTAAGGTAGTGTATTTTGTTTTAGTTGCTGTGACTCATATAATTACTGAGTCATCAATCCCTATTATCGTGTTACGTGACATGTTTGTTGTAAGTCTTTAAATGCTTAACTTTAATAAGCAGGCAGTAAGCAACATATGCCTTGCAGTTACTGAGCACCGTCTCTTTTTTTATGATGCAATTTTTAATGAATGAAAATCGGGACATCTCCATAAACAGTCAGAACTTTTTCAAACTTGAACTAGCCTTGCAATGTTGACAAAATTGTAATTTCTGTGCATTTTTTAAAATCAGATTTGAATCTTTCTGTTCTCTAATGTCGCTGACATAGGTGTATAAATTCATTTTTAAGGATTTTCATCACCTATGTCGGAGACATTTAATAATTCACAATGAAGCACTTTGAGTAACGTCACGTAATGTCTTTGTACGTAGATCATTTGCAACGTTATTCTCCATAATCCCTTTTTTCTATTGTGTAGTGTTAAGTCTAAAGCGGTCAGTAAAGTCTTGTTTGTTAATCAGAATTAAGAAGTTGCTTGTAAGAATCCTTGAATGAACATTAAGTGATTGCATCTGGTTATTGTTGTCTGAGTTGAATTTCCTCATGGCAATTTAAATGTAAAGATTTTTGACCACTAATGTGGGAAGTAGTATTAACGCATTATCCACCCCAAAAGTTTACGACGGTGTCTGCATTATGAGTTTGTTCTTAATTTTTATTCTTTACCATATGCAGCGGTTCCAGACATTCACTGTTTTGGCAACAGCATTATTTACTTTTGTATAATTAACGTAATACTTTGAAATTGTACTTCCAATTGTTCAGTGTTTCTGAAAACATTTGAAAAATGACCTTTGCTTGGTGTTATAAGGCTGCATTAATTAAGTTTACCATGCATGGTTCCAAACTAAACATTTTTTTACTTCATCCATAGGTTCTAGATATGTGGCAGTTGCAAAGACCGGTGTTTTTTTCGAAACCTTTTCCTCAACATTGACAGCAACAAATACTTCCCAGGGCTGCATAGCTTCAGAAGGTGATTATAGTAAGTACAGCCATGTTTAAATAGATACTGTAATTGTCCCATGCACATTGAGTCTGCCATAATAGTAACATGTGGGGCCTGACATGAATGGAAAATGGCAAATTTAAAAGTTTGCTCAGCATGTTGCATCTCAAAACATTATGAGTCTTTAAATAACTGATGAGAAAGAAAAAACAAGGGGATGGCTCGATAATGATATTATATGTTATGCTTGCCAAATAAATCATTGTCAATTCCATACTGAAAATTTGTCATCAAAATTATACCTTCTAATTTATCATTGCTCTCAAATTTATTTTTTTTTTACTTTAAATAATTACTTTCTATAATTCCTTTTGAAAATAATTTTGAACAAAGTTTAATTTAATTTGACAGTAGAATATGTACCGTTTTGACAACATAGATATTTTGGCAAGCCACATGTTTCTGTTAATACAGTTCCTGAAAGATTTGTTCTTATTGTTTTATAGGTTTGATATTTAAAGACCTAATTTTGACATAGCTTCACATTTATAATGATGCTCATAACTGAATCAGATTCTGATAAATTTCACCATTAAAGGTAAAAACTAGAAGTTAATTTTTTGAAAAATTGGTTTATTGATAATAATTTTCTCAGTGGATGGGGGATATTTGTTTAATGGAAAAACTAAAATTTTCAGGGACAATTTTCCTTGAAAGTTAAATTTTTTCTGCTTTATAATGGTGTAATGCATACTGCAAGATAGTAATTGAAAATCAACTTTATTTAAGCCAAGTCTGCTCTGTTTTCCTCCTTGCACTTACAATTTCAGGTCTTATATTTTAAGTGGGGGTAAGAATTAATTTTTTTCAGACATTGGCACATTTGGAAAACTAACTTCTTTGGAATGAAAATGGCAGGTTGTGTGGTTCCTAATCTGGTTGTATGTATTTATGTAGAAAAACAAGTTTATTACGGGTCTTTTATCAGTCTTTTATTTAAAAAAATAAATAAGGAAGAAAGAAAAATATTTTGTTGGTGATTATATAGCACCAGAATTTACTTCCATTTTTATGTCTTGAAAAACAAGTTGATAGACCTTTTGACTTTTCTTAGAAGTTGTTTATGTATGCATTGGTCAATTTTGCTTAGCCTCTTTTTCAGGATTGCTGATGTCAATATTTCTTTTCTAATAGTACTGAATATGTAAATAAACATGGAAATGAGGCTAAGTGAGGCTCACTTCGGGTCGGTGCTTACATGAATAGAAAAAGATAGGTCTATAAAGCAAAACAGTATAAAATGTAGATGTACTATGTTTACATACCTGTGGTCAGAATGCCAGCCTCTGGAACAGGAGGATGTGAGTTTGTCCCTTTCTGGGGACATGCAAGTTCTTCATAAGTGGTGCGTACTGTCTACATACTTGACACTCACCATTTGGGGGTTGAGATATTGGTAAAATGTGTGATCTAGCAGTGAAAGATACTGTTTGTGTGCTGGAGTTCAGTACTTCATGCAGCAGCTGGGCTGTTACATATATATTACATAATATATATATGTTATATGCAGATGTACATATACATATATTACATATTTTATCTTCTCTATAGGGAGTGAAAAACATCTACACTCAGTCTGAATATATGGCTGAAAATAATCCCAGACATATCAGGGGCGGATGGAGGCCGTCTGGGTTGACAAAGACAGTCAGATTTTAAGGTTTACATTGATGGGGTTCTAATTTTTCTTTTGGAAGATGGTCGAAAATGGAGAATGGATCAACAATGTTAATTTGGAAGACTGTTCAAAAATACCTCTGGATCCGCCCCTGCATACTGTCATCTTATTCTAATGTAATCCAAAATGAGCCACAGTGAGGTGTGGTGTATGAGAACCAGGTTTTTTTTTCTTTTTACTTCAGTCTCATATGGTGTATTAATTAAGCCAAGGGTAGGATTGCGGTGGCATTATATCATCTAAGCGTGTCTCATTTTGTATGGGAAAGGCAGGCCTGCGGTTTAAATATAGAACCTGTCTGTGGTTCATCTTGTGTTGACATTTATATGGGTAGCAAGGTTGTTAATTTAACCTACCTTTAATATGCAGGTAGTCTTGATGTCTTGCATGAATGCTTGTGATAGGAAAAGTGAATAGTCTTACATTTTGTATCATGACTCATTTCATTTGATGTATGTTTATCTTTTTCAGGCCATTCTTTTTTTACAAAAAGGAAAAAGTAAAGGAAGTTGCTTCCCAAAAGAAGAAGACAGACATTAATAAGGTAATTTTATTTATGTTAAGTTTATGAGGTACATGAAGCCATTTCATGCCTTGAAGGCCTGTGCTTATTATTTTGGAATCGTCAGGCTTCAAATGTATATACATTGGCAGCATCCCTTGTATTAAAAATCTACATTTATGCTAACTTTTAAAACATTAAAGGGATAACAAGTCTTCATGTGAAATTTGAAATTAAAAAGTAAATACATGTAAACAACACATAGAAGTATGATAAATTCCATTTTACCAATAAAATGGCAGTAATCATCAGTGTTCTGAAATCTGTGCTTGCAATAAAAAAACTCACTTAAAAAAAATTGACTAACTATGAATGTAGGAATGGATTCATTAACCATTAGGAAGCATGGTAAAATTGTCCTTTACACCAGGAAAATCTGTTTTATGGCGTGAAATACGTAGTTGTTATCCTTTTAAGTTTGGCACCAAAATTGATCAGATTGGAGGGAAGTGTGGATGATGTGTGGTTTTGGCACCAGTTTATTTAAAAACATGGCCATGGTATATGTACTTGGAGGAATAAACACACTTTCAGTGAGTCATCATATTGAGCACACATGAAAAAACATATAATGATACATTTTCACATCTTCCATAATTAAGTAAAGGACCTTAGGGATGAAATTGAATGTAATGGGCTTATGTGCATGATCAAGGGGGCTGGATTCCCCAATTTGACCAAATATTGGAAAATATTTGATATTATAAGATAAATAAATGATGTGCATGAAGATGTGTGGTTACTAATCCTCTTGAATTATGGAAAGTAGGCTATGAAATGCATACCCACCAGTGCCATCAAATATATCTATGATTCTGGCAACTTGTGGTCTCAGCAAGATGTAAAAACAAACAAACAAACAAACAAACAAAAAAATATATGAACTCACACAAGCTTTTGAAATTAAGAGACATCTAACTAAACTTGAGAGAAAGAAATGACATTTTTTAAAAAAGCAAAGCTTGTGCTTATTTAGTATACAACCATACTTGATTCAGAAAGGAAAGTGTTGATCTGGTAGATGACCGATGACTGAACTTTTCAAGTACATACACTGTAGCTCAATGCAGGTGTCCTGGTATGACATCTGAAATGAATGTTTAAATATGTAATTATGACCTGTGATGTGAAAACTAACTTCTGATAAACATCAAATCACACATATACCCAAGCACACCTTGTAAAAGTCAGGGTTAAGCTTGATAAAATTGCTAAAGTTGTTAAATTAATGGGGGTGAAACAATGTCAGTGTGGAAATTTAATTTTAAATATGGTGTTTAAATAGGTATAGCAGCTAAATCTTAGGGTCAGTGATTTAATTTTTCTTTTTATTTGTTCTTATTTTTTAGGAGGGGGGGGAGTATGAAATCCTCAGTGCAAGTCATATTTAGCATAAAAAAAAAAAAAAAAAAAAAAAAACAGCAGCAGCAGCAGCAGCAAGATTTTTTTCAGGGGTCCCCTACCAGCACCCCTATTTTACCACCACCAAAAACAATGCCCAGTGGTGCCTTCCATTGAAACCAGCGTAAAAACTGTCTGACCTTAAAAACGTTTTGCGATGGAATGCACATTAACACTGTTTGCACGGTTAACCTTCTGTGATAATGAAGGTTACTTATGGCTTGAAAACTCATCCCTGGGATGTAAATTCAGTTGTAAAAAATCTAACATATTTTTTCTCTCTTTTCAGATTGCTAACTGCACAGCACCTGAGGCGTTTGTATACAACCCAATCACTGGAGACACCCTTAACCTTGGAGTGTGGTTGATCAACACGGATCAAATTTCCTAGCAAGGTAACTATATCCTCTAGTAATTCTTAACAGTATCTGAATTCTGCTCAATTCAATGCAACATAGAATAACTAAATTTTGATTTCTTTTAATTTTAATCTTAGCAGCATAAAAACTAAGATGAATGAATTAAGTAATTTAATTAGCAGAGCAATTTAATTTAATTAGAATGTTAAATGAAGTAACAGTTACTGTTTTGCTTATGTCCCTCAACCATAAAAATTGTAAAATTTAACCTATGTATAAATTTATTTCAATTTATTTTTTTTTAAATCAATATATGTTGAATATATGGTCCTTTACTAAAAATGTACCTTGGAAATTCCAAATTTCAGACATCAATAAAAAGATGGCCTTTATATATAAAGGTATCAAGGCACATTTTGGCAAACAGTCATATTTCAAATTTTAATTTGTTAAATGCAATGAAAATTTTCATTTCAGTTAAGCATTTTCCACCATGTGGAAAGCAGTGACAAGTAAAGCGGTCCAGGCACCACTAAGGTGCCGCGCGAGGGCCATCGATAAAGTCCTTTTACGTCAACCACACAGAACATGGCGACTGGCAACAGTAGAAGCAGTTCGTCCCATGGCTTCAAAGCCCGAGAAGAGCTCCGTGCGCACAATGCAAACTGTTTCACCCATGCCAAACTTAGTGGAGAACAATACCCGTGATCCTGTACCGAAGCCCAAGGCAGAGGCGGCCTATGCTGCCATGGATGGAAATGAAGCTGCTGCTTACATTGCATATGCCTTGAGTGACATTTCATTCATTTACCCAATCAGCCCTGCCACCTCAATGGGGGATCACATGGACAAGTGGTCCGCGGAGTCCAAGAAGAATATCTTCAACAGTGTTGTCGATGTGAACATGATGCAGTCGGAGGCTGGTGCAGCAGGTTCTCTTCATGGGGCTGTGGCAGGTGGTTGTTTGGCCAGCACATTTACAGCTTCCCAGGGGTTGCTGCTTATGGTTCCCAACATGTATCTCCTGGCTGGAGAGCTCATGCCTTGTGTGTTCCATGTTTCCGCTAGGACAGTGTCTAAGCATGCCCTTTCCATCTTCAACGATCACTCTGATGTCATGCATTGCAAATCGACAGGCTTTGCCATGCTGGCATCGAGCTCTGTACAGGAGGTCATGGACATGGCTTTGGTGTCCCATGTTGCCTCATTAAAGTCAAGGATACCTTTTCTGCACTTCTTTGATGGATACAGAACTTCAGCAGAGGTGTCTAAAATTCAGCCTATACCACATGCTGACATTGCCAAAATATTTCCCTATGAAGCACAGCAGAAACATCTGAAAGAATTTGCTCTCAATCCAAATGAGCCTAAGATCAGGGGTACAGGTCAGAGACCTGATATCTTTTTCCAGTCCACGGTGGCTGCCAACAAGTATTATTTAGCTTGCCCAGGTATTGTACAGGAAACCATGGATGAGGTGTATGCTCTGACTGGACGCAAGTATGACCTGTTTGATTACCATGGATCCCCAACTGCAGACCGTGTGGCAGTAATATTAGGCTCAGCATCAAAGACACTCGAAGAAACAGTAGACTTCATGAACAGAAATGGTTCCAATGTTGGTGTGGTGGGGGTGCATCTTTATCGTCCTTTCTCAGATGAACACCTGTTGAATGCTATTCCCAAAACAGCCAGAAAGATTGCTGTCCTTGACAGGACCAGGGAAGACGGGGCTTTAGCCCAGCCACTTTTCATGGATGTAAATGTAGCTTTCAGTAATGCCAATAGGCAAGCGTTGATCACTGGCGCCACATATGGGCTGGCCTCAAAGGAGTTCACACCAGAAATGGCTGTAGCTGTGTTTGATAACCTTAATGCAGAAAACCCCAAGATGCAGTATGTGATAGGTATAGAAGATGACGTGACGCACACTTCCCTGCCCTATGGTGAACCCATTACCACTGTGCCCCCGGGAACCAAGCAGTGCATGTTCTGGGGTCTTGGATCGGATGGCACGGTTGGAGCCAACAAAGAAGCCATCAAAACTATTGGCTTAAACACAAATCTGAAGACCCAGGGCCACTTTGTGTTTGACTCCCACAAAGCAGATGGTATCACAGTATCTCATGTGAGATTTGGCCCTGAGGAAATCAAGTCAGAGTACATCATTCAGTCTGATGCAGATTATGTCTCTTGCCATCACCCTTCCTATGTCGAGAAGTTCCATCAGATGTTAGATCCACTGAGTGAAGGTGGCACTTTTGTGCTGAATTCCCCATGGACAACAATGGAGCAGATGGAAGAAAACTTACCAGCTATATTCAAACAGAAGCTTGCAAAGAAGAAGGCCAAGTTTTACAACATTTCAGCAAACAAATTGGCACAGAGTCTTGGACTTGGAAAACGCATCAACATGATAATGCAGACAGCATTCTATGAGCTTTCTGGAGTCCTTGAAGTGGATGAGGCTATTGCTTTATTGAAGAAGTCCATTGAGAAAGCTTATGGCCACAAAGGTCCTAAAGTAGTGGAAAGCAATAAGAGTGCTGTGGATGCAGCAAGGCAGAGCCTGAAGAGAATTGACTATCCAGCATCTTGGGCCCAGGCCACTGAAGGCGGCAAGAGAGGAGAACATACAAAGGCTACAGAGTTTGTGGAAAACATCATGAACCCAGTGCTGGCTCTGGAAGGTGACAAACTCCCAGTCAGTGCCTTTGAGCCAGGTGGCCATATGCCCATTGGTACAACTCAGTATGAGAAGAGAGGTATAGCTCCCCAGATCCCAGTGTGGAAGCCAGATGCCTGCACTCAGTGCAACTACTGTGCCATAGTATGCCCACATGCTGTTGTGCGCCCTTTCCTGCTTGACAAGCAGGAGACCAAGAATATCCCTCCCGGGTTTGAAGCCAGACGTGCCAAAGGAGGTTCTGAAGTGTCTGGTTACCATTACAGTATTCAAATCTCCCCCATGGATTGCACAGGCTGTGAGGTCTGCGTGGAGTCCTGTCCAGATGATGCTCTCTACATGGCACCTTTTGATGAAGTCCATGAGAAGTACCGTCCACACTGGGAGTATGCTGTCAGTCTTCCTGAAAAGGGAGAGATTGGAGACAAGTTCTCAGTCAAGGGCAGCCAGTTCCAGAAACCACTTATGGAGTTCTCTGGGGCATGTGCTGGCTGTGGTGAGACTCCCTATGTGAAGTTGGCCACACAGCTATTTGGTGACCGTATGGTGATTGCCAACTCCTCTGGCTGTTCATCTGTGTGGGGAGGCACTGCCACCACCATTCCATTCACCACCAATAAGGATGGTCGTGGTCCTGCCTGGGGAAGGTCTTTATTTGAGGACACAGCAGAGTATGGCTTTGGCATGAAACTTGCCACCAAGAAACGACGTCGTGATTTGAGAAACAAAATGCTCGTAGCCATGGAAACATGTAAGATTAGTGATGAGCTACGTGGGTTATTTCAAAAGTGGATCCAAAACATGGATAAAAATGACCAAGTGGAGATCCTTGCACCTATGATGGAAGCTTTGCTGCTGAAAGAGATGGAAAACCAGCCAGACCTGGTCAAGGTGTATAATGACAGAAACCTGTTTAGAACACAGAGTCACTGGCTTATTGGTGGAGATGGATGGGCTTATGACATCGGTTATGGTGGAGTTGACCATGTGCTGTCCAAGGGAGAGAACATCAACATCCTTGTTCTTGATACAGAGATGTACTCGAACACAGGAGGTCAGGTCTCCAAAGCCACACAGTTGTCCACTGTCACCAAATTTGCTGCCTCTGGTAAGAGACAGAATAAGAAAGATCTTGGAATGAATGCAATGCTCTATGAAAATGTCTATGTAGCATCAGTTGCTATGGGGGCAAGCTACAACCAATGTGTGCAAGCCTTTAAAGAAGCGGAATCCTTTGATGGCACATCACTCATCATTGCCTACTCTCCATGTATCGACTGGGGTATTGAGATGAAGAATATGATGCATGAACAGAAAGAAGCAGTTGATTCTGGATACTGGCCCCTATACCGATATGATCCACGCCGCGCTGAAAAAGGAGCCATACCTTTCCAGTTAGACTCAAAGAAAATCAAGGGAGATTTTGAGAAGTACCTACATGGGCAGAACCGTTTTGATCAGTTGTTCAGGAAGGATAAGTCCCTTGCTGAAGGTCTGCATGGTTCCTTTGAACATAACACTTTGCATCGTCATGAGAAGTTCCAGAAGATGGCCATGGATGAAGTGGAATATCTGGAATACTTGAAGGCCTTGCATGGGGAGGAGTTATCTACAGAAAAATCCATTGTCCTGTACGGCTCTGAAACTGGAAATGCTGAGGCATTGGCAGGGGTGTTTGCCTCTGAACTTTTGAGAAGAGGTATCAGAGCAAAGTGTTTGGCCATGGATGACTTTGAGGTGGATGACCTGCCGAAGCATTCAACTGTCTATTGTGTGGTGGCAACATGTGGACAGGGAGAGTTACCAGGAAACTGCAGGGACTTCTGGGAGCAGCTTGCAGACAAGGACCTCCCTAGCGACTACCTGGAGAACACAAGATTTGCAGTGTTTGGCCTTGGTGATACTTCTTACGTGTTCTACAACGAAGCCGCTAAGAAGTTTAATAAACGCCTGGAGGAGCTGGGTGGAAAGAGGATCTTGAATCTTGGCCTGGGAGATGACAAGGATGAAGAGAAATATGAGACTGCGTGGAATGAATGGTGTCCCAACCTGTGGAATGAACTCGGCACACCACCACCACCACAAGAACTGCTGCCGCCTACATATAAAGTTAACATAGATACCACTGGAGAAATTTCTGCCCCTACAGAAGCCCTCACCCCAGCAGGCTCTAAGATAATACCATTGACCAAAAACGTCCTCCTGACACCTCCGGACTATGACCGCGACATCCGTCATTATGAGTTTGACCTGAAAGGATCGGGGATGACATACAGCATTGGTGAATGCCTAGGCATCTATCCACACAATAATCCAGAGGAGGTGAATCAGTTTTTAGGTGATTGTGGCATCAACCCTGAGCATACAGTTACACTGGAGGACACTAGTGGCCGCAAAGAACCCCTTCCTCCTGTCATCTCAGCTGGACGCCTCTTTGGGGAGGTACTGGATATTTTTGGCAGACCCAGCAGAAGGTTCTATGAGACTATGAGCATAGCAGCATCAGATCCAAGTGAAAAGAAGGAACTAGAGTACATCTTGAGTAAAGACGGTGCCGACAAGATGAAAGAGCTTGTGAAGGAGACAGTGACCTACGCTGATCTGATGAAGAAGTATCCATCAGCAAAAATGCCATTGGATTACATGGTTGACCATGTCCCCCGCATTAAGCCACGCCTGTACTCCATAGCCTCGGCCTCCGAGATGCACGGAGACATGCTGCACTTGTGTATAGTGAAGGACGACTGGAACACCCCCTCTGGAAAGTACAGAGAAGGCACGTGTACCAGGTACCTACAACACTTGAGCAGAGGTGACAAAATAGACCGTGTGGCTGGGAAAATCAATGCAGCTGGTATCAATATCCCAGACAACCATAGGCCGCCATTTGTAATGGTTGGTCTTGGCACAGGCCTCGCACCTTTCCGTGCTTTCATCGAAGAGCGCGAGGTGTCGAGACAGAGAGGTGAAGACGTAGGCGAGATGGCATTGTTCTTCGGGGCCCGTTACAAAAGAACGGATTACACGTATGGAGATGAGCTAGAGGAGTACCACTCCAACGGGAAGGGGGTTCTCAGTGTCTTGTCCACAGCCTTTTCTAGAGACCAAGCTCACAAGATTTATGTGCAGAACCGTATCTCTGAACACCCTGAGGTCATCTATGACTACCTGGTGAAGAAGAAGGGCTATTTCTACCTGTGCGGTCCTGCAGGTAACGTCCCTCCACAGGTGCGCAAGGCAGTTGTGGAGGCCTTTGTCAAGTGTGGAGGCCACACGCCAGAGGAAGCTGATAAAATGGTGACAGACATGCAGATTGAAGGAAGATACAACATTGAGGCTTGGTAAATCGTTTGAGCAGAGACATTCCCCCCCTTGGTTGAAACTGCGTTGTCTTTGGAGTCCATAGCAATGGGAGAGGAATACCACACAAATATACTAAGATTTTCAGTGAAAGACCAGTTGCATTATCTATTATCACAAGCTTTGTAGATGTCCAAGTTGATGCCAAAGCTTTTTGCCCTTTAAGTATTCCACATAGTAAATCAGTTTATTGTGATCTTAAACCCATTTAGTATAATAATTCAGTATAATAATTGATATTGAATATATAAGATTTCTGTAAAACTGAAGGCAACCAATTATCCCAGGAATATTGAATCATTAAAGTGCCTTAAATATCTTGACAAGGGCAGGTGAATAAAGGCACAAGAATTGGTCAGAATCATTAATTTAAAAAGTTGCCAGTATCTATTTTAATTAATAGGTTGTCAGAAGGACAAGTGATTCATTGTACTGTAGTGGAAATATAAAATTGTCTGTGAAGGGATGCCATTACCTGACACTTACACAGTACAACAAAATGAGGGATGAAAAACCTGTGCACGAATATATCAGTAAATTGTTGTTACTTAAAAATAACTGTGAAATCAGGCACTGTTGTATAGACGAGAACAACAACTGTTGAACAGCCAACTTGACTCTCAGCACAAGTTCGTCAAAACAGGTAAATTGTACATAAGGAATTTTGGCACCATAAATGTACAGTTGTTAACAGATTGTTTCTTAATACTTCTATTGCTTTTCCGTTAAGATTTTTCTTGTTAGTTTAGTATCGTTTTAGTGCACAGTCTGCAGAAGGCTTTGGTAAGTTTATTAAAGTATAAATAATATATAATATGAAGTATTCACTGCGTATTCCTCCGTGCTCTGTAGGGTTTGTTAGTTTTGGAGATAAAACACCACGTGGTTTTGGTTGATGAAGTGGTCTGTTAAAATTCCATGTAATCTGTGAATACATCTTTTCTTTTAAGAGTACTGTTACTTTAAGCACGTGCTGTATTGTAAATATCAGTGTTCATCCATTACTATTTTTGTGCAGGGGGTAGGGATGCAACAAATATTGTTTTTTTTTTTTTTTCATTTTGTTGATGTATAATTGCTTTTTATGTAATGGTATACACACAGAACTTTGTTGATTCTTCAGCTGCATATGTTAAGAGCTTTTCTCAGAAACACTGTTCCCTCGATACCTTTGTTTTTGGTGTCGAGGTTTTTCTTTCGTAAATTGATCTCTTCAGACTTCTAAACCAAATGGATACCAATAGATTCTAAAAACTTCTTGTTTGTTATTAAGAATATGATCTATATAGCTATATAATTAACCCGTCTGTGGGTTTATCAAAGCAGTACAATACTTAGTTGATAAATGATATAGCGAAAAAATTATATTTAGCTTTTAAAAAAGTATTAATGAGTGTCAAAATGTAATTGAGTTGTGATATCTTTGATGCAGCTTAGCATGACCAATTTAAAACCGGTTACCTGGACTGCCCTTTTATTTTTAATTTGATTTTTATTTTTTTCTGGCCATCAAATATGTGTATTGTGATCATTCAAATATTTTAATTTTGATGCCACTCAGTTTGTTAAGATTCAGAAAGTGTTATGGTTATGGTTATGAATTAAGTAATATTAATGGAGTATATTATTAATGAAGCTATAATATATTTGATTATAATTATTTATTTGATGAGTGATTATCTTTGGCATAGCATAATATACCAGACATGGAATAGATGACCCTACACAGTCGTAAAGTTAATGGGACTAGACGTTGTAATATCTATGTGAGAAGTCGAGGTGGTATAAAGGACATATTTGGAAATAACCACGATACAAGTCAAGGTGCTAGAAAGGACAGTGGTATCCACAATACAAGGACAGTTTGAAAAAGGGGTTGCATTCAGTGATATTGGCGTGAGAACTTGCTTATGAATGCCCCAGACTTCCTCTGAATTTGCCTTTGATTTCTATACGTGTGCTTTCTCAGGCCTTGGCTCCAGCAAGTACTCCATTGAAAACTATCTTGTGATTTAAAAAAGAAAATCTCTGAAGATTTGAGACAACAAAAAACTGACAGTTTCTTTGATTTATTAAAAAGTCTGCAAACAAAACAGTTTTCTGGCATTGAGAATTTTTTCAAACTGAAAAACCAAGTATGTGTTCATCTTATATGATGTAAACATATTTTGCAACAGGTGTTTGCCAAGAAATTGTATTTATTTGAGATCAAGTTTTTCCTGTTGGGCACCAATGCTAAATTGATGTTAATTTATTCAAACAAATCTCCCAACAAACTTTTTTTCAAAAAAGTCATTGTATAATCTCAGTGTTAGCTATTTATTTGATTTGCTGCCCTGCTATATAATTTTATGAATGTGTGAATAATTGTAACTGGTCTTAAAAATCTTAAATTAATATTATTCTTACTAGGATGATTAAGATACTCCAGAATGAGTCTGACACCATATAATATGTCTAGTTAGGTGGTATATCTGGAAATAAATTAGTTTGTTGAGTTCTTTAGTGCTGTTATTTGTTCACACATATCTAGGGTAGCGCTAGCTAACACTCGCCAATTTGGCCAAATGCTAAAACTGATTGAAATTGCATGGCTAAACAAAGTAGGGTTGATTTGACTTATTTTAGTCAAATTTAAACCACTGGGACAAAATAGCAATGAAAAAGTAGTAATTTGTCTAAACGAAAAAAATTGCTAGCGCCACCCCAGCATATGCCAACTCCATCCCATGAATTGCTACTGGATTATGTACCGGGTAGATGAAATATCCTTCCCATAATGTTTTCCGAATTTGATTGTAAATGCTCATTTTAATGAGAAAAAAATGTTGAAAAATGTTGAACTCCTTTAATGTTACATATGGGACACAGCATAAGATTTTAAACATGACTGAATACACAAAGTTGAAACCATTTCTTGTTAAACTTTGAGGACAAGCACAAGAAAAGAAACTAAACAAGATGAATGCCATAAATTGATGTTCACAAAAATAATTTATTTTTCACCTGACAAAGCTTGATTTATTAATTAGATTGTTAGTAATGTTACAGTTTGGCAAATGTCAAGAAAGGAGGACCAAAGGTTGGTTGGGAGCATCCCAGGAAAATACATTGAGTTAATTTTTCAGGAAAACTATCCTTATATTACCTTGTAAATTTAAAGAGCACGTACACTATATATACATTCCATAGTAATTGTTCTAATTATGGGCAAGAAAAGGCACTCTGATGGTCCATTAGGTAACCTTCATGTTAAATAAAGGTATTAAAGGAACTAATTAACCCATCCCAGCTTTATTTGCAAAGTTGAATTTTTGGTGGGAATTGACAGAAAAAAAATTATTTTCCTATGCGTTCACTTTATTGGGTTCGATATTTTTTTCCATTTCTAATCAAATAATAATTTTTAAAAATACCAACTTTAAAATTGACTTAATTCCATGCACATTTCAAATGTAAATACCAACACCAGGAAGTTTTATTTGAGAATTTAAACAGTTTTTTTAGTTTTTTAAAAGTCTATTGGGAAAGGAATTAACATATACTAGTATATATATATATATATATATATATATATATATATATATATATATATATATATATATATATATATATATATATATATATGCATCTTTGCAGGATATATGTAAACAAAGAATAAAAAACGAGTTTGCTTTAAGTTTATACATCCCGTGCAACGCAAAAATTCCACCCCCTCCCCATTGTTTGCTCGCAAATGCACCCGTTATACTGGACTTACGCCACGTTTCAGTGATACGATAGCTAGGCGAATTGCATGGTCTCTAATGTTTATTTCCTCGCCACGGTATTTACAATCAATTAGAAATACTGACGCGAAAGAAGGCCCTACATGCTATTCTAGTGTTTGGGGGGAAAATAATGTTGTTATGGCAAGTTTCACTGATATCCTGAGGGGTTCCTAAAAGCAGAAAAAATATTTAATTTATTCCTCACCTGACAATGCATTTACTAACGGCTATTGTTATTGATTGCATTAGAGGAGATGCTATTTTAAGCAACCCGCAATTAGGTCAAAAGCAGTGCATCACGGGACATCCTACATTCAAAATGTCGAGCGACGAAGAAATTTTCGAAGTGAGTGCTTTAAATATGTGTTGGATATAATTTGGTGTGTTTGTATGACATATAACAAAGTTGATCATATATCAAAGATTGTGACTGAAGTCTGAATATACGTTAAAGAGTACAGCTGAGATGAGTGAATCCGTTTACGAATGCTAATCTGTCGTGTTTACATTTTGAAATGAGAAACTCGGTTTAAAAAAACGCGTAATTAGAAGTTGTAAGTTTGAAGTAATTACTTTGTTCTCATTTTCGTTTTAGTATTGTTGATATATACACTGAACATTGTGTGTGGGCAAGTACTTTCAGGAATTCAGTTTTGGCATTACTTCATTTTCACACTGACAAGTTGCACAGTTAAATTTTTTTTCAATTTTTTAATATTTTTGTCAATACAAAATTTTAGAAATAGTACAGTTAATTACACAAAAACGTGTATTTAATCCATGTGCTTAAAGGTATTTTATATTCCCCCACATATACACAATGTTTATTTTGTAATTTTTTGTTACCCTTCAGGCACGGTCTTTCCCCTTTTGTTCCCCATTCAGGAGGTTAGGAGGTTTAAGACACACACACACGCGCATGCGCACGCACACATGCACTCACGCATGCACACACACACACACACATGCCTTGGAAGATACATTGTATCAAATTTTATTTCCAATATTTCACGCTTCTGTGGCCCAAAATTCTTTCACTTTGCCTACTTTACTGTACATGAACATTACTGTACTTGGAACATTCTTAAATCAAAATTTAAATTGCCTGTTCATGCCCAACTCCTTTACTTATCATGTGACAAATTTCATGTTCCTGTGTCTTTATTTAGCAGGTGAATATGAAATGGGTAACTTCTGAATCACATTTGAAAGTGGAATCTGAAAAAAAAAAAGAAATGGTGTCACTAAAATTTGAATAACTTTTGGTCTAAATTAGATAGGTCCAACTTTTTAATGTTTTATTCATACTCAGATATGTAGCTATCTGAGTGTAAAATTTCAATTCTGTAGCTTAATTAGAAAAAATCATGGGTGGACCCTATTTAACCATATGTTATATTATCAGTGGATGTGTTCATATTGCATTTATAAACATTTGTTTGCCTTGAATCAAAGAGGTTTTTGCATCAATCTGGCAGTAATGGTTACTTTTCTTCCATGTTAAAGGTTGATGAGATCTTAGATGAAAGAAAGAGGGGGAACACCACCCAGTATTTGGTACGCTGGAAAGGGTTCGGACCCAGTGAGGACTCATGGGAGCCAAGAAAAAACTTGGGCAACTGCACGGAGGCATTGGAGGTGTATTATAAAAAACATGCCACACCAAAACCTGTTAGTAGTTTTTTGAATTCAATATTGAAGTCATTATTTAAAGTAGTCCTTTTGAAATGAGATTCGTTGACCCTGATTTTTCCTTGAATAAAGCAAGAAAACTTATTATGAGATGATGATGGTAACTGTCTTCTAAACTTTAAAGCTTCACTTATCCCAATATTTACATTAATTATTTGGGGGAAAAATATTTCCTTGTTCCATTTTTAATGACAAAAGCATTTGCTGTCATGAACAAAGTTTTGCTTTTAGAAAACTTTAATTTAAAGTCTTCTTTTTCAAGTGTAGCAAACAAAACTGATTTAGAAAATAAATCTGGTTTGTATTCTTAATTTCAGTAAATAAGTAAATGCCATAATATTACATATTTTAGCCTGCGAGCCCAGGGCGTTCAACAAGATCCACACGGTCCTCTATGAAGAAGGCAGTTGTGCCAAAATCTTCTGCAAAGGAAACCCGGATTTCAGCAGCGGAGACCAAGAGTATCACAAAGTCAGCTGTATCTGAACAAAGTGCACAAAAATCTGTCACTTTGACGAGATCTGCCTTGAGACAAGTGTACACAGCAAGTGAAACGGTAAGAAATGGATCAGTATACAGAGTATACTAGTATAATATATAGGATTTACAGAACATGTTTTTATATTCATCAGTGTCCATCAAGGGTTTCCCCGTGATTTGGGATGCATGAGGTATAAAATATGAATCTGTAATTTGGTCATGGATTTGCAGGGCAAGCCCGACCACCAAACCCCCAAAAAGTTGTAACCTATACAGCCTTCTTTGGAAATGTGGGCCATTTTTTGAGGCCTTGACTACCAAACATGGCGGAGTGGGTTTCAATTCCCACTCTGTCCAGTTTTTTATCCTTGTTTAAATCTCATTTAATGGTTCGATGATTGATGAGACTGGTATCAGCTAGTGTATGTGTAATATTACAGACCACCCCAGGGCTCTCCAGAACCCCCCTCAGGACAAGAGCAAAGTTAGACTTTGAAGAAGCCAAAGATGCCATTTCAAACAGACTGCGCCAGGGTGCCACCACCAGCACCAGAAGCACCACTGTCACCACCAGAGGCAGCACCAGCACCACTTCAGGCAGCACCAGGTCAAGAGCTGTAGGAAAGAAGTATCTGCGTGTCACTGCGGCCGACATACCTCTCATCATCTTAGTGGCCATCTTGTTGTTTATTTGGATCTCCCTGATGTACCAGTTCTTTTATGCAGCCAAAAAGAAATAGGTTAGTTCTTTTTTTCTACATAATGTCTCCTTTTGTATTTATATGAATATATATATAAATATCTTGCTTTTGATGTGTACTTCTGTATTTATATGAATATATATATATTTTTTTGCTTTTGGTGCAGTTTATGTGGAAAACATGGGATATGATTTTGTTTCTCGATTAGAGAAATTAAGAAAGGAATAAATACCTACTAAACTGAAATAAATTTAAGGATTAGCCTAAATTAAGACTCTTGGATAAGTAAACACTTCAGTGAAAATATAAGAGACTTTTTAGTCAATCAACCAAGTCCCTGACAATTAGAATTTCAATATAAAACAGGGGAAAACAGTAAAATTAAAAAGAAAAGTAATTTTGAAATATTTTTAAGTTTTACAAAGCTGATTCGGTGTCCTTCCACTTTACAATTTTTTTTTTGTAACCAAATACCTATATTTTAATAATAATTTTTTTTTAGGGTTTTATTATTTATTGAAAACCAAGGGATACTCAGTTCAACGCAAGAGCAATCAAACAGCAGCAATCATATGTGCAGAAAAATTGAAAAGGGCCAATGATATTGCCATGATATTTTTACTCAGTACACTTGAAGTCTTTCAGCATCACCTGATAGGGACAGTCATAGTGAATGGCTAGGAATTGCAAGTAACTCACGGAAATATATAAGTGTGCATATAGTATCCCCTCAAATGTCATTCAGGCCTACCCAACTACCAGACTTGACACCAAATGACCCTGAATTCACCGGTAGATCTGACCACACTACCCATTTTAAAGGTGTGCATCAGTATGCACTTCGAAGTATCAGACGCGACACCGCTCTTGCCTAGTACGCGATGTGATAGTGATGATTCTCAGCAGGATCACACCTCAAAATTTGTTCAGGGGTATGATACTGTGAAATGAGTACTGAAAACGGTTAGTGTGGTCCAATCTACCAGTGAATTCAGGATCATTCGGTGCCGAGACTGGTAGTTGGGAAGGCCAGTCCTTGTAATTGAGTTAAGTTACACATTTTGTTCAGCAGCTGAGATATGAGATTTGAATTTTTAAAAATTTTACTCATCTTTAATTACTGTATTCAAGTGTCATAACAGTAGTTCAGACGATAGACGAACAGTGGTTCAGACGATAGAGGTATTAGATCTAATCCTCTTTCTTAAACTTAATTACAGCCTGCAGAGATGGAACAGTATTTAGTTAGACAGTCGTGATGGACTGAAGCTGGGACTTAAATATAAATTATTGTGACCAGTTGGAATATTGTCAATACTAACTGGCAATTTTTTCAGTCCACTTTTTTTACAACTGGGAAATGGGTCTTTGCCCAAGAAGAGATTTTATTCTAAGAATTTGGGTTTTATTTGCTGTAGAAACAAGTCTTAGCAACCAGATGGCGGTTAGGAGATTTTTATTTGTATAGTTGATGTAGGGAATTTCTAAATTTTGGAAATATGTATAAATTATTGTACAGAACCACAACTAGGCTATAACATAAAAATCATAGGTGATATTTCAATATATTATACGTGAAATAACACGCAAAGCATAGGACTGAGAAGGGTTAAAAAATCACACACTTTAATGAAGCCTTTCAGTGCTCATTACCTACTTTTATATTATCAGAGAGAATCTCATGTAAAGCACAATAAAGCGTGAACACACTTGGCAACCATCCTGGGCCTGAGAATCACAGCACCAGTATGTGCTCTTTATGCAGACATTGAGCATTTTCCGTGGAATTCCCTGTTTTATATTTGATTCTGATGGTTCCTGAGATTAGTCCTGAGATTTGTCAAGGGTCCCATGATAAATGTTCAGAGTTTTTTTTATTTATTTATTTATTTATTTTATTTTTGAAACCTAGGCTCATGTGTGTTTATGGCAGTATATGTGAAGAGTAACATGGCAACTTGTAGTGCATTGAAACCCAGGGTGCCACTGTGAACTTGGTTATTTTGTTAGAGGAAAATATCAATAACAACTGAGCAATCTTTATAGAAAACTTGGTGTACATTTTGAAAATGTATGTTCAATTAAGTACCTCCTTTTTTGTATTGTTGGATTTTACTTCAAACTTATGGAAAGTTAACATTTGTATATTTTACGTTTGGTCATAATATTTCAATTTCAGAAGTAAAATATTGAATAGACCATTAATAATGGTGCCTTATTATTACCTAAAGATGTTAATGAAGAATCTATTTTGTTGTGTATACATGCATTAAAACATTTTAAAGCTTAAAAGCACATCTGCATTTAGTTACAAAATACTTGTCTGAAAAAACTTGCAAATTAAGAATTATGTATATATGAATACAAACATGATATGCCTTTGTTGTACCTTTTACGCTGATCTTCCAGATTTATTTTTAGAAATGATGTTATGCTGTATTTTATGTATTACCTCGTACATATATTTTTTTATTGATGATGTATGTATGATACCCTTTTGGATGATTAATAAACATGAGTGAAACTGATTTTTTTTTATACCGAGTTGATTGTGTTTTCAGTGGTGGATACACGTGTCAAGGGGGAGCTGAATTAAGTGTCTGGTTTCCAGTTTCTTTAATAAAAACTAACCTGGAAATTAACCAAAAACTTGTCGTTTTTCAAAAACGCACCTGGCAACTAAGAACTGGTTTCGTTTTTAAAAATGATTCTGGCGTTTCATTATCTGAAGTTATCGTAATGAAATAAGTCCGTACGGTGCATGAATGTTTGTTTCTTTTCAATTTGGTTAAAATACCAGCACTTGGCTGATTTTGATAGTTTATCGATTCACTTTCCATCTTGATATTTAATTAACATTGTACCATATTTTAACAGATTACTCACCCACATTGACTATCCATTTTGTATGCTTTTGACAAAGCTGAGCAGTAAATGTTCAGAGTAGTATAACCTTTATATCCATGACATTTACCCTAGATTCCGGTATTGCCAGCTCGATCTTGATTTCATATGTAACCCATAGTAGCAATACCAGGCTCTAGCGAACAGCGGCAACTCGGAGGCGTTCTTCTTCAAAATTCTGCCTGGGGCGCTTCCATATTTGGAAGTCACACGTCACAGCTGTGTCCGCCTGGATCCATATTTGGAAGTCCTAAGTCTCGTACGTCACAGGTTTGGCCGCCTGGAGCTGCCTTTCCTGCCTTGCGCTGAATTCTCGTGCAGGCGAGACAAGAAGCAATTAAAGTGCCTGACGCGGAGTTAGAAGTTTGAATTGAAAATATCTTGCAGTTGAAGGTCAGTGCCACAATACAAGCAACATTCTGCTGTAAAAACTTATTTTCGTGTAGCCATTGCGCAGCCCTTATAGTGGTATCGGGCATACAGTGTAGCTGTCAAATTTGGCACACGGCAAGCAGGTGTATTGTGCACGTGTATATCTCAGAACTAAATGTTCTTTGATAAGCAAAAAATACAAAAACATTGCATATATCTTTTCTTTCCGAAGAATATTATTTATTTTTTANTCGCTATGGGGGCAAGCTACAACCAGTGTGTGCAAGCCTTTAAAGAAGCGGAATCCTTTGACGGCACATCACTCATCATTGCCTACTCTCCATGTATTGACTGGGGTATTGAGATGAAGAATATGATGCACGAACAGAAGGAAGCAGTTGATTCTGGATACTGGCCCCTATACCGATATGATCCACGCCGTGCTGAAAAAGGAGCCATACCTTTCCAGTTAGACTCCAAGAAAATCAAGGGAGATTTTGAGAAGTACCTACATGGGCAGAACCGTTTTGATCAGTTGTTCAGGAAGGATAAGTCCCTTGCTGAAGGTCTGCACGGTTCCTTTGAACATAACACATTGCATCGTCATGAGAAGTTCCAGAAGATGGCCATGGATGAAGTGGAATACCTGGAATACTTGAAGGCCTTGCATGGGGAGGAGTTATCTACAGAAAAATCCATTGTCCTGTACGGCTCTGAAACTGGAAATGCTGAGGCATTGGCAGGGGTGTTTGCCTCTGAACTTTTGAGAAGAGGTATCAGAGCAAAGTGTTTGGCCATGGATGACTTTGAGGTGGATGACCTACCAAAGCATTCAACTGTCTATTGTGTGGTGGCAACATGTGGACAGGGAGAGTTACCAGGAAACTGCAGGGACTTCTGGGAGCAGCTTTCAGACAAGGACCTCCCTAGCGACTACCTGGAGAACACAAGATTTGCTGTGTTTGGACTTGGTGATACTTCTTACGTGTTCTACAACGAAGCCGCTAAGAAGTTTAATAAACGCCTGGAGGAGCTGGGTGGAAAGAGGATCTTGAATCTTGGCCTGGGAGATGACAAGGATGAAGAGAAATATGAGACTGCGTGGAATGAATGGTGTCCCAACCTGTGGAATGAACTCGGCACTCCACCGCCACCACAAGAACTGCTGCCACCTACATATAAAGTTAACATAGATACCACTGGAGAAATTTCTGCCCCTACAGAAGCCCTCACCCCAGCAGGCTCTAAGATAATACCATTGACCAAAAATGTCCTCCTGACACCTCCGGACTATGACCGCGACATCCGTCATTATGAGTTTGACCTGAAAGGATCGGGGATGACATACAGCATTGGTGAATGCCTGGGCATCTATCCACACAATAATCCAGAGGAGGTGAATCAGTTTTTAGGCGATTGTGGCATCAACCCCGAGCATACGGTTACACTGGAGGACACCAGTGGCCGCAAAGAACCCCTTCCTCCTGTTATCTCAGCTGGACGCCTCTTTGGGGAGGTACTGGATATTTTTGGCAGACCCAGCAGAAGGTTCTATGAGACCATGAGCATAGCAGCATCAGATCCAAGTGAAAAGAAGGAACTAGAGTACATCTTGAGTAAAGACGGTGCCGACAAGATGAAAGAGCTGGTGAAGGAGACAGTGACCTACGCTGATCTGATGAAGAAGTATCCATCAGCAAAAATGCCATTGGATTACATGGTTGACCATGTCCCCCGCATCAAGCCACGCCTGTACTCCATAGCCTCGGCCTCCGAGATGCACGGAGACATGCTGCACTTGTGTATAGTGAAGGACGACTGGAACACCCCCTCTGGAAAGTACAGAGAAGGCACGTGTACCAGGTATCTGCAACACTTGAGCAGAGGTGACAAAATAGACCGTGTGGCTGGGAAAATCAATGCAGCTGGTATCAATATCCCAGACAACCATAGGCCGCCATTTGTAATGGTTGGTCTTGGCACAGGCCTTGCACCTTTCCGTGCTTTCATCGAAGAGCGCGAGGTGTCGAGACAGAGAGGTGAAGACGTCGGCGAGATGGCATTGTTCTTCGGGGCCCGCTACAAAAGAACGGATTACACGTACGGAGATGAGCTAGAGGAGTACCACTCCAACGGGAAGGGGGTTCTCAGTGTCTTGTCCACAGCCTTTTCTAGAGACCAAGCTCACAAGATTTATGTGCAGAACCGCATCTCTGAACACCCTGAGGTCATCTATGACTATCTGGTGAAGAAGAAGGGCTATTTCTACCTGTGCGGTCCTGCAGGTAACGTCCCTCCACAGGTGCGTAAGGCAGTTGTGGAGGCCTTTGTCAAGTGTGGAGGCCACACGCCAGAGGAAGCTGATAAAATGGTGACAGACATGCAGATTGAAGGAAGATACAACATTGAGGCTTGGTAAATCGTTTGAGCAGAGACATTCCCCCCTTGGTTGAAACTGCGTTGTCTTTGGAGTCCACAGCAATGGGAGAGGAATACCACACAAATATACTTCTGGAAAGATTTTCAGTGAAAGACCAGTTGCATTATCTATTATCACAAGCTTTGTAGATGTCCAAGTTGATGCCAAAGCTTTTTGCCCTTTAAGTATCCCACATAGTAAATCAGTTTATTGTGATCTTAAACCCATTTAGTATAATAATTCAGTATAATAATTGATATTGAATATATAAGATTTCTGTAAAACTGAAGGCAACCAATTATCCCAGGAATATTGAATCATTAAAGTGCCTTAAATATCTTGACAAGGGCAGGTGAATAAAGGCACAAGAATTGGTCAGAATCATTAATTTAAAAAGTTGCCAGTATCTATTTTGATTAATAGGTTGTCAGAAGGACAAGTGATTTATTGTACTGTAGTGGAAATATAAAAATGTCTGTGAAGGGATGCCATTACCTGACACTTACACAGTACAACAAAATAAGGGATGAAAAACCTGTGCACGAATATATCAGTAAATTGTTGTTACTTAAAAATAACTGTGAAATCAGGCACTGTTGTATAGACGAGAACAACAACTGTTGAACAGCCAACTTGACTCTCAGCACAAGTTCGTCAAAACAGGTAAATTGTACATAAGGAATTTTGGCACCATAAATGTACAGTTGTTAACAGATTGTTTCTTAATACTTCTATTGCTTTTCTGTTAAGATTTTTCTTGTTAGTTTAGTATCGTTTTAGTGCACAGTCTGCAGGAGGCTTTGGTAAGTTTATTAAAGTATAAATAATATATAATATGAAGTATTCACTGCGTATTCCTCTGTGCTCTGTAGGGTTTGTTAGTTTTGGAGATAAAACACCACGTGGTTTTGGTTGAAGTGGTCTGTTAAAATTCCATGTAATCTGTGAATACATCTTTTCTTTTAAAATACTGTTACTTTAAGCACGTGCTGTATTGTAAATATCAGTGTTCATCCATTACTATTTTTGTGTAGGGGGTAGGGATGCAACAAATATTGTTTTTTTTTTTTTTTTTTCATTTTGTTGATGTATAATTGCTTTTTATGTAATGGTATACACACAGAACTTTGTTGATTCTTCAGCTGCATATGTTAAGAGCTTTTCTCAGAAACACTGTTTCCTCGATACCTTTGTTTTTGGTGTCGAGGTTTTTCTTTCGTAAATTGATCTCTTCAGACTTCTAAACCAAATGGATACCAATAGATTCTAAAAACTTCTTGTTTGTTATTAAGAATATGATCTATATAGCTATATAATTAACCCGTCTGTGGGTTTGTCAAAGCAGTACAATACTTAGTTGATAAATGATATAGCAAAAAAATTATATTTAGCTTTTAAAAAAGTATTAATGAGTGTCAAAATGTAATTGAATTGTGATATCTTTGATGCAGCTTAGCATGACCAATTTAAAACCGGTTACCAGGACTGCCCTTTTATTTTTATTTAATTTTGATGCCACTCAGTTTGTTAAGATTCAGAAAGTGTTATGGTTATGGTTATGAATTAAGTAATATTAATGGAGTATATTATTAATGAAGCTATAATATATTTGATTATAATTATTTATTTGATGAGTGATTATCTTTGGCATAGCATAATATACCAGATATGGAATAGATGACCCTACACAGTCGTAAAGTTAATGGGACTAGACGTTGTAATATCTATGTGAGAAGTCGAGGTGGTATAAAGGACATATTTGGAAATAACCACGATACAAGTCAAGGTGCTAGAAAGGACAGTGGTATCCACAATCCAAGGACAGTTTGAAAAAGGGGTTGCATTCAGTGATATTGGCGTGAGAACTTGCTTATGAATGCCCCAGACTTCCTCTGAATTTGCCTTTGATTTCTATACGTGTGCTTTCTCAGGCCTTGGCTCCAGCAAGTACTCCATTGAAAACTATCTTGTGATTTAAAAAAGAAAATCTCTGAAGATTTGAGACAACAAAAAACTGACAGTTTCTTTGATTTATTAAAAAGTCTGCAAACAAAACAGTTTTCTGGCATTGAGAATTTTTTCAAACTGAAAAAGCAAGTATGTGTTCATCTTATATGATGTAAGCATATTTTGCGACAGGTGTTTGCCAAGAAATTGTATTTATTTGAGATCAAGTTTTTCCTGTTGGGCACCAATGCTAAATTGATGTTAATTTATTCAAACAAATCTCCCAACAAACTTTTTTTCAAAAAAGTCATTGTATAATCTCAGTGTTAGCTATTTATTTGATTTGCTGCCCTGCTATATAATTTTATGAATGTGTGAATAATTGTAACTGGTCTTAAAAATCTTAAATTAATATTATTCTTACTAGGATGATTAAGATACTCCAGAATGAGTCTGACACCATGTAATATGTCTAGTTAGGTGGTACAGTATAACTGGAAATAAATTAGTTTGTTGAGTTCTTTAGTGCTGTTATTTGTTCACACATATCTAGGGTAGCGCTAGCTAACACTTGCCAATTTGGCCAAATGCTAAAACTTACTGAAATTGGCTAAACAAAGTAGGGTTGATTTGACTTATTTTAGTCAAATTTAAACCACTGGGACAAAATAGTGATGAAAAAGTAGTAATTTGGCTAAACGAAAAAAATTGCTAGCGCTACCCCAGCATATGTCGACTCCATCCCATGAATTGCTACTGGATTATGTACCAGGTAGATGAAATATTCTTACCATAATGTTTTCCGAATTTGAATGTTAATGCTCATTTTAATGAGAAAAAAATGTTGAAAAATGTTGTACTCCTTTAATGTTACATACGGGACACAGCATAAGATTTTAAACATGACTGAATACACAAAGTTGAAACCATTTCTTGTTAAACTTTGAGGACAAGCACAAGCTAAAAAAAAGAAAAAAAAAAAAAAAAAAAAAAAAAAACTAAACAAGATACACTGCAGTGTAAATGCCATGAATTAATTGATGTCAATGAAAATAATCTTATTTTTCACCTGACAAAGCTTGATTTATTAGATTGTTACAGTTTGGCAAGTGTCAAGAAAGGAGGACCAAAGGTTGATTGGGAGCCGTTTATCCCAGGAAAATACATTGATTTAATTTAATTTAATTTATATATATATGCATCTTTGCAGGATATATGTAAACAAAGAATAAAAAACGAGTTTGCTTTAAGTTTATACATCCCGTGCAACGCAAAAATTTCACCCCCTCCCCATTGTTTGCTCGCAAATGCACCCGTTATACTGGACTTACGCCACGTTTCAGTGATACGATAGCTAGGCGAAAATTGCATGGTCTCTAATGTTTATTTCCTCGCCACGGTATTTACAATCAATTAGACATATTGACGCGAAAGAAGGCCCTACGTGCTATTCTAGTGTTTTGGGGAAAATTATATTGTTATGGCAAGTTCAATTGAAATCCTGAGGGGTTCCTAAAATCAGAAAAAATATTTTATTTATTCCTCACCTGACAATGCATTTACTAACGGCTATTGTTATTGATTGCATTAGAGGAGCTGCTGTTAAGCAACCCGCAATTAGGTCAAAAGCAGTGCATCACGGGACATCCTACATTCAAAATGTCGAGCGACGAAGAAATTTTCGAAGTGAGTGCTTTAAATATGTGTTGGATATAATTTGGTGTGTTTGTATGACATATAACAAAGTTGATCATATATCAAAGATCGTGACTGAAGTCTGAATATACGTTAAAGAGTACAGCTGAGATGAGTGAATCCGTTTACGAATGCTAATCTGTCGTGTTTACATTTTGAAATGAGAAACTCGGTTTTAAAAAACGCCTAATTAGAAGTTGTAAGTTTGAAGTAATTATTTTGTTCTCATTTTCGTTTTAGTATTGTTGATATATACACTGAACATTGTGTGTGGGCAAGTACTTTCAGGAATTCAGTTTTGGCATTACTTCATTTTCACACTGACAAGTTGCACAGTTAAATTTTTTTTCAATTTTTTAATATTTTTGTCAATACAAAATTTTAGAAATAGTAGATCTACAGTTAATTACACAAAAACGTGTATTTAATCCATGTGCTTAAAGGTATTTTATATTCCCCCACATATACACAATGTTTATTTTGTAATTTTTTGTTACCCTTCAGGCAGGCTCTTTCCCCTTATGTTCCCCATTCAGGAGGTTAGGAGGTTTAACACACACACACACACACACACACACACACACACACACACACGCTTTGGAAGATACATTGTATCATATTTTATTCCCAATATTTCACACTGTGGCCCAAAATTCTTTCACTTTGCCTACTTTACATGAACATTACTCTACGAGGAAAATTCTTAAATCAAAATTTAAATTGCCTGTTCATGCCTTACTCCTTTACTTATCATGTGACAACTTTCATGTTCCTGTGTCTTTATTTAGCAGGTGAATATGAAATGGGTAACTTCTGAATCACATTTGAAAGTGGAATCTGAAAAAAAAAAAAAAAGAAAAGAAATAGTGTCACTAAAATTTGAATAACTTTTGGTCTAAATTAGATAGGTCCAACTTTTTAATGTTTTATTCATACTCAGATATGTAGCTATCTGAGTGTAAAATTTCAATTCTGTAGCTTAATTAGAAAAAATCATGGGTGGAACCTATTTTACCATATGTTATATTGTCAGTGGATGTGTTCATATTGCATTTATAAACATTTGTTTGCCATGAATCAAAGAGGTTTTTGCATCAATCTGGCAGTAATGGTTACTTTTCTTCCATGTTAAAGGTTGATGAGATCTTAGATGAAAGAAAGAGGGGGAACACCACCCAGTATTTGGTACGCTGGAAAGGGTTCGGACCCAGTGAGGACTCATGGGAGCCAAGAAAAAACTTGGGCAACTGCACGGAGGCATTGGAGGTGTATTATAAAAAACATGCCACACCAAAACCTGTAAGTAGTAGTTTTTTGAATTCAATATTGAAGTCATTATTTAAAGTAGTCCTTTTGAAATGAGATTCGTTGACCCTTATTTTTCCTTGAATAAAGCAAGAAAACTTATTATGAGATGATGATGGTAACTGTCTTCTAAACTTTAAAGCTTCACTTATCCCAATATTTACATTAATTATTTGGGGGAAAAATATTTCCTTGTTCCATTTTTAATGACAAAAGCATTTTCTGTCATGAACAAAGTTTTGCTTTTAGAAAACTTTAATTTTAAGTCTTCTTTTTCAAGTGTAGCAAACAAAACTGATTTAGAAAATAAATCTGGTTTGTATTCTTATTCAGTAAATAAGTAAATGCCATAATATTACATATTTTAGCCTTCGAGCCCAGGGCGTTCAACAAGATCCACACGGTCCTCTATGAAGAAGGCAGTTGTGCCAAAATCTTCTGCAAAGGAAACCCGGATTACAGCAGCGGAGACCAAGAGTATCACAAAGTCGGCTGTATCTGAACAAAGTGCACAAAAATCTGTCACTTTGACGAGATCTGCCTTGAGGCAGGTGTACACAGCAAGTGAAACGGTAAGAAATGGATCAGTATACAGAGTATACTAGTATAATATAGAATTTACAGAATGTTCATTTTTTTATGAGTTTCCCTGTGATTTGGGATGCATGGGGTATAAAATGTGAATCTGTAATTTGGTCATGGATTTACAGGGCAAGTACAACCACCCAACCCCCAAAAAGTTGTAACCTATACATCCTTCTTTGAAAATGTGGGCCATTTTTTGAGGCCTTGACTACCAAACATGGCAGAGTGGGTTTCAATTCCCACTCTGTCCAGTTTTTTATCCTTGTTTAAATCTCATTTAATGGTTCGATGATTGATGAGACGGGTATCAGCTAGTGTATGTGTAATATTGCAGACCACCCCAGGGCTCTCCAGAACCCCACTCAGGACAAGAGCAAAGTTAGACTTTGAAGAAGCCAAAGATGCCATTTCAAACAGACTGCGCCAGGGTGCCACCACCAGCACCAGAAGCACCACTGTCACCACCAGAGGCAGCACCAGCACCACTTCAGGCAGCACCAGGTCAAGAGCTGTACGAAAGAAGTATCTGCATGTCACTGCGGCCGACATACCTCTCATCATCTTAGTGGCCATCTTGTTGTTTATTTGGATCTCCCTGATGTACCAGTTCTTTTATGCAGCCAAAAAGAAATAGGTTAGTTCTTTTTTTCTACATAATGTCTCCTTTTGTATTTATATGAATATATAAAAATATCTTGCTTTTGATGTGTACTTCTGTATTTATATATATATATATATATATATATATATATATATATATATATATATATTTTGCTTTTGGTGCAGTTTATGTGGAAAACATGGGATATGATTTTGTTTCTCGATTAGAGAAATTAAGAAATGAATAAATACCTACTAAACTGAAATAAATTTAAGGATTAGCCTAAATTAAATCCCTGACAATTAGAATTTCAATATAAAACAGGGGAAAACGGCAAAACAAAAAAGAAAAGTAATTTTGAAATATTTTTAAGTTTTACAAAGCTGATTCGGTGTCCTTCCACTTTACAATTTTTTTTTGTAACCAAATACCTATATTTTAATAATTATTTTTTTTTTTAGGGTTTTATTATTTATTGAAAACCAAGGGATACTCAGTTCAACGCAAGAGCAATCAAACAGCAGCAATCATATGTGCAGAAAAATTGAAAAGGGCCAATGATATTGCCATGATATTTTTACTCAGTACACTTGGAAGTCTTTCAGCATCACCTGATAGGGACAGTCATAGTGAATGGCTAGGAATTGCAAGTAACTCACGGAAATATAAAGTGTGCATGTAGTATCCCCTCAAATGTCATTCAGGCCTACCCAGCTACCAGACTCGACACCAAATGACCCTGAATTCACCGGTAGATCTGACCACACTACCCATTTTTAAGGTGTGCATCAGTATGCACTTCGAAGTATCAGACGCGACACCGCTCTTGCCTAGTACGCGATGTGATGGTGATGATTCTCAGCAGGATCACATCTCAAAATTTGTTCAGGGGTATGATACTGTGAAATGAGTACTGAAAACGGGTAGTGTGGTCCAATCTACCAGTGAATTCAGGATCATTCGGTGCCGAGTCTGGTAGTTGGGAAGGCCAGTCATTGTAATTGAGTTAAGTTACACATTTTGTTCAGCAGCTGAGATATGAGATTTGAATTTTTAAAAATTTTACTCATCTTTAATTACTGTATTCAAGTGTCATAACAGTAGTTCAGACGATAGACGAACAGTGGTTCAGACGATAGAGGTATTAGATCTTATCCTCTTTCTTAAACTTTCTTAAACTTAATTACAGCCTGCAGAGATAGAACTGTATTTAGTTAGACAGTCGTGATGGACTGAAGCTGGGACTTAAATATAAATTATTGTGACCAGTTGGAATATTGTCAATACTAACTGGCAATTTTTCAGTGCACTTTTATTACAACTGGGAAATGGGTCTTTGCCCAAGAAGAGATTTTATTCTAAGAATTTGGGTTTTATTTGTCGTAGAAACAAGGTTTAGCAACCAGATGGCGGTTAGGAGATTTTTATTTGTATAGTTGATGTAGGGAATTTCCAAATTTTGGAAATATGTATAAATTATTGTACAGAACCACAACTAGACTATAACATAAAAATCATAGGTGATATTTCAATATATTATACGTGAAATAATACGCAAAGCATAGGACTGAGAAGGGTTAAAAAATCACACACTTTAATGAAGCCTTTCAGTGCTCATTACCTACTTTTATATTATCAGAGAGAATCTCATGTAAAGCACAATAAAGCATGAACACACTTGGCAACCATCCTGGGCCTGAGAATCACAGCACCAGTATGTGCTCTTTATGCAGACATTGAGCATTTTCCATGGAATTCCGTTTTATATTTGATTCTGATGGTTCCTGAGATAAGTCCTGAGATTCGTCAAGGGTCCCATGATAAATGTTCAGAGTTTTTTATTTATTTATTTTATTTTTTTTTTATTTTTGAAACCTAGGCTCATGTGTGTTTATGGCAGTATATGTGAAGAGTAACATGGCAACTTGTAGTGCATTGAAACCCAGGGTGCCACTGTGAACTTGGTTATTTTGTTAGAGGAAAATATCAATAACAACTGAGCAATCTTTATAGAAAACTTGGTGTACATTTAGAAAATGTATGTTCAATTAAGTACCTCCTTTTTTGTATTGTTGGATTTTACTTCAAACTTATGGAAAGTTAACATTTGTATATTTTACGTTTGGTCATAATATTTCAATTTCAGAAGTAAAATATTGATTAGACCATTAATAATGGTGCCTTATTATTATATTACCTAAAGATGTTAATGAAGAATCTATTTTATTGTGTATACATGCATTAAAACATTTTAAAGCTTAAAAGCACATCTGCATTTAGTTACAAAATACTTGTCTGAAAAAACTTGCAAATTAAGAATTATGTATTTATGAATACAAACATGATATGTCTTTGTTGTACCTTTAAAGCTGATCTTCCAGATTTATTTTTAGAAATGGTGTTATGCTGTATTTTATGTATTACCTCGTACATATATTTTTTTATTGATGATGTATGTATGATACCCTTTTGGATGATTAATAAACGTGAGTGAAACTGATTTTTTTTTGAGTTGATTGTGTTTTCAGTGGTGGATACACGTGTCAAGGGGGAGCTGAATTAAGTGTCTGGTTTCCAGTTTCTTTAATAAAAACTAACCTGGAAGTTAACCAAAAACTTGTCGTTTTTCAAAAACACACCTGGCAACTAAGAACTGGTTTCGTTTTTAAAAACAATTCTGGCGTTTCATTATCTGAAGTTATCATAATGAAATAAGTCTGTACGGTGCATGAATGTTTGTTTCTTTTCAATTTGGTTAAAATACCAGCACTTGGCCGATTTTGATAGTTTATCGATTCACTTTCCATCTTGATATTTAATTAACATTGTACCATATTTTAACAGATTACTCACCCACATTGACTATCCATCTTGTATGCTTTTGACAATGCTGAGCAGTAAATGTTCAGAGTAGTATAATCTTTATATCCATGACATTTACCCTAGATTCCGGTATTGCCAGCTCGATCTTGATTTCATATATAACCCATAGTAGCAATACCAGGCTCTAGCGAACAGCGGCAACTCGGGGGCGTTCTTCTTCAAAATTCTGACTGGGGCGCTTCCATATTTGGAAGTCACACGTCACAGCTGTGTCCGCCTGGATCCATATTTGGAAGTCATAAGTCTCGTACGTCACAGGTTTGGCCGCCTGGAGCTGCCTTTTCTGCCTTGCGCTGAATTCTCGAGCAGGCGAGACAAGAAGCAATTAAAGTGCCTGACGCGGAGTTAGAAGTTTGAATTGAAAATCTTGCAGTCGAAGGTCAGTGCCACAATACAAGCAACATTCTGCTGTAAAAACTTTTTTTCGTGTAGCCATTGCGCAGCCCTTATAGTGGTATCGGGCATACAGTGTAGCTGTCAAATTTGGCACACGGCAAGCACGTGTATTGTGCACGTGTATATCTCAGAACTAAATGTTCTTTGATAAGCAAAAAATACAAAAACATTGGATATATCTTTTCTTTCCAAAGAATATTATTTATTTTTTCACTTTACATCTTAAATACAGCAAATAAAATTAAATAAAGCAGAATTAAATTTGTTTTACGTTTTATTTTGGTCTGATGACATTCAACTGCAGATTCACTGCGGAGCAGTTCTATTTGATTGACGGAAACCTAACATGGCCGGTGGTCTTCAGTGCTAGTAAAAGCGACTCCACCACAAGGTATATTTAGCAAGCTAGCTTTTACGTTGCTCTGACACTCAGGGTATGACATTGTAAAATCACATAAATTTTTAATTTCAAATTCAATTTTTCCTTAGGTGTCCAAGCTACACCAACTATCCATCATATTGCTCTATACAAACAGTACCAAACCAGTGCTGTAAGAAGCTTGTCTGCTCAGGTGAGGTCGTACATATTTGCATATTCATTAGCATACTCATTAGCTTATTCATCAATCTTCTCATTAGCATATTTATTGACATACCAGTTAAGATATTCATTAATGTAATATGTAAAATTCTCGTATGACTATAAAGATCCAGAGAGAGAGCATGCATATTTGGGTAAATTTAAACATTTTATTGCTCTCATTGAAGACTAACAGAATTTTTTTAAAGTTGTGATTATTGAATTGATTATTGAATTGACTTTGGAAAAGTGTAGGCTTGGTTGGCTCTTTCTGAGCCAATATATGATATTGAATACTATGATACAGCACACTATATGAATAGCTATATTACACCCCATGTTTGTTGATAGAGGACCAGCAAACATAGGAAGCACTACTGGTACGAGCACTGGAACAGGCACAGGCACGGGAGGTGTCAGGCCATGCCTGGACATTCTTCCCAACTGCAATGAGTTCAACTTTGCCAAGGCCTGCACAGGACAGTACTTGGGATGGGCCGCGAAGAACTGTGTCAAGACATGCGGACTGTGTGGTTAGTGTTTATATATGTAATATAATGGAGCCTTAACAGGCCAGTGTGACAGCAGGGGTGGTTCTCCTCATCCATTTCCCAATACTTTGTACAGGTGACATTTGTCCCATATGCTAACCCCAACCTGTACCAATTTTATTGGACCCAGAACTTCCATTCCTAGGATTACCGTTCCTGTCAAAATGGAAAAAAAATTTTTTGAGTCATTCAAGGTACATGCTGTGAAATTATGCTTTCGCATGAAACTTGTATTTCATTGATTAAGCAAAACATTAGTCTTACAATTTGTGGGTACCATTTTTCTTATTTTCTAAGAAAAGATAATATCCATATTGATAGACTTATAACCTCATTTTTCGTCATTATTTTAGACTACCTCACAGCCACCCGGTTGCCAACAGATGGCGATGTCAACAAGCTGTCCAACTGTGATCAGTTTGAGGACTCTGCATGTACTGGACCATACAAGACCTGGGCTAAAGCAAACTGCCCAAGAAGATGTGGTCTGTGTGGTAAGTGTGCAGCTTGACATGGAATTATTTGACGATGAAGAGTGAATAAATACATTATTTTCAATATAGATTGGAAAGATACCAAATTATCAACAGTGCTTTGAATTAGAGGGATTCTTCTGTGGGTGTAGATATAGTAAGACCCCATTTCCATAGATTAGATCGACCTACTTTAGATTGACCTAACTCCCTGGGGGTTCACGCTAAATAGCTGTCAGCCGGGCAGACACGAAAGTTAATTACCTCCTTACAGCTTGTAGTAGGCGGGACGGACATTTAAGTCGGATTATCTGAAAGTAATCTAGTGAGACTCCCCGCGGGGATAGATCGATCTAAAATCTATGGGAATAGAGCCTTAGAGTGGAAATTCTTTGCTTCCCTGTCAAAGTGATTGTGCAAACCTGGTATTATAACCAGTCCAAACTATTCAAAAATATTTTCCAGATGAGCTCATCAAGATGATTTCACCTTTAGGTTCTACAATCTTGTTTTTAAAGGACAGCCCTAGACCAGGTTGCCACAGGAGTTGTGGATGCACAAAATTGATATGGCAGTTCTGTATTTTAATATGAAATTATTATCAGTCTCACCAATCAAAAACTTTTTTTCAGACGTGCTGAAACCAACCACACCATCCCCAGATGGTTGTGTAGATTTGATAGACTGTGAACCCTACACCAAGTCTGTCTGTACCAATCCAACCTACATCCCATGGGCCAAGGCAAGATGTGCCAAATTCTGTGGATTCTGTGGTAAGTTTGACAGGTTTATCATGGTAGATTTTAACTGAATGGGTAGTATTTCATTTTTTTCAAGTAATTCTTTCTGTTATTCACTACATATTATTCATTTATGTAACATCAAGGTATAAGTTGAACATAGTTTTACCATAGTACATTCTAACAAATTGTCCAGCTAGAGCCCCAATGTATGTGATGCAATATATCCTCATTTTCAAGGTCATTTGGCTATTTCATGGAGAAATATTGAAGTGGGTTAAAAGTGATGTTTTGTTGACCCCCCCCCCCCCAATTCGCACATGCTCTTTCAGAATATGGGATCAAATTAAACCCATGATCTTCACATGACCTTGTAAGAGCATTTCCACACCTATTTTGCAGGGGAATCCTCTGCCACTGGCTTAAGCCAGTTGCAGTCTAGTTATAATTGTTGTTGTTAACATTATTATTACAGGTAGTGGCTCAGGCACCAGTGGAACTGGTTCTGGCACTGGCAACAGTGGTTCTGGCACAAACCCAGGTGGTGCAGGATCTGGCACAATCACCGATGGTACAGGATCTGGCACAAACCCAGGTGGTGCAGGATCTGGTACAATCACCGATGGTACAGGATCTGGCACAAACCCAGGTGGTGCAGGGTCTGGTACAAACACTGGTGGCACAGGATCTGGCACAGGATCTGGCACAATCACTGGTGGTACAGGATCTGGCACAAACACCAGTGGTGTAGGATCTGGCACAATCACTGGTGGTACAGGATCTGACATAAACACTGGTGGTACAGGATCAGGCATTGCTGGTGGTGGATCAGGATCCATAATCAATGGTCAAAGTGAGCATTGCATTTTTATTGGAATTTTTCTATTTCAATATTAAAATAAGAATGAATAGTATAAAGGATACTGGCTGAAATATATCATAATCTTTGAAAGTGTGAGTTTTTAAAAAAATTTTCAATATAAAAACTGTGATTAACAGAGTTTACGTAGGTTATTTCACAAACCAGGCAATAATTGTCAGCTGCGTTCTTTTTAAGCTGATTTCTGATTTTTTAGTTTCTTTTAAGGTGGCTACTGTTTATACAACGGAATCCAGTACACACAGGGACAAACGTGGCATGATAAGTGCTTATACTCTTGTACCCGTACAAACGCACTGACAGGAAACTACAATTGTCAGACACTGTAAGTATGGATCAAGGCAGTTTTAAAAAGATTTTTGGTCATGTTTATGATACAAAAAAATAACCTGAATTGTATTTTTCCATTGCCAAATGTAAAAAGTAAAAGAAGATAAATGTATTAGTCCATGAATTTTATGCTTCATGGAATTTTTAGTGTCAAATAAAATTTAAGATACATAAAAAAACAGGACTACAGAGGATGTGTTGAGAAAGTTGTACTTTCTTCAAGATTGAAAAAGCAAGTGTCATCAGTATTTATTTCGCAGAACTTGAAATTTTAATTGTAAGAAATTAACCATCCAAATGAAGCACTGTACAAAACAACATTGAAAATTGTTTCATGTTATTTATCAATTCACTTGTCCATTCTTTGTTTTAGATGTCCCCAATGGCAGCTCCCATCAGTCTGCTCCCTGAAAGCACCTGCCGGCAAGTGTTGTCCAATCCCATCCTGTCCATCCTACATAACCATCACCTACCCCGGAGGGCTAACAGAGGCCACACTGCCATAATTACTTGACCATTACAGTGATAAACAGGACTGACCAATGGACATTGTTATATTGACCTCAGACTAGTGATATTTATAGGACATATTTACAAAGATATCTTTGCGCAGAGAGAAAAAAATTTACAAAAAAAAAAAAGGATTTTGCATTTAGATAACAAAAAGTATTAGGACATTTAGAATTAAGCAGCTGACCTATTGATATTTTGTAAAAAAGTATAAAAAGACTTGCATATTCCATTTTGTGGTAGTTCTTCAGCTGATTTGAAATGTCACTTTTGTTATTTGTAATGTCAGTTTTAGATTTGTTCCTGACTAAGCAAAACGGCATTTCTTATTTTCATTGAAAGACTGCTTAATCGTCTAGCACATTTTTTTTCAGGAAGGATAAAAAAAGCAATTTTTTTTCATTTGTATTTAACAATTAGGGGTAATCATTAGCATTGTTACTAATATCACATCAAAATGAAATATTAAGAGATTTGTTTGGGAATTTAAATTTATTACGTTGGTATAAGTTGAATCTGACCTCGTGGGCGAAATCCACATGATTTCATTGTTGTGCCCGAAACCGCTATTAGATCCTAGTCCACTGCAGAAGTAGTCGGCGGTGCTGCTCTATCCACAGAGACTTCCTCAAAGGTCGTACATAACCTAATCGGAGTTTTATTTCATTATCCGAAATTTTCATAATGAAATTTATCAGTACGGTGCACGCATGTTTTTATTTCAATTCGGTTTTAATACTAGTACTTAGTCGATTTGATAGTTTATCTATTCACCTTTCTTCAATTCTATTCTATTCTAATAATTATTTGATCATTACATTTTACATTATAGTAGACTGGTGTAGTATTTTAAAGTCGTTTTACATGGTTTTTAGCTTCATATGATTAACAGGTCAAAAATGACAGTTGACCGTGAGCAGACTCCACATGAGTTTTGGCCGGAGATGAAAATTCTATCAGTCCAACGTGGGTTCCCGATGGAGAAATCTTCGATTGTAGATCAATCACATCCACTTGTGCCTGTGTTTTGAAAAAACGTTGATAAGACGGTAAGGGCTGATAGTTTGATTTGCTTTCTAAATGTACAGTCGCAATGTAGGTGATGCATATATCAGATATAGACACTTTGGTTCGAAAGGGCAAATGTATAGGTTTACCGAAGTTCCCCCGAATTTCACCGAAGTTCTATAATTAGCACAAAAAATTCTCGATTACAAGTTGGATCGCGGTTATTCTTAAAGGGAAACCGACATTTAATATTAATTTTACTGAAATTTCCTTCAACATCTGGACACTGACAAACATATTTCCGTAGCTTTCGTTGTGATGTTCGATGTGCAAATTCCATACATCTTATTCCTTCATACATGTATCTTTTGATGGAAAAATTCTAATTCCACATTAACGCCTCACCTAGTATTGATTTTCAATGATGTTCTTGCATAAATAAAATTGTAGTGTTTAATTTTTTTTATTATTTAACAAATTATCAATTAGTTAATTTATACGTTTATTTATTTATATACCTCATATGGATGCACCCTCCCTAAACTTTCGCTAAAACCAACGTTTGACAGCTATTACATGTAGACCGCTTTGAGACTATTACTATTGTTCCCAGTGGTCCAGATACCAAGAAGTGATATTTCCTTGTATGTTCTACATCTGCATTCGCTTGGATACCAAATAGCGGAGTGTCACTCAAGGCCAATAAAGATACTACGTAGAATGGTAATGTTCAGGAGGGACCACATAAACCTAACAGAAGACTAAAAAGATATATCCCTGTTTGAGGTTAGGTAAGGCCTGGACAAAATTAATGTAATATTGCCCATGGGTAAAGGTATGCCAGAAAAAGGGGCATCAGTATTTGCATATGTGCGGAAGACCACTTTATCACCCTTTTTAGGAAATTACAAGGAAACCTCCGAAATGCTTACGGATATATACTCTTAATTTCAGTGCGCATGCGTTGGGCTGTTTCCAAAACAAGCCGTCCGGTAAATGTGACGTAGATCTGAACAGTGGTACCTTATGAAGGTCTCCCTGGAATACCTGTAAACTGACCAATGACAGAGAGATTTTTAGTCGGGTCACCGACCTGCTGACTCTCTGTGTGCGTAGGCTGAATGAAATGATATGTAACGTCAAGATTGCATGACGAGTTATCAGAGATGCCAGAATAATGAACATTCATACTGTAAGTTGAAAAGTACAGACAGAGATTCCTTTGGAAGGATGGGACGGTGAAGACGGCAGTGATATCGAGGATATAAGACATTTGTTTTACTTGTATGGAAGATGTTTGCGTCCAAGACATTTCGAGCTGATGCCATTTGATCTGGGGAATAAAACGGATGATAAATCTTGATGCAACAGGGAGCAAACTACCACGTGGCCACTGTGGAAAAAGATGGCCATTTCCACCAGGTTGGGAACAGTTAACCTTTGTTTTTTGTTTTTTGTACGGAAATGACACTTTGTGGAATGTTGAAGGTTGAGATTGAAGTGGAGGGGCTTACAACGAACGCGGTAGTAGCATAATGTTGATGTTGTACAGTAAATGGAAGACAGGCGTATTTATGATAGTCAGGATATGCGTCACCAAGAAACCAGGGATAAATAGACTTGTGATTGACTTACATGTAAGTGAAACTATTATTGTCATGAAACAAAATTATTCAACTGAGTCATTACTACCGTCAAAGCAGCCTCAATGTTTGTCTTAATCAATTGCTCCACATGCCTTCATATGACTAGATTCATATCATATAGTACATAGCAGTAAATGCATTCTTGTTGAGAAAAACAACTCTGTTATCTGCATTGGTTTATATAATTGTAATGTGAATAAATTTGTTACAAATTCAACTCTTTCATCGTCTGTATTTACCACACGTGGTCGACTTGTCGTCGTAATGTAAAATTGCTTTATTTATTTTACCCAAAAATGCCTCCAAATTTTGAATAAGAAATTGCGTTGAATCTATCATTCAGAGGTTACATAAAATTTACCGAATCTCTTGGTTTGAATAGTTGTAACCTCATAAAATAGAAAAAGTAATTCGTAGCTATATTTGTACCTTTAAAATATTTTCTTGAAACTGTTTAACTATGTTGCATTGCTAATTTCAGTTAAGATCGGTATTGATTGGAATCGGATGAAACAAAACATATCTTTTAATCCCGCCTCATTATTTTTTAAATGAATTTTGCCCAAAAGTTTGGTTTATAACCATACATTGGAATCGAATAGAACAAAAAATCGATTGTTGCCTAATTAATTTCTGATAATTTTTTTCCAAAAAGTCAAATCTGCGCCGACAAAAACTAAAAAAACGTAGGGCAAAAATTTGGGTGGGTTACCGGGTGAATAGAGGAACCGCCGGCATGTCAGATCTGAAGTTACAGGATTGATTCCTAAATACGGTAAATTTTGTTTAAAAAAAAACGAGTATTCGTACCATAACTATAAAGGCGAGAAACAAAGTTTAGGGTGGGTGGTTGGGTGAATAGAGCAACCGGTAACGTTGCTGACTGCGAACCAGAAGGTTACAGGATCAATTCCTAAACACGACAAATTTTTGTAAAAAGAAAATGTATTAGTCCCATAACTATAAAGGGAAGATGCAAAGTTTAGGGTGGGTGGTTGGGTGAATAGAGCAACTGGTAACGTTGCAGACTGTGGACCAGAAGGTTACAGGATCGATTCCCATGGAAGATTCATTTTGTAGAAAAAAGAATTGGACTGCATTGACTATAAAGGTTTTGTTTAAATAGCACGGAATTCTTTGGGGCCAATGGCTCAGTTGGCACCACCACTGGTTCTAAAGTTATAGAAAAAAAGAATAGGAGATCGAAATGGACTAAGTCGGATGAAACTTTTTTATTGTTATTTAAATTTTACTAAGACAAGCACTAGAGAGAAAAATATGAAATCTGTATAATTAAACAATGAAGACGTTGAAAGTTATGAACAGGCTTTATTCGTTAAACTGCAGTGATATTAACGCACAGCTCAAAATATACAATATCAAGGAAACAGCACTTAATGTGTTACTACAAAGGACGACAAGCCAAACATCTGAGTTAGTCGGAGTAATCATAAGAATTACGATTCCCTGTGTAATGCAATTGAAATTAATGTGCACGCTCATCCAAACTCTAAATCATTATATATATATATATATATATATATATATATATATATATATATATATATATATATATATATATATATATATAAAATACGCTGGTAATCATGATTCTTTATAAGGGCAGCCAGAAGTCGCAGATTTAATAATAATAATAATAATAATAATAATAATAATAATAATAATAATAACAATAATAATAATAATATTAAGCGCAGCCCAAAGTTCGAAGTTTAAAAGGATTGTGAAATTCAAGTATAAACGTTAAATATGTCAAATATAGGTTACATATGTTGGCTAAGAAGCTAAAATGGGACAATGTTGCCTTAAACTGTAAAGTGCACAAACTAGACTGACATAATGTACATAGACAATCACAATGAAAAAAGTACAACAGATTCGCTCAATTTTATATATTGGTACAAAATGACGCTGACAAAACAGTTACTTTCTGTTAGGATGTTCGGTCAAAAAGTAGAAAAATAACTAATACCAGTTCCTTTCGTAATCGTATAGAAGTAAGCAAGGGTTGACAACAAAATTATACACACATTTGCACCCTGACGTGCACAGTTTGTGTACTGCCTCGCTTTTAGAAACCATTTTCTAATATTATGCCATACCTACTTAAAATTGGAAAAGTCAACTGGCAGTAAGACAGACCTATAATTTCAAAAAGTGTCGATGGAATAGGAAGCGAAACAGAGTGTTCTGGCATACGGATTTTCAAATAACCAAACCCGTTTTGAAATCTGGCACATTCTCTCACGTTAGGAGTCGCCGAAGACCCAAATTTAAACAAAATTGGTAAAGTGCTTTCTACGTTTTGGTGGGACAATATGTTACAAATATAGGGGCCGTGTAGTCATTTGCCTCGGGTTTTTGGCCTTACATGCTAGGCAATGCCTACTTACCGTGTACCATTCAAGGCTGAAATCTAAGGCAAACAGTCACTATAATTC